CAATTACAATAAATGCAACGCTTCACTGTAAGTGTCAACACTGTTAAGATGAAGGTGATGTCCAGAAATATGAAGCAGGAAGGTTAAACACGTGAAGATAAGATTAATGCTTGTTTTCAATTTAAACGGGAAAAGACTAATGTGTACTCAACAGAGGTGAAACAGGTTGAAATATGAGTGAGTGAGTGTGGGTTCACGCCGCTTGTAGCAATATTCCAGCAATATGACGACTGGTGTGAAATGGGCATCACACATTGTACCAGCGCGGGGGACTGAACCGGATCTCGGCTTAACCACTCGGCCACCCCACCTGTTGAAATATGAAGACAGATTGATGTAGACATAACACGATGGGATATATTCAATAAGACACGATGAGATAAACATGGAGTGATTAGATAGACACGATCAGTTAAACAACATGGGTTGATTGGAAGCCATTGCTAAGGTAAGAAGGATGAAGACGACAGTTGGGTATGAATAATCTTGTCTAGTGATGAGCTGATGATCCTTGTATGGGATGTAATAACCTTGATGTTCGTAGATGGCTGGTTTTAGTCTTTTCATGCTGAAAGCTTTTCAGAGTTTCCTGATCTTGCAAGTGCGATTTCGGGAACGTTGAGGTTAAAGCGTTGGCTCGTCACGCCATAGACCCGGGTTCGAATCCCTTCATGGGTACAATGTTTGAAGCCCATTTCTGGTGTCCCCCGCCGTGATGTTGCTGGAATATTGCTAAAAGCGGCGTAAAACCAAACTCAGTCAGTCAGTCTTACAGGGTTAATTTGTTCTTTACTTAGCACTCATAAATATATCATCTATACGGTCAGTAAATAATAGAGTCTGGACCAAGCAAAACAGTGATTGATATCATGAGCTTGGATCTACGTCATTGGGATACGATGATATGCACGAACCATGTTAGTGAATAGCACCACCCAGTCCTAGTTATCGCCTTTTAAGAGCATTTTTTGTCTCATCCGAAAAGAGCTGGTTGCTGAAGACTAATTTTAATCCAGATCTTAATGTGTATCTTCCAACGACTTTTGGTATGACGGGTATGGGAATCGAACCCGGATCAATATTTGTCGTCTGATTGTTTATATTGAACGATGTTTATAACGAACTGGCGGACTGCATTTGTCGTCCCGCTACTTCCTGTATAGTTAAGTCGAAATGTACATACTGAACTACAGTTGCCACGAACTAAAGTAAATAGTCCCTTTGAGTTCCCTGTAGCCATAGGCTACTGCATGTCGACTTCGATGCTGGCTTCCTTGATTATGCCAAATCTTTTGATAATGCTGGTGATATTATCCACAACTGAGAACATATCAAAGGATTATTATGAAAAATAACTGCAAATTGTTTTTACGTTGTCGACCTGACATGTATGCCGCACAAATTCCACACATCAGCCAAACACCATTCCGACGTATGAGCGCCACAACAACCTTAGCTGTGCCATTCAACAATAACAACGTGAAATGTAAAGTATCAACATCGGCACCACTAACCTGATTATAACTGCACCATTCTTGACAGCGTGCCAGACCCAGAAATAATGTGAAACATTTATCTCATCAGTTGGTAAAACAGACAGCATGTAAAATATTCTGATTTAATAAAAGACAAATTCAGTAAGAATCGTCAAGACTGGTTCCTATATTGGATCTGAGTCAGCAGATTAGGTGTTTGATGGATGGTTTCTCATACGGTCAAATTGTGTCTGGTGTTTAGATCTGATTTGTGCATTGTCGTTATAGTGGCGCTCAGTGGGAGAACTGTTTGTGGCAATTCATCAAGTTGCAGCAGAACTTCTGCTGTGAGGGAGCGTTGGGTAGCCTCCTGGTTAAAGCTCGTCACGGGGAAGGCCGGGTTTGATTCTCTGGATAGGTACAATGTGTGAAGCCCATTTCTGGTGTCCCCGATATATTACTAAAAGCGGCTTTAACCTCACTTTGCAGACTCACCTCTTCTGTGCGGCGTCAGGCAACAAATCCAGATACATTTACGTGTGAGTGGCCGGTGCTACTGGTAGAGCAGCAGAGCTACCCTTTCATCTTATTTTTCCTTTTACGGCTCTTTGAATCTGTTTCGGCAAAGCATGAATGGAGACGCTCTGTTGTTTATATCCTCTGTCGTTTATCTCGTGGTGCTCTACGCCGTTTCACAATTTCTGGCGTCCCCCCGGCGTGATATTGCTGGAATATAGCTAACAGCGGCGTAAAACTACACTCACTCACTCACCCTCTCAGTTGGCTATTTTCTAAGTGATTTTGTGTGTAAACTGATGGAGGTTTGTATAACTCACTCATAATGTTGTGTCCACTTATATCAAGGCTTTTTTGAAGGAGGAAGGCCCAGATTGCTGAAAACCACGAGCACGAGGGTTGTCAGGACTAACCTAAAATAATAATCCAAGCGTACGGGGATTCAAGCCGATCAACGGATCCTGGTCTGTCCAAGGGACGTAACTCAGCAAATTGCGGACCAGTACAAAGCTGTGATGAAGTGAGGGTCGGGTTGTTGCTTTGTGACTCGTGTTGCGTGTCATGGAACTCCGATATCTTGGAACCTAACTGTATTGATTTGACAAGTCACTAGTTTCACTGGCCCAGACCCTTAAACAAATATAATATATTTTATCGCTCTGTTTGCGAAACAATAGATACGCCAATTGCATTAACGTGATCAAGATGCAGTAAAGTTTTATTTAATTTATTTATTTGTTTATTTTCATTAGTATTTTCGGGCGATCGGGTAAGCAAGTGGTTAGAGCGTTCGTCCGACCTTGATTCCCCACATGGGTACAATGTATGAAATCCATATTCTGGTGTCCCCAGTCATGATATTGCTGGACAGTAAAACCATATTCACTCACTCATTAGCATGTCTTCAGTTGCCTTTTTTAAATTTAGTCCAAGTTTGATCGGAACCATGTGGTCTCTGATGTAGTTAAGAAGAAACATGTTTGCTCATGGGCCAAAAGGTCGTAAAGGCCAGGTTACACAACCTCATTAAAAACAAGTTACTTGAGATAAATAGTGAGTTCTCTCCATGAAGAAAGGTACAGAATCGGAATACAAAGATGATTTTGATTACATTGGGTTCACAAAAACCCGATCAAATGCACAGAAACGTGTCTACATCGTACACCAACCACCAAACATCACATTATGTCATTAGGTCAGGTCTCGGTTGTGATTAGGTGAGTAGGTGACTACCGGTCCTTAATATACAATCAATCATTCATCCTTTTTATTACCATAAGTTTACAAATACATGCAAAGCATCATGGGGGGTATTTTTCAAAAATATATCACTTTTAGGCTATGGCTTGAAACAAATCCAGCAATTATGTACAGGTAAACTAATCATGTCATGTTGACAGACATTATAATGGAAATAAATTTACATAGATTTCTTAATTGCTTCATATTATGAGTTTCAAATAGGGCTGACATTTTATAATAGTTAGGGTTGTTTACATAATAATTCTTTAAATACATATTTCTGGAAGCAGTAAATTTATTACATTGAAATAAATAATGAAACTCATCTCCGAGTTGGGAGGGACATGACGGACAGAATCGTTTATTTGAGGGAATATTTTCCCAGCGAATATTTTCCCCGGTAATTTATGGTTGGCTGTTTTAAATTTGATTAAAATATTACAGTGCTTTGTTCCTAATTTACGTTCCAGTAAAGAGATATCATAATGAGATTTCATACATTGTACAGTGTCCTAATTGCGCAGAGCGATGACCCGTGAAGATCCGGGTTAGAATTGGTCTTCAGTAACCCATGCTTATCGTGGTCAGGCTTGGGTGGTCAGGCTCGCTGACTTGGTTGACACATGTCATCGTATCCTGTTGATCACTGGATTGTCTGGTCCAGACTCGATTCTTTACAGACCTCCGCCATATAACTGGAATATTGCTGAGTGGGGCGTAAAACTAAACTTACTCACGTAGATCGATGTTCATGATGTCAAGCACTGGATTGACTGGTCCAAATCTGATTATTTACAGGCCCTTGTCATAATGCTGGAATGTTGCTGAGTGTGGCGGTAAACGACAAACCAACAAAACAAAATATTCAGAGTTCAGAGTTTACGACACGTTTTGTCAGTAGGAACTATTAATGATCCAACATCCCACCAAACATATACCGTCAACAAAATGTAATCCCGTAGATAAATCGTGCCAGTGCAGACCGGTTACATAGATATAATAACTTTGGTTTCCCAACACAGACTCAATTATTTACATTTTGGTAAAAAGCTGTCATATGACGGACATTGACGTAAAGTCTGAATCTTGGACTCCCGACTGGGGGTTGAATGCGGAACATGGTGTAAGGGAGGTGACTCTTTGAGTGTTGACAGTAAAGAAGCGAACCCTGTTGGTAAAATCATTACACCATTCATATACTGACTGACTGAGTTTGGTTTTACGCCGCTTTTAGCAATATTCCAGCAACATCACGGCGGGGGACACCAGAAAATGGACTTCACACATTGTACCAATGTGGGGATTCGAACCCGGGTCTTCGGCGTGACGAGCCAACGCTCTAACCACCAAGCTACCCCACCGCCCCACACCATTTATATAACATCGGTAGACATAAACGTTCTATTGCATTAAAACCAAATCCATCATGCAACATTCATGAGTTTGGGTCCATTGCCAAATACAATTAACTCTCAGGGCAAATCGGATGCGGCTACAAATAGATATTAGCGGCGGTCGAATTGCCCCCAGATCAGAAATGCGAGAACTTGTTTTCCTCTTATGGTGCTGTTGTCTAACAACAACGAAACTATATTCCAGGGTGACAGTCCACATCATCTGACAACATACATCTTTGTATACATGTATGTGTGTAAGTTGGGTTAAACCACGCTTTGGACAGTATTCCAGTTATCATGCTTGTCAGCTTTTTTTATATGAGATAACTTTGTTTCAGGGTTTTAACGTCAGTCGAGACCCATCTCTGCCTGGTGAATTGCTGCACTTTGGGCAAGACCCGTGATGTGAAGATACGCATTGATGGTTGGATGACGCGGAAGTGAGAGCCGTCGTGGAATTCTATTAATCATGGAGGGCTAATAGACGTGCACAAGTCTCTAAGGTAAAAAATTATAGTTTAAATTATAATTTCTGAAAGCAAAATAAATAAATAAATAACAGACTGGGGTCCTATCTTCGAAGGATAGAATTACTATACACCCATGTACTTAGCATTCAGTACAGCCTTCAGTTGGAGCAAGGCTAGGAGGGATAACTGCAACGAGTTTTGTAACACGTAAATAATCAAGTCACATGTTTGGATCGATGCCAAGCTAGGTAACTAAGTATCGTTATTTATTGGAATTGAGTATATATCGTTATTTTGTGGAATTCATACTATTAACCATATATAAATAGAGTTATTTATCTCACTCACTCATTTATCAGCTACGATAAGCAGAGCGTTCCCTATATTACTTACATGTCTTTTTCTTTTCTTTTTGGCATGTACCAGCATCTGGTCCTCTTCAAATAGTGTTTTTATCAGCAGCGACAATTCTTCATCGTTCATATAAGCAGCAATAATCATGATTTGTTTGTATAAGCAGCAAAATAATTCAATGTTCTAAAGAATATGTTCTTGTTTCGGGGTGGAACCAAATATAGTCTTTTTACAAAGTTGAATTAATAGCACTTTGAAAAAAATGGAATTAGACACGCACCAAAACAGTGAAAGGACAATTCAACACATACTTCTGAAGTCACCCGATGTTTTTCATAAAACAAGCTCTAGGTCTCTGCTTCAGTGAACTATTGTCATAAAACCAATCAATTAAAAGTATTGACTCATCATATGAATGAATGTCAGAAAGTAAGCACGATCAATATTATGTTATATTATGTCCTGAAGCGATTTTTGTGGTTAGGGGCACTTTGAAACATTTTACAATGAAAATTAGCGGCAAGCCAGTATTTACAAGAGTTATGCCCCTTTCTTCCGTAATGGCTTTGTCCAGGCTCGTTGAGAAGTTGCACAATTTAAGACGTTTTGAGTGCTGCTGAAGTTACAAAAGAAAGGTAGCCTTCCTTTAGCAGACCGACATAATCATTTTATACTTTGAACTTTGTAACATAGGTTTGTGGTGATTGACAGTTGAGATATAGCGAAGTAAACATGACAGAATGAGGATCCAGTTAATTATATATGGTACTGCAGTAAGTAAATATGGAGGAACCTGAAGTAGGAATTGAAAATATCAAATGTGAGTCTCCTCACTTGGTTCAACAGGTCAGGTCTCCAAGTTACCCGAGTCACCTGTTTGTTGCTGGGTTTTTTTCTGTTAGCCAGGTCTGTTTTCTATTCATGAATCTCAGACACAGCATGATTTGACAAGTAGCCTCTAGAAGATGATGTCATGTTTAGTGGCATAAAATGATGGTTCCATGTCACTTCGTATCCAATCAGCTTTGTTACTCTCATGTCTATTCCTTATCCAGATTACTTACACAGTGCTCTTAGTCTGTTTTTGTGCCGAACATATTTGCAGATTCATAAATTTGTTGCCAGATTGATTGTTTTCAGACGATACAACAAGGCAGATTGCGCCACACAGATACTTTGATACTTTGATGATAGTTGTCTTAAATAAGTTGGTCAGGTGTTTTTAAATTGTTCATGCAGTAATCAAGAAATGGTAATCAAGAAAACAAAGTATGTTATCATGCATCGCAAGATACATACATAACAAGTATTGCATTCAAATTCATTAATATTGAAGTTCATTGTTAATATATGTTACCAGTGAGTGAGTGAGTTTAGCTTTACGCCACTTTTAGCAATATTCCAGCAATATCACGGTGGAGGGACACCTGAAATGGGCATCATGCATTGTACCCATGTGGGGAATTGAACCCGGGTCTCCGGCGTGACGAACAAACGCTTTAACCACTAGCTAGACTACCCCACCGCCCCAATATATGTTACTAAAAGTTTCTACTTCCACATGGACATAATGGGTACAGATCCTACTTTTGATTATAGTAAATGTTACTAATACTTGTTGTATTCTGCTAAAACTGTAATCTATTGTCATGTGCCGACTTAAATTCCTGTCCATGAATTGTATGGAAAACTCATTTCATTAAACAACCTGCTTAAGAATTGACATGCACAATTCAATAGTTCTGGACAGAGACCATATACCATATACAGTAAATACTTATTTTATGGAGCCAACATGTTTTTCAACTAAAAAATGTCCAGGGACTCTATTTTACTGATTGTAGACATCAAGTTTTGTTTTTCGAGGTGAAAGGCAGCAACATGGCAACTTCATTTGATCAAGCAACATTACAATTGACATCTATACATACTTTCTAATGAATTTATCACAACTTTGCTTTAGCATACACAGTTTGTAGGAACAGATCTAACAGTTATTTACAGAGTCAGTTATTTATTTTGGGCTTTATTGCACACAGATTTCATGAAGATGACATGCTGATTTAGTGCATTCAGCAAGGGATACAATATGTCGTCAAGAGGCCGCAGCCGAGGTCGACCTAGAAGGGGAGGTAACTCATCAGAATCTACGTCAGGAGGTGCCCTGAGAAAACTGAGACATGAAGGAGACGGCTTTGAAGCCTGGGTGAGGAATAGTCATTTAGCCTCAACTACAGGAACCTGTTACATAGAACTAGTGGTGACAGGCCAAAGGGTTTATTGCCATCAATATGATTTGTAGAACCTGGCAGGAGTTGTAAATCATTGTGCTGCTTATATTCATGGCTTGTAAGATTGTCAGCGTGACTGTTTGCACAGTGTTGAATGGGGGCTATTCAGGCAACATGAAGCTTACCAAATATCCATTTCGTTTAAGCCAGTTTGAGCTCCTGAAGTAAGTTTATATGTTTATTATATGTATATGCTGGGTTGGGGCGTCCTTGACAAGAAGGTGACATTTTATGTTCATAAAGTTATCTTATAGCAAAGTGCTGTACCGTTTATTAAAGCTGATTTAGTCTATGGAAAGTATTTGTTGTAGGGAGGGTACATGCAGGCCAAGATGCAGAAGCTGAATGATCAGTTCAACACAGCAGGGGGAACATCTGGATCAGACATCTTCAATGGAATTCATGTCTATGTCAATGGATACACAAGTAAGTTATGGGCAATGAAGTAGCCTAGTGTATAAAGCGTTCGCTCATCAAGCCAAAGTTTAATTCCACTCCATAGGTACAATGTGTGAAACCCATGATGTTCCCTGCCATGACATTGCTGGAATATTGCTAAAGGCAGCGTAAAATCCTAATTTTTCACTCACATTTAAGTTACATATACACCTGCATTATTCCAGATACCTTGGGGTGGTGGTGTATTTTACATGACTGACAGTGAGTGAGTATAGTTTTACGTGGAACCCGGGTCTTTAGCATGGTGAGCGAACGCCTTAACCACAAGGCTACCCGACCGCCCCTCACATGAATGAGTGAGTTTAGTTTTACGTCGCACTCAGCAATATTCCAGCTATATGGCGGCGGTCTGTAAATAATCGAGTCTGGACCAGACAATCCAGTGATCAACAGCATGAGCATCGATCTAAGCAGTTGGTATACGATGACATGTGTCAACCAAGTCAGCGAAGTCTGACCAGTTGCCACTCGATCTCCGATCGTTTTAGGAGCACAACTTGAAAACCGTTTTTGGCATATATATATCAAACAGACTTTGAAGTGGTGCCTTTTGCTATTTGCTGATTTTTGGCCTTTATAGTTTTCATGATTTCCATGGAAACAATTTGGGCTGGGGGGATTTGTCATCTTCTGATGACTCTTGTTTAATGATTAATGCATCAAAATGTTTACCATAGTTTCTGTAAGACAGGAAATATTCTTACTCAGATGCAGGAAATTCAGACACTTTTCCTTTGTCTGTGTGTGGGTGGGTGTGTGTGAGAGAGAAAGACACAGAGAGAGAAAAAAACACACACATTAAGTTCACATTTATAAGTGTATATAACCGAGGAACATCTGTCTGATCTGTCAGTAGCCATGGTAACAGAGACAAAGGAAGCTGATGTCAAAATATGTCTATTACAGAGCCATCCTCTGATGAGTTGCGCCGTCTGCTGACCACCCATGGAGGGACGTTCGAGCAGTACCTGTACCGGACACGAGTCACTCACATCGTGGCAACCAACCTCCCAGACAGCAAGGTCAGAGAGCTGAAGGGGATGAAAGTCGTACGTCCAGAGTGGATTACAGAGAGGTAGGGACCTAATTAAAGTGCTCAAACAATAGTTTTGAGGTGATGTGGACGAGTGTAAAAGAAGTTTGAAGACAGACAGTGGGGGTGTTTTATCACAGCATACTCACTTAGTGTGGGAGCAAAGCAAGTTGTGGATGCAGCGACAGACTAGACTATTCATCATATTTCAGTGCTGGAACAAGGGGTTAAAGTACTGTCGGAAATAGAAAAACATGTTTTTTTCGCTTTTATATCTACAATTTATGCAGTTAATATGTGAAAGTGTGAAATATCTGTTAACTAAGTTCAGCCTTACTACCGTCTCAGTGGTAGAGAGATAGGAAACATGGAAAAAGGACTTTACTGAGGAGAGATTAGTGCAGAAATAAGCAATGCAGTCCAAAGCGAATTATTTGGAACAGACCATGACTTTATGCAAATTAGTGTGCGATGATACTGTATTGCAAAGGACACTTTTTAAATGCCCATTAAAAAAATAAACTTATCTTTATTATAAGCGATAGCTGACGTAAACAATAATAACTTTAATACTGAAACTATTAAGGATGTAGCTACCATGGAGTCTCACTATCACTATAAAAAGAAACAGGTAGGAGGGGTCGTCTCAAACGGTGGTGCGGTTGGGCTGGGTGATAGAGATATCAGCTGAGATGAGATAATCCTTCAGGGGAAATAGACTGGGGAAGCAAACAGCATGTCATAACAATTTACAAATACTATCCAGTCCTGTCGATCATTGGATGGTCATGCCACCTATATATTTTGAGACATTCATTACAATGGCTGGTATAAGCTTTTCTATGGGTATCATACTCTTTTACATATCTCAATATAAACTTTGTGAAAGAAAGACACGTAAGATGTTAATCAATAGATGAGACATATTCAACACACATGAGAAAGCATAAAATATCTTTGAGATGACCCCCTGTGCCCGTAGGCAGCACATGTATTTCATGCCAGGTGAGTCTACGGGCCGTCGTCATACCTGGCTGAGCGACCTAATTGCCATCTATTTTCTGATCTATTGTTTTCAGTAGCTATTGGTATTTTTTCTAAGTTTTGCCCAATTTTACAGGTAAACATGTTTTTCTGGATATCCTATTACGCATTCCACTGAATGCCCAGTTAGGTTATTTCGACATATACTAACTGCAATTGTGTAAATTTTAGGGATACAGAGTAACAGCCTAGAAACAGGTTTTTCTATTTCCGACAGTACTTTAGCAGTGTTTAAAATTCCCGCCTGCCCGACCATCCGGAATGGTCTATTTTCATCTCGGACGGTCAAATTTCAAAAGTAGCCTGTCCGGTGGTCAGGTAGATGTTTTTACCCCTAACAGTAAATATTTCATAACATCAGACAGGTTCTCTTGTCGTCAGTTTGAGGTGTTTAAGGTATTATGATAATTATGTTAAACTATTTACGATCAGACAGTTCATTTTACAATAACCAATTACAACACATGTACTTTGAGTTTACTAAACTCGGTACATTGCCTGTTAGTGCTATATTGTTCATTGCGATGCCTACAAACAGTAAAGTATTCAGAAACCTGATTTTTTTAAACCGGACAGGCAAGTTTGTATCCGGACTGGTAATTTTTCGAAAACGTAACAGATGGTGAAATATCCGAATGTGAAAATGATAATAATCCCGTAATCTCTGACGTAAATTGCGAACTCACAGAACAGATACTAGACTCGCATATAACTAGGAAAGAAATATTAGACAGCATCCAGAATCTTGAGCTTAACAAATCCCCAGGAATAGACAATATGATACCTGAATTGTTTAAATATTCGGCTGACCTTCTCACCCCATACTTAGATTTATTATTCAACCTGATACTTGAAAAAGGTAACTTCCCTAAAGAATGGTGGAATAATAGTTCCTTTGCACAAAACTGGCGACTTAAACAACATTAATAATCATAGAGGGATAACACTTCTCAGCATTTTCAGTAAAATTTTCACTTCAATTATTAATAAGAGGTTAGTATTCTGGGGGGAAACAATGGATAAGTTAACTGAATGCCAGGCATGTTTTAGACAAGGCTACACAACCATTGATAATATGTTTGTTGTACAAGTATCATCCAGAGATACCTTAATATTAAAGGGGAAAAATTTTATGCGTTATTTGTTGACTTTGGTAAAGCGTTTGACTCTGTCGAAATAAATAAATTATGGAATCTTCTAAACACAAGTAGACTAAGCCCCATAATGAATAAACTCTTAAGACAGATATATGAGAATGTTAAAGCTTGTGTAATATAATAATGTAGTATCAGGAACCTTTGACATACAAGTAGGAGTCAGACAAGGCGGTGTATTGAGTCCCTTCTTATTTTCTTTTTTCATAAAAGAATTGGCCATGCAGATCGAGAATAATTGTACACAAAGCGTACAATTACATCCTGATTTCTGTTGCTTTTTGCTGATGACATTGTATTAATATCAAGTACTATTATTGACCTGCAAAGGCAAATATATGAACTGGAAAACCTTGGTGAGCAGTCAAAGCTGACAGTGAATTTGGATAAAACAAAAGTAGTGGTATTTAAAAATGGGAGAAAACTAGGAAAACATGAAGAATGGTATTATAAAGATTGTAAACTTGAAACTACAAATTCTTACAAATATCTAGGTGTATATTTCACTAATCAATTATCCTGGTCATTGCACGCAAACTATGCAGCAGTGCAGGCACAGAAAGTACTTCTTGGAATCCTAAGACAAATACATATTCTTGGTGATCTCAGTATGAATTCATTTTTCAAATATTTGATGTAAAAATATATCCTATTCTTTTATATGGTGCAGAAATTTGGGGATTAATTACACTTGGAAAATTAAAAATGGTACATTTGTATGCCTGTAAAAAGTTTTTGGGTGTTAAACAAAACACTCCAAATATCATGATTTATGGAGAATGTGGCAGGTTTCCTTTACATATACACTCTTATTTTAAAGTAATTCGGTATTGGATAAAGTTAATACACATGCCAACCTATCGCTTACCGAAGAAATGTTATCATATGATGCTTTTATATGATAGAAATGGACACAAAAATTGGGTGAATGAGATTGAACAGTTATTATTTTCTACTGGATTTGGAGATCTTTGGCATAACCAAGAAAATGGTATATATCCGGAACTTATCAAATCATTTACTCAAAGACTAGAAGATCAGTATTTTCAAAACTGGCATTTTTGTTTTTTTATCTATTTCAAGCAAATGTGACACTTACCTAATGTTTAAATACAATATCCATGCCGAATTCTAGCTATCATGTTTAAATGTAAGAAAGTATAGAGTAAGTTAAACACGATTCCGATGCTCATCTCATGGACTTCTAATCGAGAAAGGTAAATATGTAAATATGGATAGAGAACATAGAACTTGTAAATTATGTAATACAAATGCAATTGAAGACGAGTATCATTTTCTTCTTGTATGCCCTAACTACACTAATCTTCGAAGCAAATATATAAGAGAAAAATATTATGTCCATCCAAACAGCCGTAAGTTTTCACTACTGCTAAACAGTTCAAGTCCTAAAGAAATTGAAAACCTGTCCATGTATATTTTCTACTCATTTGTACATAGAAAACATATTGTTCCTTGAACGTGTATAAGGCAACATATATAGTGTACTATAGGCCTGGGGCCTTTTCAGTACCGGAATAAGATTGACACATATTGAGATAGATATGATCATGCTCACTCTTCGATTCATTTACTGGTCAATTTCAGTGTGGCTGCCGGCAAGCTGCTTCCATACACCAACTACCAGCTGTACACAGCGCAGACTAGATCACAACACGGTCTCACATCCTTCACAAAGACATCCATTCTCAGCCGATCATCAAGTGTCTCCTCCAAAACCTCGGAAGCATCTGTTGGCTGCACCCAGTTCAGTAAACATGGCAGTGTGTTAAATGACAATGACCTTTACCCTATGTCAGATGGAGACAGTTCGGATGAAGACTTGGCCAACCTCCGAACAAAGGACATAGAAAATATGCATGACACCAGCAACGAGAACAGTCTGGACACTATTGATGAAGAAGTATCTGTGAACCAAACCCGCACATCTGCGGAAAAACTAACAGGGTCTTACCATGACAAATTGTCAAATAAAACAATGGCACGGGCTGGAGATTCTAATTTTCTCTCAGAATTTTATACTCATTCCCCGATTGCATCATATATCAACTTGGGGGGCAGAATACCGCGCCTATGTGAATGAGCTGCAGAAACAGAGTGATGGGTCATTTCCAGGGCGACAGAGGTTACAGCAGTTTCACCAGGACAGTGTTGCCAGAACCGGGATCAATAACTTCACATCGGGCTCCTGCAGTGGGAAGCCCAAGAAGGTCATCATGCATGTCGACATGGACTGTTTCTTTGTGTCTGTTGGGCTTCTTGACAAGCCGGAACTCAGAGGTATGCTGCTTTCTCATTGGCTGAGATACTGATCATGCAATTTTCCACAATGGTTCATGAATCCAAATGTGAATTTTTTTTAAAAGATAAAGTTGAAAAGCCAACATGAATATCAGCAGAGCAGCTGGTTATAATTAATAACATTTCATTCATTTATTCATTCATTCATCTGTAATCATGGACATTTGTTGATTAAGACTGCCCTCAGCAATATTCCAGCTACATGCTGGCAGTCTGTAAATGATCAAATGTTAACCAAACAATTCAGTGATCAATATCATGAGCATCGATCTACACAGTTGGAATACGATGACATGTGTCAACCAAGTCAGCGAGTCTGACAACCCGATCCAGTTAGTCGCTCTTACAACAAGCATGGATGCTGAAGACCAATTCTAACCCAGATCTTCTTGGGTTGCAACCTGTATTGTTCGGAAAAGTAATGTCCGTTATCTGACTTGTGTGTGATATATGTGTTATTGCCCAGGTCGCCCCATCGCTGTGACCCACTCCCGGGGCAAGGGGGCAGCCAAGGAGACCCCAGGGTCAGACTTCGCCTTCGAAAAGAAACAATGGGAGCTGAAACGTCAACAAGGAGGGAAGAAAGGTCGAAGGTCACATCATGTCAGTGAAGCTGATGGAAGGTTTGACGAGGAAGAAGAAGAAGAAGGTGAAGGCAGTGATTTGAAGGGGAAAGAAATTGACTTTCTCGTACCAAAGGGTTCCACTGGGAAAGATACATTTCATTCTCTGGCGGAAATTGCTTCCTGTAGTTATGAGGCGAGAAAGGTGAGACAGTTGAATTTGGTTTTGAAGGATTTAAGTAATCAAATAATTGTGGTGTATTTTTTCATACACTTCTGGTTTGACCTGATAGTACTTTATTTGGGCCTCTATTTTCAATGTCATTTAATCTTTTATATTTTGACAGATCTGTGGAGAGTTCAGTTGTGTAAACAATAGTAAAGGGATACGTGATAACAACTATAAATATGATAATATCTGTGAAAATTGTAATGATATTAAAACTCATGTTCTGCTTTGTTCATATCTAATCTAAGGGCTGAAAATAAATTAAAAGGAGAGTTAGTATTTCGATCCTCTTTGTGTTGTGTGTTATATGTTTTTTAGATGACAGCTTTGGAGTATTTTATTTTGATATGCACTGAGAAAATGAATATATTTATTCACAGTTATTTCAGTTTTATCATGTGCTGTCATTTTACTCAAAAGTTAGTAAGTTTAGTTTTATGCTGCTTTTAGCAATATTCCAGCAATATCATAGAAGGGGACACAAGAAATGGGCTTCACACATTGTACCCAAGTAGGGGATCAAACCTGGATCTTTAGAGCAAACACTTAACCACCAGGTTACATCACCACCCCTTATTCAAATGTGTTTCAAGTTGTCGATGTTTACAACATTGTAGTGGCAAGAACAAAGGATCAATATCAGGAAGAATTAGTGGATCCTTGCAAACCAAGGGAGGCTACTCTCCAGACAACTCTTCTATCAACACCCTTATATACATTGAAGCTGTTGTTAGATTTGACTCGTTATAATCTTGTTCTCACTCTTTCAGGCTGGTGTGAAGAATGGGATGTTTATGGGACCAGCCAAGCTACTGTGTCCCGATCTTGTGACCATTCCCTACAACTTTGACAAATACCAGGAGGTGTCTCGAGCTCTGTACGACACAGTGGCAAGGTAAGTCTCACATTACTGCAGCTGGAGTATATTATAAGTTGTTCACTGGTCACGAGGGGGGCATGGGTTGATGTACCCTCGATGTTTGTTAATGTTCCCTGAGCCCGAAGGGTACATCAACCCATGGGCCCCGAGGGACCAGTGAACGACATATTTATCTTACCGAACACCTTAATGTTAATTTTGAATTGTTTGAAGCACGGGTACAAATCTTTTTGTAGCCATCGCTAGATTTTGCTGACAAGAAAAACAGATTTAGAGTTATCTCCCTTCCATCGATTTGCATTTGCAAAACATCGGTAATTTCCGTACATCATACGTGACTCAATGTAATTCGAGATAAAGAATTACTACCACGAAGTACAAAATGAGTTGCCATTGACAGCGGGGTACATTGAAATGTTACTCGCTTGTAAGCAGGGTACATTGAAAATAATAGAAGAGCGCTCAGCGACATTCATGTGTGAGGTAAGATAATGGTGAATGTGTAGAGACACAGTTATGTTTGTAATAGGAATATATTGAAATATGGCTCAGTTAAAATCAGTGAAAAATATACCTTCATATTGTCAAGCAATTGTTAACTAATCAGATGTCAGAAAATACATCTCATATCATTGCAGCCTGAATTTAAGGTGTACATGGTCAATGACACAGTTACGTTCATACTTGGATGGCTAAAATATGTCTGTGGTGCCCGAACATTTCTGCTGGGCTCCCTTGAAAGTCAGTATATGTATTGGGGCGATGGGGTAGCCTAATGGTTAAAGGGTTGGCTCGTCACGCCGAAGACCTGGGTTTGAACCCCCACATGGGCACAATGTGTGAAGCCCATTTCTGGTGTCCCCCGCCGTGATGTTGCTGGAATATTGCTAAAAGCGGCGTAAAACCAAACTCAGTCAGTCAGTCAGTATATGTATTGTAAAAGCTTTCTGAAATGCCCACACTCATGCAAGTGGGCACACTTTTAAAATCAAGCTGTGTTTTTGATGTGGCATGATTTGATTATTTACATTTCAAATACATAAGGTAAACTTTCTGAGACATATATAAGATGTTATGTATGTAATCCAGCTAAAATGTAATTACAAACACACATGTTGCCACAATGGCTGTACCTTGAATGACTACGTTTGAAGTTAACAGAAGTTGTCTACCCCTATCTCCAATTTAGTAAACTGTTAGTAAATATGGTTTACACTATATTATTCATCTCCGTTCACCTGCCTCTAGTTTCACTCATGACATCGAGGCAGTGAGCTGTGACGAGATGTTGGTGGACTGTACCGACCTCCTGGCCGTCACAGGCCACACCTGAGGAGTTTGCGACGTTGCTGAGGAAGGAGATCCACGACAAGACTGGGTGTACTGCTTCAGCCGGCCTTGGTAATGGTTTTACTGTTTACATCTGGCCCCGATTTCTTGAAACAAACTTAAGTCTGAGTTTTGACTTAAGTTAGAGTAGTACTCAAATTTATGAAAACGCAGGAAATTGCATTTCCCAGAATGAACTGAAATTGATATTAAACTCAAACATAGTAGACAATTTGAGTTTGGTGGATTGGTTACTTAAGTTGTTTGAGCTTTTTTATTTTAAAAATGCAGTTGAGTTAAAAATTCAGCTGTGTCAAATTGTCAAGCTCAGTTTGAAATTTGAGCAAAAACGTAAGTTTGTTTTGAGAAATCAGGGCCTGGTCTCAGACTACAGTCTTTGCTATCTGTAGTAAAATGACTGCCCACAATAATTGTAGACTGTTCTCCTGACTAACTTGATGACTAACTTGCCACTTGTCACTAAACAGGAAAATGTCAACCAGAATCCACCATAATAATAATAAACACAATAAACTCTGTCAACAATGGTCATCAGAAGTATTGAGGCAAAAACACATTCTAGAGGCATTGTAATAGCCATGTGTACAAAATGTTCACTAGACACGCTGAAAGCCAGCTTTGATTCCCAGAATAGGTACAATGTGGCAATCCCTATTTTTGGTGTCTCCTGCCATGATATCACAAAAGTGAACCATACTCCCTCTCATATTATAAGAATTTGAAAAGATTTATTTAATATTTTTGTTCCAGGCGGGAGTATTCTGCTGGCTCGTCTTGCCACAAGGTCCGCCAAACCAAATGGTCAGTTTTATCTGACCGCAGATGCTGTTCCAGAATTCATCACTAAACAATCCATCCGAGACTTACCAGGTGCGTATGTGGACTTGCTTGAGAACACTTATTTTAGTTAGTTATAACCATATGTTGTTAAATTCTTTTCCTAAAAAATATACAGAATATGGCCAGGACCCGAAAATGAGTGTGTTTGTTATAAACCTAGTATTATGTATTTCAACTTTTCTGAAATATGTTGATAAGTTTATACTATGTTAGGCCTTATTTTTTTCGTAGGTGGTTTAAGATACCAAAGGACAGCAAAACAAACACTGAAATTAGAAAGACAACAACATAACCTCTGACATTTTTTTTCATTTCTACAAACAATGTTTCACAATACAGTGAAATGGAAAACTAAATTCCAAACTGATCCTTACTTCGAATTCTTTGTGTGGCATATTTAGAAGCTGGTGAATCAGATAAGGAGAAACTTTATGACTGATCTTCTTTATTCAGGTGATGCGCATCAACAAAGCAGTTGTTCAGTCATAAAGTCATACTCTTAATTTTCAGGGGTCCTGACACTTAAACATTATTATTAATACTGCTGTTGTATTGTGTATCATGGTTATCACATTGTTACAGTAATTAAATTGCAAATGATACCATAACCCAGCTAGTAGCAAACTCAGTGATGACTTTATTGTCACTTGATTGGAATTTTTACAAAATGTATTCGGACCTTTTCTGAGTCCCTGTGGAGGCGCTAATAAATTTTGTTGCGTCCATTGTCAATGTTTATGAGTATAGATGCAGGAATTCGCATCCTGTAAATCCCTGTGATCCTATGAAATGGTTACGAACAAGTTTCTGACTCATTCACACACTATGTGATTCAGGTGTGGGGTACTCCATGACCAAGAAGCTGACCACCATGAATGTGACCACATGTGGCGACCTCCAGAAGCTGTCTCTGGTCGCCCTTCAGAAGGAGTTCGGACCCAAGACCGGACAGTCCCTGTATAAATACTGCCGTGGACAGGATGACCGTCAGATCAAGATGGAGAAGGAGAGGAAGTCGGTGTCTGCAGAGATCAATTACGGAATCAGGTTTCAGAGGGTGGGTGTTTGTAAGGTTATTCCACTTCATCAAGGCATCATTTTACTGATGCCAGAGATATTTTGTTTTTGAGAACACACCTGTTTGATTAGCTGTTTCCAGGTCCACCTTCTACATTTTAACCATTTTCATAAAAGGCAACTAACGGGATCAGGCGTTCAGACTCGCTGACTTGGTTGACACATGTTATTGGTTCCAAATTGCGTAGATCAAGGCTCGTGCTATTGAACACTAGATTGTCTGGTCCAGACTTGATTATTTACAGACCACCACCATACAGCAGGAATATTGCTGAGTGCAGCGTAAAACTAAACTCTCACTCACTCACTCACTCACTCACTCACTCACTCACTCACTCACTCACTCACTCACTCACTCACTCACTCACTCACTCACTCACTCACTCACTCACTCACTCACTCACTCACACACTCACTCACTCACTCAAAAAATTGATGTAATTATTTTTTAATTTTGTGAAGTTGAGTATTGGCAGATCCATAATGCAACTGAAAGTGATGTGATTGTTCAGATTCATTGGTAGTTTGATTTTGTTTTTATCCCCCCGCATATAATGTGGGGGGATATAGTCGACGCCTCATCCGTCCATCCGTCCGTCCGTAATCATTTTGTTTCCGGAGCATAACTCAAAAAACGTTCAATATTTTTCAACAAAACTTGGTAGATATATCAAACAGAACCTTAAGTGGTGCCTTTTGCTATTTGCAGATTTTTGCATTTTAATTTTCCCGGTTTCCATGGAAACGATTCAGACTTAGTCGCAAAAGGGAGGGTTGGGCTTTGTTTCCGGGGCATAACTCGATAACCGTTCAATATTTTTCAACAAAACTTTGAAGATATATCAAACAGAACCTTAAGTGGTGCCTTTTGCTATTTACAGATTTTTGTCATTTATATTTTTTTCGGTTTCCATGGAAACGATTCGGACTTAGTCTCAAAAGGGAAGGGTGGGTTTCATTTCCGGAGCACAACTGGAAAACTTCTTAATATCTTTCAGCAAAACTTGGCAGATTACTGAGGCAGATGACAAAGTGGTGCCTTTTGCTATTTGGCAGAAATTTGGCATATTTATTTTTCCTGGTTTCCATGGAAACGATTCTGACTTAGTCCCAAAAGGGAGAGGTGGGCTTCGTTTCCGGAGCATAACTCGAGAACCGTTCAATATTTTTCAACAAAACTTGGTAGATATATCAAACAGAACCTTAAGTGGTGCCTTTTGCTATTTGCAGATTTTTTGGCGTATATATTTTTCCTGGTTTCCATGGAAACAATTCAGACTTAGTCCCAAAAGGGAGGGGTGGGCTTCATTTCCGGAGCACAACTTGAAAAGCGTTCAATATCTTTCAACAGAACTTGGCAGATATATTAGGCAAATTTTGAAATGGTGCCTTTTGCAATTTACAGATTTTTGGCATTTATATTACTCATGATTTCCATGGAAACGATCTGGACTTAGTCTAAAAAATAATCAAGCTGGACTTTAAGTAACTGTCAGATGATTTGTTCTTTCAAATATGTGGGGGGCGGGGGGATATGTCATCTTCTTATGACTCTTGTTCTGAATTTTTGTTACTTTTCATGAACACAAATATATAGAACACCTTAAGTCTTTTAAAATTTGTGTTGGGATCAGATCCATAATTCAAGCCCATTTCTGGTGTCCCCTGCCGTGATATTGCTGGAATATTGCTAAAAGCGGCGTAAAACCCAACTCACTCACTCACTCCATAATTAAAGTGACAAAAACAAATGAGTTTTTTCCGTGTAAACTCATCAGTAAGTTGATTAATTTTCTTGTTTTTAGAGTTACCTTCTGTGAATATCAAACTGAAGAACATCTTACAAAGTTTGAGAATGTTTAAAGGATTCACAAATAATTCATGCCCTTTGACAGGAGTCTGAAGCGGAGAAGTTCCTATGTGACCTGGCAGAAGAAGTGTCGACACGCCTCAAGAACATCAACATGAGGGGCAAGACAATCACGCTGAAGCTGATGATAAGGCGAGGGGATGCTCCCAAGGAAACAGCCAAGTTTATGGGTAGGATTTGACTTGAAAATATACTGAGTTCCCTAGTATATTGATGATTGTTGTATTTTTCCTTATCCTGACTCATGCTTATGTGCTTATCTTCTTCTTCTTTGTGAATGGTAGTGGAACACTTGAATCCCTTGTAGTTCATGAAGAGGACGTAAAAGTTCTCTCACCCACGTGTTGCCTCCCTTTTCCCACCAAAACAGTCATGTGACCTGCCATGCTTGTCAGGATAAAATGTATTTTAAAATATCACATTATGGTAGTTACTTAAAAATTACATTATGCGACGTATGTGTGTACGCCCGATTCTTGTTGTTGTTGAAGTTATTAGTGTTAAGGAGGAATAAGGTTACAGACAATAACACTTTTCAGTGGATTGGTGAGATATGTTCATTGTGTGTTTGATTCAGGTCATGGAATATGTACCAATGTGTCAAAGTCCTCCAGCCTCCCGATGGCGACGGATGATGGGAAGGTTATTGCCAAGGAATGCGTTGCCATGATGAGAGCCATGAAAGCTAATGCTGCTGACTTGAGGGGTGAGGTGCACTAGTTTCACTGTTCCATATACTTTCTTAAGCTAACCCATGAAGATCTGGGTTAGAATTGATCTTCAGTAACCCATGCTTGTCGTAAAAGACAACTATCGGGATCGGATGGTCGGGCTTGCTTACTTGGTTGTCATCATATTCCAACTGTGTAGATCGATGCTCATGATGTTGATCACTGGATTGTCAGGTCGAGACTCAATTATTTACAGTTCCCCGCCATATAGCAGGAATATTGCTGAGTGCGGCATTAAACAACAAACCAACCTTTTTCAGCTATAGTGTACAATCAGTGTAGGATCAATATAACAGCAACATTTAGGAGTTCACTTATTTCATGATTTATCAACCCCATCATGTTTCAAGTGTGGAACAGATCCCTCGTACTCCATATTTGTCATAGACTGAGATATGTGACCTGGGCCTGGTTATTATAATGTGAAAGGATGGACGTTAGGATTATCTTTGTGCAGAGATTCCTGGTTGTGTCACTGTTAGCTCAGGAGCTGAACATGATAAGGTGTATGAGAGAAAAGGCCAAGCAGTTTGGTGTAGTGGTTAGTGTCCGCCCAGAGAGTAGAAGGTCATGGGTTCGATCCCTGTCCACGTCATACCAAAAGACGTTAAAATATGGTACTTGTTGTTCCCTGCCTGCGCTCAGCATTTATGGGTACAAAATGGACTGGTTGGCTTGGAGTCAGTATAATGTGTCTGAGTGGGGTATTCATGTTTAACTGCAGCATGGTATCTCAGTGAGCAAGCACTATAAAACCAGCTGAAGTCTTGGCTAGTACAAGCAGCCACACATACACACGCATGCACACGTCGTCATATGAGCAAAATGTGTGACGTTAAACCCGATTTTACCTCAACATGCAGTGTTGCTCTTTCTGTATTAGTTAGGCCCTTTGTGTTCAAAAGAAGTGTCCAGGTGGATTGTGTGGAATGACTAGACTTTTCTGATTGCCTGAGTTTCTTGGTTTTACGCCGCTTTTAGCAATATGCCAGCAACATCACGGCGGGGGACACCATAAATGGGCTTCACACATTGTACCCATGTGGGGATTCGAACCCGGGTCTTTGGCGTGAGGAGCCAACGCTTTAACCACTAGGCTACCCCACCGCCCCCCTTTCTGATTGCATTTGTCATCATGACCTGATAGAATGGGACGTTGCTCATACTATTAATCACTAGATGTCTATTCCAGGCTCACAGACTCTCAGCCCACCGTGTTAGTTTGTATATCGCTGACTGTTATTAGACACTATTAGACACCATTCACCTATATCATTTTAAACAATTGAACCGCCGCCATATGGCAGGAATATTGCTGAGTGCAGCGTTAAACTAAACTCACTCACTTAAACAACTGATTTTGCATGTGTTGCAGATTGGAATACAGACTCACAGGCTGGAGAGTTCCACACTGGGAAGGTCGTCTACAGGTCCAGGCAATCAGAGCATCCTCAGCTCTGCTGTCCCCAGAAACAAATCCACGTCACCAAGTGCAGCCTCCCAGACCAAGCCTGTAGCCCCTCACAAACAGGATGAACAGGAGTCTAGCTTGACACAAGCCAAGGGGTCTTTTGATTGGTCAGATAAAAATATGCCTACATATGTGTCCGATGATGAGGAGGAGATTGATGATGTTGGTGTTGGAGACGAAGGCAATGCTGTTGTCTTTAGTTCTTGCAGTCTGCCAATACTGGAAGAACTTGCTCGGTGAGTGAATGTTACTTGACAAACTGTTTTGTTTAAATTTAACATACTTAAATGAATAGTACTCATGGCATGATAGATTGTATAGATATAATATTATGAAAGATTCTTCTTTCTAAGATGCTTGGTGAAAGATCAAAGGCACCGACAGTACTTTATCAGACAATAATGTGCACTTTTTTGCATTACATCACAATGTATTGGCGTCACTGCACCATTCTAGTCTGCCCCCTCGTAATCGAACAATTCTGCATTGTGTCACAATGTAAGCGATGTCACGATGCATGTCAGTTGTCATCGCCTCGTACAGCTTCCTACAGTAAACTACCCTGTTGCATCGCGTTTCTTGGTTTGCAGTTGCTTCCTGCAGCTAATATCACTGGTGGATTCATTACGTCTGTGTTTTCCGACGGTTAAAATGTCTCAATTCGACTCAAAAGTTTTCAGCCACACGGTAACGGTCGCAATGTTTACATTCCCACAATGCAATCGTGGAATGTTGCTGGACTACTCAGCTTCATCTAGATGTACTGATCTAAACTTACGTTGGTAGTAGAAATGTGACGTTCATATTGCCCCATATTGTTTACGTTAATCACAGATGTAATTAAAATGATTTAGAGAAGATATTCAATCCGAACGTAAACCGTCATCAAACTGTTTATCATTTGTTTTTTTGGTAACGTTAGTCTTAACATAGGGGGGCAGACACATCAATAGAACAGCGTGCCAGTTAGCCCTGTGCGAGGATTCTTAATTTAGGTCACCGACACTGTTGTTTGTTTTCTGCCTTAGATTAATCGTAATTATCCTTAGAAAGTATTAAATTTGGCATCTTAGAAAAGAAATACAGTTCACTCTACCACCATGTATAGTGTAATAAAGCACACTTTCGCCCTGAACTATTATAACGTTAAAGCACTCGGACAAAAGCATCCTCGTGCTTTAGCTATAATAGTTCAGGGCGAAAGTGTGCTGTATTACACTATACATGGTGGTGGAGCGAACTGTATTTCTTAAACAGAAGGCATATTTTTTGTTATTTGGTTTCTTGTAAAACCAACTAAACATACTACCAACTTTTTTTCCCACCTACAGATACAGAAAATACTGTTTTACATGCCTGAGAACATTAATTTTTTTTTAAAAAAGCATTATGTTACAGTTCACAGAAATATAAATGATGTATTTGAAATGGAGTCGTTATTTCTGGTGTGCATGTATAATATTTATTGTTTAAAAACCTCTGCTCATATTTTGGGTACAGATTGTTGTGTTCTGATAATTATAGCAGTGATCGCAAAGAAAAGAATTAACATAAATGCGACAAAAACGTTTCCATAATCATAAGAAGTCTCTGTTAAAAGCAGTGAATGACTGATTTGGGTTTTAAACCTCTATTAGCAATATTCCAGCAATATTGCTGTGGAACACCAGAAATTGGCCTTATTCATGTGAGGAATCAAGCCAGGGTCTTTGGCATTGAGGGAATGCTTTAACCATAAGGCTATTCCACGTCCCCAACTGAAAAAAAACTTTTTTCGATTCTGACTATGTCAAAAGTATGTGCTCATGAATTACTGTCAAGCAGTGATTATGCAAGGTGTGCCCCCAAAAAATTCATTATATCCTGCTGAATGGCAACTGCAAAGATATGTCGAATGTTCCCCTCTAAAATCATGGGAACATTTTGTACATTTTGTATAAAGAATTGCATCAGTCATCAAATGTGGAAAGCACACACAGTGAAAAAGTCACAAGACACCAGGACTAGTATTCCAGATCTGTGGATCAAACCAGTGTTATGTAATCAGACAAACACCCATTTGATTTACAGTCGATCTTGTGTTGATTTACAGGAAAAAGACAGCAAAGAAAACGACGCCACCTCTACCCTATCTGCCGGATTTCGGATCCCCTAAGACACCTGTCAGGAAGCAGACGGTTGAATCTCACAACGAGGCTCACGACTACTTCCCTTCTCCTTCACAGGTACATGACTTGGGTTTGACAACCTTGTGTACATTACAAACGTAGTTGTGGTACGTCATCAGATGTGGCAATCCAGATTGTGATTACTAGAACAAGCTCAGGTGTGGCAGGTGTAATGGTTCTGATAACCATCATAATCTCAGATGTGGCAATCCAGATTGTGATTACTAGAACAGGTTCAGGTGTGGCAGGTGTAATGGTTCTGATTACCATCATAATCTCAGATGTGGCAATCCAGATGTGGCAATCCAGATTGTGATTACCAGAACAGGATTACTAGAACAGGTTCAGGTGTGGCAGGTGTAATGGTTCTGATTACCATCAGATTGTGAAACTAGAACAGGCTGAGGTGTGGCAGGTGCAATCAGATTGTGATTACCAGAACAGGTTCACGTGTGGCAGGTGTATCAGATTCTGATTACCAGAACAGTTTCAGGTGTAGCAGGTGTAACAGATTCTGATTACCAGAATAGGTGTCACAGAAGCAAGATATTCTGAAATAAATATGTTGTGTTTTCTGATTTCAGATTGACCCTGAAGTGTTGAAGGAGCTACCGCCAGATATTCGGGCACAGATTGAGAAGGACATGGGCACAAAGAGGGCACAAACGAAGACCAGCACTGTACCAGCCAATCAGGGAGCAGATGAAGTTCCAGGTTGTTCTCATTGGCCGTCTCAGGAAGCAACTGTAACCAATGAGGATGAAGCACCTTACTCACCAGAATCCGGTCCTTCAACAGTTGAAGCAGAAGGTGGAAGCAGCATGGAAGCCTTACCGTCGTTCTCTCAGGTACATCAGTGTGAGGCAGTAAGCTAGCCACTGGGTCCCAGCAATGATCTTGGTTTACTTCCTTACAACCAGATGTGTGAAGCAAAACGGTTTTTGGAATACTTTACCTCTATTACATCATGGCCATAAATTCACTTTACAAAATCTATATATTTTCAACAGATGGTAATCGGTATTTGGCACCCTCCAGTATATGTAGAACATGATCCCTGCCTTAAAACTGGAGATTACCCTGACAGGGTGCTACTTCCCATCCGAGCTCTGAGATACCATAGCAACTCAAGACCATAAACATACACCAATTGGCTATTTGTCTCTCTTCTGATACAACATTACCATGGTCCTTGTGGCAGTTCGCTGAAAACCAGCAGATACCCAAGCATAAGAACATACAATTCTGAGTAATGTAATTACAAACTTTAGATTGGCGAAAATCTGGGTTGGTCTTAAGTAACACTTGTAGTGTGTGAGTGAGTTTAGTTTTACGCCGCACTCAGCAATATTCCAGCTATATGGCGGCGCATGAGTCTTGTAAGAGGTGACTAACAGGATCAAGTGGTCGGACTTGCAGACTTGGTTGACACATGTCATTCTATCCCAATTGCCTAGATCGAGTCTCATGCTGTGGATTGTTTGGTACAGACTTAATTATTTACCAACTGTCGCCATATACATGCAGCTGGAATATTGCTGAGTGCAGGATTAAATAACAAACAAAATAACTTTGGGATATTGCCAACAAACGATACTGACTTAATCACCAACTCATGTCATGGAAGCCTGTTTGTTACATAGGAATCAATCCTGGAGAATATACTGCAGCACATTGTCAGTTGTTCAGGGATGCCAACTCATGTCATGGAAGCCTGTTTGTTACATAGAAATCAATCCTGGAGAATATACTGCATGACATTGTCAGTTATGTATTCAGCGGCGTCCGTACCTACGTACGTCCCAATTCTTGTTAACCCGATATCTCATGAACTCTTCAAATTTGGTGACAGCAACCATTGGGGGATTACCCAGACACCAGTCGATTTGGGTGACCTTGATCTTATCTTCAAGGTCACCACGACACTTTGAACACTTTCAAACTCGTGTTAATGTGATATCTCATGCATGTTGTATCCAATACCTTCAAATTTGGTGACAGCCTACATTGGGGGATTACACAGACACCAGTCGATTGGGGTGACCTTGACCTTATTTTCAAGGTTACCACGACACTTTGACCACTTTTCAAACTCTTGTTAACGCGATATTTCATGGACTGTTGTATCCAATGTCTTCAAATTTGATGACAGCCTACATTGGGGGATTACACAGACACCAGTTGATTTGGGTGACCTTGACCTTACCTTCAAGGTCACCACGACACTTTGACCACTTTTCAAACTTATTTAAACGCGATATCTCATAAAACATTGCACCCAATGTTTTCAAGTATGTTGACAGCCTACATTGGGTGATTATGCAGACACCAGTCATTTCAGGCATCTTTTATGTGACCAAAATATAAAAAGTAGTAAATATAGATATTCCATTCTTTAGCGGCGGGGGACATTGCCATATCAGTTGCAAACACTTGTCCAGGGATGCTTCCAAACATGCCTCTGTGATTGTGACATGTCTTTTTATGAACGGGTAGTGAAATAAAGCCATGAAGTACTCACAGAATATAAATGTCCCCTATGCCTTGTATTTTTTATAGTTTTGGGAACCCTACCAATGTCTCACATTAAGGACAAAGCTGATGATTAAAAGGCTAGGACACCTGTATGTGTTGTCAACCATCAAATAATGCCATTTATGCAATGTTTAATGCAAACACTTACTGTTATCCTTGCTGGAAGCAGTCAGTGGCAGTCAGGGTTGTCAGCAGCAGTGATGGAGAAATGCAGTGTATACAATGAAAGAGTGAGTGAGTTTAGTTTTGCGCCACACTCAGCAATATTCCAGCTATATGGCAGCAGTCTGTAAATAATCAACTCTGGGCCAGACAATCCAGTGACCAACAACATGAGCATCGATCTATGCCATTGGGATACAATGACAACGAGCCTGACCACCCGATCCCATTAGTCGGCCTCTTATGATAAGCATGGGTTGCTGAAGATAAGATCTTCATGGGTTCGATAAATGAACTGATGTAGAATTCCAGGTACAATCTGCATTTTTTACCAAACACATTTCCATATTTTTCCTTCAGTATTGATATTGGTGCACTTTATGTTTCTATCTATCTTAAAACAAATAATTACTCTCTCTCAGCTGGACATGAGTTGTCTTAATGCTCTCCCTGAAGACATGCAGAAGGAAATCCGGGACGAGTATGTTCGTCAGGGCCAACATTCAGCAGAGCCGACTGAGGATAATCAACCTCCACCCCTGCAACTTCAGCAGGCCAAGTCTCCCTCCAAAGGAAGAGAGCCAGCTAGAAGGTCACCCAGTAAATCACCAGGGCGAAGCAAGAAAAACAGTCCTGTCTTCAAGGTCCCCAAAGGATGTCCAGTAGGTCGAAAGAAGCTGAGTGCAAAGAAGCTGGAATTCGCAATACAGCCCAAGATAACAACTAACTATGGGGTGAAGGTGAGTAATTACAAAATCACCCTGGAGCTAAGATAAACAAATCATCATCAGATACTTATTTTCAGATATTGCCAGTATTTTCTTTCCCTTCTGTTTAGTTTTCTCAAAAAGCAATTCAGAATTTTTGAAATGGAAAGATTCTTCTGTTGATATCCATGCAAGGTTGACATTCACAGAAGAGATATTAAGATCTTTTTTCACTGCAGTTTCTTTAATGAAAAATGTCATGTTCAGTGTATGAAATAAGGCCGTTTCGACCGCCCGAGAAGGATGATCTAAATTGACAGCTGGTCAGCCTGATGATCTGGTCTTTAGATAACATGTTCCATACATCTGAGTAAATATACCATATCTTAAAATCTATCCTTCAAATTGAGCGTTACTATAGACTTGACAATTACTGTTTGAACATTGAACCTTCGTATCGCAAGCTCAAAGCACTGCGTTGACTTGTTGAGTTCTGCAAATATGTTGTAAATACATGTCTCAGGTTCATTGAATTATTCATTGTACCTAAAAATTGAGTTTTTCTTTGGATTGTCTGGTCTGGTTAAATCCATTTTGGGCTGGTAACATTTTGAAGTTACCAGCCCAGATGTCTGGCTGGGTTTCTGGCTTATTTCATACACTGTCATGTTGCATGTTTCAAATGGCCCTAACAATGATGAGACTACGTTGAAACTTTACAGGGCTTATTTGCATGATCAGTTTTGTTTATGGCAATATGATCACCTGTGATAATTATTTTGTTTCACAGAAATTCAACACAACAATATTAATGATTTATTCATGATGCTAAAATCATGTATATTTAAGTTAAAAACTGTGTTTTGAAAACATAAGATTGTCTTTCAGGAACAATATACCCTGAGCGTGAAAACATTGAATAAGTAACACAAGACGTACCGTATTGATCATTACAATAAGGGATCGTTCATAATTTATGGCTAGGGGGGTGATGATGATTTTTATGGAGAAGCATGTACAATGTGAATGACAACCCCTAAAATTTATGTACAAAATAAGTGCATGTCATGTACAAAAAATGACCCCAGCCCCTTCCAATAATTTCTAATCATAATTTTAAACATATTTTTATGTATTTTTGCTGGCAGACACCCCACCCCCTAGTACCTGTGTACAAAATTGCTGATCCCCTCTAGCTCCCCAGAACAAAATGGGTGACCCCCCCTTAAAATCATCATCACCCCCCTAGCCATAAATTATGAACTGTCCCTAAGAGCGTTTAAACTGATTTAAAATTTAAATGCATACAAATGTAAGAGAAACGGCTCTTCAAAAGTTGAAGGACACAGGATGATGAATATTTTAGTATGTCGTTGTGATCATAACCTGACATTTTGGTGCATCCTCCGTCAAACTTCGGGTTCTGTTGATGTTGCAAAAACAAATATCCCTCAGAAGTTGTTAATACTGTGCTTGAGTTTAGTTGCAGAATCCCAATCGTTAAGGTATTGACCGCTGAGAAATGACGTTCAGATCATTCTGAAACACTGTGACGAAATTAAAATAGAATGGTCTGATGTACTCTGTGGTTCAGTTGCTAGGACATTACAGTGGAAGTTTGTTCCCACACTTACAGGATGTTTACAATATGTTGCAGAACTCAGGGAAGAACCTGACTGAGACACCACAGGCCACGCCCATCCCTGCCCCTCCCCCAACAGAGCCTGATCCCACAGAACAGGAGGAACAGGTGAACCTCTGTGGAGCTGTTAGTATGGAAGAGGTCAAGCACCTGCTGGTGGAGTGGCTGGAGGCTTGTCCAGGTAGATAGGATTGGTGGACAGTTGAATTAATTAATTTATGGATGGACTGAATGGTTCTAGTCTTGCAGGAGTGGACAATGTCCACTTGTTGGTTGGTTGTTTAACGCTGGCAGCCGTCTGAAAATAATCGAGTCCAGACCAGACAATCCAGTGATAAACATCATAAGCTTCAATCTATGCAAATGGGCTACACCAAGGCAGCAATGCTGACTACATTACACCATTGGCAGCAATGCTGACTACTTGACTAGCATTGCTGATTAATTGTCAGCATGGGGTGCTGACTACTTAGAAACAGATTATTGTCGATATCAAAGTAGTAATTGGGTCTGGGAATTCAGTTGGGTGTATCTAAATGATAAACTAACATCCTTTGGTCTCCGATCAATCTGCTGTGGATCTCCAAAACTCTAAAACCAGTAGTCACTTGAGCTAAGACTTTCTCCCTCTATTTAAGCTTTCAAAAGTTCCATCAAAACCTTCCTCTTTAGGAAATATTACAAAGTCTAATTTAAATCTTCAGCCACTTTCTTCTTTTATACACTGAAAACTGTTTTTCCTCATTTGTATGTCCTTGATATTGTAGTGCTTTGAGCATACATTTTGTATTGAATTCAGAGCAATATAGATACACATATGATATTATTATATTGAATATGATAATAACAAATAATCCCATTTACATGGAAACAGAGCCCCAGTGAGAGGGGAGGTTCAAAACCTGAGGAAATCTAGACTTGCGTCAATTAGGGCTTTAGCATTGCAGATAGGGATAAACAGAAGGGAAAATAATGTGGTTCAGGGACTGTGGGACAGACTAGTTTACAGGTTTATATGATGTTTGCTGACTTATTAACAATTAATTGAAATGACATAATTGTGTTGATGTTTTAAGTTTAACTGGATCATCAAAAAGTATCGCCACACTTATTTTCATAAAGACACACCTAAATTATCCGTCTGGTGCCTTGTGGAACCTTTGACAAAATTTGCTGTTCTATCCCTGGTTGCTGAAGACAGACATGCAGGTTATTGTGGATGTCAAAGTAGTAAATGGTTCTTCTTCAGTTGGCTGTAGGGCAGGTGGGGTAGCCTAGTGGTTAAAGCATTCGCTAGTCACACACGAAGGCCCGGGTTCGATTCCTCACATGGGTACAATGTGTGAAGCCCATTTCTGGTGTCCCCTACGTGATATTGCTGGAATAATGCTAGAAGCGGTGAAATACTACACTCACTCTCTCAGCTGGCTGTATTCCATTTCTGGTGTCCCCCGCTGTGATATTGCTGGAATATTGCCAAAAAGCGGCGTAAAACCATACTCACTCACTCACTGTATTCAAAGTGATATTGTGTGTACACTTATGGCGGTGTGTGTGTGTTGCAGAGCCCCAGGAGGAGGACATCAGTGTGATGCTGGAATATCTGGGTCAGCTGGTGCTGGACCACAACCTGGAGCAGGTCGACCTGGTCCTCAAGTTCCTTAACAGGTCAGTGAATCTAGATTGTTTCATTTGACAATTCATCAACATGTCATACAGAATCATGGGAACCGTGCCAGTTACATTTGCCAGAGGGGTACATATGTATGTGATCCAGACTACCAGTTGTCAGACACTATTTTATGGACGCTGCAATGTCTGAGTGGGTTAGATCGCTGACTTGACTGTGTGATGTCGATCAGGTGCCTTAGGCTCAGACTGTGGGTTTGATTCCTGGAAGGGACTCAACCCCCAAAAGTACTAGAATCTGTACTTTTCAGAGAAAGTGTAATTCCAAATGTTACGTGTGCAACATCATACAATATCCACTTTGTTTTGCTGATTTTGATCATCTTATAAAGGTGAGCTTCTGTACCTAAATTGAATTGCTCTAAATAATGTTTTGGTTTGTTTTTCAGGAAAATAAGGAAGCTTGCCAACACACATTGGTATGAATCATTCAAGAGTATTCTCACAAGCACACAGGAAGTGATCAAATCTATCCACGGATGTCAACTCAATGTTGATTGGCTGCTTGCCAGATGAAGCTACATGTATACCAATCATAATCTATTTATTTTGTGTCATCTCAACTGATCACAGGTGCTTTGCATTGTTATCATGCTGGTTAATGGATAGTGTGCACTCAAGAATCATTCTCAGCTTCCTGGAAAGTATACAACCAAAGCTGTCTATGAGGAGGCATATAATCCTACCGGGTACCCATTAACTTGTGTGAACAAATTTTGATGTCACTTGTCAAAGAAACTTTTCATGTGACACTTCATCTTCAATGACAGGCAGGACCAAAATCAAGAAGCTTTTTAGATCAAGACACCAAACATTATCACCCATCTAAACACTCTTAAACACAACTGAACTGCACCTGGTTTGTTACCTGTGCGCTTTTATCAGGACCATGTACTTATTTACTGACCAAATGGTGGTAAGGTAATGATGAAACATTGGTAATGAAACACTGAAAGATGACAGAAACACACTTATTGTAGAGTTTTAGAATGGCTTGGAAGTACCACTAAATAACACATACAGTGGAGAATATTTTTTGTGAGCATGAAAATCTGCAAATGTGTCATTTTTGGTACAAGTAATGTGCAAATTTTCCTTTTCAAATTCATAATATAAGTTGTATGCTTCTCTCAAGGGTAATACAGTCTGATGTACGCCACTTTGTAGCAGTGTTACCCAAGCCGGTAGGCGATGTACGCCTCTTTGTAGCAGTGGATTTTTTAAATCAGTGAAACATATTCTGACAAGCTTAAAACTGCTATGAAAGTGGTTAATAATGTTTAAGTTGAGTGTGCAAATGATTCAATGTATAAAATAGTTTAAATAAAGCAGTGAAAGTCAATGCAATAACTCGGAAATGAAGTGTTATACGGAAGTTGTGGGTTGCCTCCCTCGGTTAGCTCAAAAACAGCTAATTGAATGGTTTTCAAACTCAGGGCACTGCATGCTTCATATTATGACGTGATACGATTGTTAGTGATGCAGCTTCTCAGCAGAGAGTTTGGCGGTTACTGTGGCAGCGGGTAATATTTTTCCAGTTGTCACCCTCCAATGAAATTAAAGTATTTTACATTAAGGTAAGATGAAATGGATTACATGAACACATGTGTATCATCATATATGATCATCAAATCTAATCTGTTGAAAATAACTGAAGTTGATTTTGGCAGAGAAGCACCACTTGTAGTAAGCAGATGGACACAACTGGACCATGGTCAGGTTGTAGAAACCGGCCTTAATTTGGTTGAAAATAAAACTAATAGAGTTGGCTGTTGTATGGCATAAAATGAGAAACGTGAAAATTTAACATTTAACAGTTTTACACTTTTCAAGGGGAATGTGCTCACAATCGTATTGTTTTTGTGCTCTTTTCTCAGTGCTGTAACACTGAATGATGAAATGATTGAAAATATGGAGACCTGAGGGGTGAAAATACAAGCTTTAAGAACAACTACTTCTATTCTTTGAATATCCTTTTGACAGAAATTAGTGAGAAATGTTTTAACAGCTATCACATTCAAATGAGATCTTTTACTCTGTAATGTTGCTCTGCATGAAGGTTTCAGGAGGCCACATCAGGGGAACTCTCTTATCAAGTTTAGTAATTCTTTGTATGGGTGAGCAAAACATCTCTAAAGTATGTAACTTGAAAACAAATTCAAATCTAAAATGGCTCAAATTTATTGTAGTGCCACTATAATGTTGTGTATATTTTATAGAGTCAGTGAGCTTTGTTTCTTTTTGACAAAAATTGAAATTTAAGGATATAAAGTAGTAAATAAAAAACTCTAATGTTTAAAAAAGCTGACCTTGATTGGTTCAAGAATCCACTCATCCTTTATTTGATTGTTTGGTCAAATTCTGTGTGAGATGAGAATCATATTTTCTGTGAGGACAAACTGCTAAATTTATGTCCAACATGACTGTATTGGGGACTGAATTTTCTGAATATTTGTGTCAACAATCAAGCACTCTGTGATAACGTGTCTAGATCATTTGTAATATTGTATGGAAGACACAACCATTTTTACTTTGTTTTCTACAAGTTTTAAGGTGGACACTGAGGATAAAATGTCAAAAGTTCAATGTGACAATAGTCAAAGAAGACAATAATAAACTATACTACTCAAAAGGAGTTGGGAACTTTTTCATTTTGATATTTTCATTTGATATCAGCTTTAACCGTCTGTGAAGTAAACCACTGGTCTGAGGCCCAAGTCAAGTTCAACAGTCTGTCTGACAAGTGGAGCTGATTAGTTTAATAATGTTTTTCTCACATGAATCTTTTGTCAACTAGCTGCAACTAATCCAGCTAATAAGTAAATTGCATTCAACACACCAATAAAATTGAATATTTGAAGAATTTTGCAAACTTAATCTGTACATGTAAAGATGACACTGAACCATGCAATGGTTCTGAAACCTTAGTTCCATAAAACATTTGCAACCTGCTCTTTTACTTGTGTTTTTTTCATTTGCACAACTGATGATATGTACCATTAGAGGGTTTTTTGTTTTAATTCTTTTTATTCATTTCAGAAGGTGTACATTGCCGGGTAGAGTGAAAATTGATATTACAGCACTTACAATACAGTACAACACAGGAGATAGTCGTTTCGTGATATGGGCGTACTATAGGTTCACTAAGTATTCAATTAATCTATTTGGCCATTTTTTTGTAAAATTTGACAATCCTGTTGTTTTTCCTGGCTATGTATCTTTTGACTATTACAATATAATCCCAACAGAACTGTGAAATTTGTGAATACTAATTCAATATTAAGAATGTTTCTAAGAAACACTCTTAATTCATTCCAAAATGTACCATTAGAGGTTAATAAACACAAGGTCAGGTCAATGGCAATGTTTTAACCGATGTCAATTTTGGTCAAGATTTTGGCACAGACTAAACATGTGGGACTTGTCATTTAGTGTGGGAGGGTGATTGAAGGGGCGGAGGAGAGGAGGGTATAGCCCACTTAAACAGTGTACTGACTCCAGGATCTGGATTAAAATTGGTCTTCTTGTTTGTCGAAAGAGGCAACTAAAGAGATCAGGTGGTCAGGACTGCTGACTTGGTTCACATATGTCCTCATATCCCAATTACATAGATTGATGATGATGCTTGGAGGCATTTCAAGTGTTTTATGTAAATGATGTAAGTAATATATCTTTCACAACCCTCCTTGTTCAGCCCACACAAAAAAACGGCTCCTTGAAAAGATGACCGTGAATGCACAGAATATTGAGTATAAAGGGTAAAAATGCAGCAAAGATTAGTAAAATAACCTAGTGGCTTTTTTATGCACTAGTCTTAATCCCCAATGTGTGCAGAGTTGCCCCATTCCTTTGTATTGTTATAATGTTTCAAACAAAAATGTAAAACCATACTGACATTTATGATTCCAGCTCTATTTTGGACTCATTTATAACAAAAGAGCACTGTTAATGATGAAATGCACATTTATTATGTTTCACTATTGCTCTCTACATTTCTAACATTCTAGTGACATGCAAGGCTCCAGCTGGGATAAATGTAAGGCAAATGAAAGCCAGATGAAAATAACATTATGTTTGTGACATTTTATAGTGTAATAATTAGGTGGCAGCAATACACAGTCATGTCAAGTTCAGTGAAAATGTCTGTCTTTTCCTTGGAAAACATTCGATGTTTCAAGTAGTCACAAAGCGGTCCTCATTGAAACTCCCTTTCAATTTCATTTATTCAAATAGTATCCAAGACATCATTAATTGTTGGTCTTCCTGTCGGATCAACAGCTAGCATTCTACCAACAATCCCCTTAACACCATCAGAGACAGTTGCTTTCACTGCAGTTTCAATCTCGTCATCACTGCAGAGAGCCATGGGCCGGTCGTCTCCTGCAGATTTGACCGCGGGGCAAAGTGTTTTCTTTTCCAGCCGCATTGAAAACAATGCATAAACTACAACACCGAGACTGAATACGTCTCCCGAGCTTGAAAACTGGCCTTCTTTGTACTCCGGAGCCCAATACAAAGTCAGTCCACACGGTCCACTAATATAAGCACCAAGAGGTTGGTTTCCTGCGAAGGAACTTGACAAAATGTCCCTCGAACAACTGCACTTGGTTAAATTGAAATCAGAGAGTTTGAAAATTGGTTTGTTTCCATGAGACAAGGTCAACATGATGTTTTGTGGTTTGACATTTCCGTGCACAACGTTGTGTTTGTGCATGTGCTGAAGGCCATGGGCGACATCTTTCATTGCTCGTAGGATTGCTACGTCGTCCATTTTCTCGTTGATTGCAAAGTCATTAAGATTCCCCGGCTCACAGAATTCAAGGACGACATATATCTTGTTATTTTCGGTGAAATGGTCAATAAATGTGACAATATTCTCATGACGTGGGAGATTTTCGAAAGCTTCAATTTCAGTGTTCACAGATGATGTATCGATAGATTGTTGAATTTCTATTTCTTTCAAAGCAAAAGCGTCCCTAAAGTTTGTGACTTTGTGAGTTTTACCGAAAGCTCCGTTTCCAAGCGTTTCAAAAATTCGGTATTTCCCACCGATCTTCATTTTAAAGGATAAGTGTCTGCAAATAAAAGTCGTCAAAACCCGGAAATGAAGTGTTATCGGGAAGTTGTGGGTTACCTCCCTTTGTATTCAATCACACAGAACGTTGAATCTGGATAATTGAACTTCGAAATGAGGGACATTTGGGGTTGGATAATTTTCTTAGATATTTATTGAACTGATTTTTTTCACATGTGATAGCTATGTATATATACAAAACAATCCACTTGGATGCAGAACTATGCTTTGTTTATTATCTCACGTGTACTCATCGTTACTGATCAACACCAATCCTTTACCATCTCATGCAATAGTTATTTCATTATTATAAATTAATAGTTGAAGTCCAGTGGAAAAGTTTTGGCGAGCATTTTAACATTATCAGTTTTATCACTCTTATCTGTCGTTTCAAGAAGAAAATGAGAACTTCATGAAATATCAATCATTCATTCACCGAAATCAACCAATTATTTCAATGACATACACACGAGTCTCTCCACCGAAAAACATTTCCTTGAGGATCATTTCCCCCTTACCTTTGGACGACATGATGTATGTGCATATTCTTTCTCCTCCAACATGTGAGTGAAAGCTGTGAAGCAGATAGCTATATATGTTCACGTGAAAACAACAAAAGTGAACAAATAACAAAGCAAAGTGAGGGAAAAGGATAACAGTACTGACTGATAGTAGTGAAGCCTTCTATATACGTGGTCATGTATTATATGTACATCCTTATCTAATTGTTATCTACCGCCAGGCTAACATGACACAATACTTCATATTAGTTTACCATTTATCATTTCAGCATTTACCACAACATTCACACAATATCCTAAAATTCAATACACGTTACAATGAAGAGTGACAATGAAGTTTGAATCAGTTGCTGTAAATATTATTGCACATTATGGGATTGGTTGGAATTCTTTCCATTGTCTATAATTAAAAACACTCTATATTATGTGGTAAGTATACTCTGTCAATGCAGTTGTATTTTTTTTGTGTGTGTGTGTGCGTATGTGCTACGAACACCTTCAAATGCACCCGTATTGTACAGGGCAGATGAAATCAGTTTGAAATCAGTAATGTACCTGATCCTTCAGTGAGTGAGTGAGTTTAGTTTTACGCCGCACTCAGCAATATTCCAGCTGTATGGCGGCGGTCTGTACATAATCGGGTCTGGACCAGACAATCTAGTGATTAACAGCATGAGCATCAATCTGCGGAATTGGGAACCGATGACATTTGTCAACCAAGTCAGCGAGCCTGACCACCCTATCCCGTTCAGTCGCCTCTTACGAAAAGCATGGGTTACTGAAGATCAATATTATAACCCGGACCTTCACGGGTCCTGATCCTTCAGTCACTCTCAAACAATCAAATATTGTTGTAGTTTTAATCAGATATTAAAGGATGTTTTGACCCCCTGATATCCGTATGTTTTGAGGACAAAGATTAAAGTGTCATTTTTGAAAATGAAGAACGATTTTGTGTATGGAAGGGACCAAAGAAAAAAATAAGTCATTGAAAAATTGTCAATGACCTATCATGTGTCATGATGTGTGTTCTTTGTTTACTGATGTGAAGATGATCACGTGGTAATATGTACATGTATGTTTATGAACAGATCCTTACAGGACTGGATGGTGTTCCATCAGGGCTCTCAATATGGGCAAATGATATTTGTGGATGACACATGTGCTGGTGTTTGTCCAATATAAATTACAGATATGCCCCGGGGCGTGCACAGTACAAGCCAAGTCGTCAAAGCACGAGCTGCACGTGTCAAAGGCATAGGGAACATATTTCACGTGCATCACGCAGAGTGTTCTTACATTCAAGCATGAAGTTCTTGTGTATCTTTGTTTCAAATAAGGTTTTCAAAACAATGCTGTTGAAACCTTAAAGTCGTTCATGTTATGTGACTTGTGGCCATGTATTTTTTTTGTACGACCAGTTGGATCCAAATTTTTAACAGTGGAAATGGTCTGCACTAAACCCATCTGCGGCACATCATACCATCTTGGTATTCGTACACCAGTGAAAATTATCGGATTCGTTTCTTATTTTTCGATTGCTCTGATTGGTGAAACGGCATTCTCTGGAGATGCAATGACGGTTTTATTTCATCTTCCTTTCCATTTATCTCCTTTTAGTAAAGTTAATATGGAAACAACCCAATTAGAACCTCTCTATTATATCAAGGGAGGTCACTCTATTCAAGGGAAGCAACTCTACGCATCCCGCACTGCACTTCCATGTGACTTTCATCAGATCTGTCAAGAAACCTGACGCAATGGAAATGTTGGCCTCGCGAGTCTTGTGTGGAAGATGCTTCCAGCCATTGTCCAAAAGCTGCTCATTTTTCAAATCAATGGCAAATAATTGTCCGACATGTCCACCCACGAAAACCGGTTTTGTGTCGGTAAGCCGGTTTGACTCGCTTGAGCACGTATTTTCGTCCTTGAGATTCGATGTAATTTTTCCTTGGTACATACTCCCAAAAACTGTTTATTTGGGTTGCATGTTTTTACACGATCTCTCATTGGTAGCTATATATGCATTTCTTATTTCTTTCGTCCGTTGTCCTGCGTCTTGGCAGGTTTACAGAAAATTATATAAGCTGTTGAAGCGTACTTACAATATTTGTTGGGTCTGTATGTAAATTTGTAACCCAGGAAAATACAGTAACACTCCCAACTGGTAGACAGAATGCACGGCAAACTTGTAGACTTTGTAATCATCTTACCAAATTTAAGGTAAAGAGCTCCTTCCGTTCCCCCAACTCTAAACCTAATCCTAAACCTAGCCCTAACTTAAGTTTTGAACTTTTAATCATTTTGTGAGTTCTCTAGTAATTGTTGTGTTAAGTTTAGTTTATAATTCTAGAATATTTATACATATTATTTGGGATGGGGGAACGGGAGGAACTCTTACCAATTTAACATTTGGTATGAAGAGTCAGCAAATATTTTTGAAAATGTGTGTAATCTCCAATTTTATCTAGATAACAAATGTATGGTTCAGACAGAAATTGCCTGTAATGTGATTATGAAAGTTTGAAAGTAATTGTGAACATTTAAGTTTGATGCTTGTGAGCACCAGGTTGTCAACATCGGTGATGTTTCAGCTTTCATCGTACAAGCCAACACACATTGATGGAACAAAAATACAATTTAAAATGCAATTAATCTTAATCTGCAAATACATTTTAAACAGAGTAAACTATGAATACATCAAGCACTTAAGTTATGTAGTTATTCCTGCAAATGTTTTCATTCTTGCTGCATATCTAATAGGGCTGTGCATATTACCGGTAAACCAGTATATACCTGTGCAGTATCTCACGATACGATTATTGCGATATGGTTCAGCTTCTGCAATATATTGGGTCATCCAGAGTTAGCCCCCTTTGAATTATATGCCCTTGACTTTCATGGCAACAATATGTGCTCTAAAAGTGTCAAATATAATTTTATTTCAGTTGGTTTCATGTAACATTTTACAAGTGTAATTATCTTTATAAGTGGCTCCAAAAGAGCCAAATATTCTACTAAGTTTTGTGGGTTTGAATGGTGTCATATGTGACAGTTTGGAGGAATTAGGTGGCCTCAAATGGGCCAATGTTTTATTTGGCCTTATTAGTAGAGCCTCTGGCTCTGAGGTACCATTTCACAATTCAAAATGTATATTATTTTTGTTTGTTTCATAGTGCAGGATTTTACACAGACTTTGAAAAAAGAGAGTCATGGTGACTCACAGTATTTAGTTTGGGGAGTCATTTTCAATGTTTGGGAGTCATGAATCTTTAGTGTAATATTTATTTGTGTATATAAAAAAAGCAAGAGTTTTGCAGAGATTTTGTTGTTTTTGTTGTGTTGCCGTTTAAATGTTACCGGAAGTTAATAGTTTATTTTTCAGTTCAAATCAGTCATAACAAAATCCAGTAAACTGAACAAATAATCATGCTTGTGATTTATTCACTGTAGCATACAGTTAATAACATGAATTAAAAGAAATATCTAAATTAATGAAGACCTCATGAAAACTATCATTGTTTGCATATCAAATCAATTTTATTGAACTGAATTCAGGGGGTCACTCATAAAACTTGCGTCAAGCTTGACTCGTATGATAATATTTTGAGAGTCTTTTACAAAATTGTTGCGTCAAATACGCAAAAATCATGCGTCATGTAAAACCCTGTAGGGGGATATATGTTATCAATTTATCATAAAAGCTTAAAGGGCCACTGATCAGAGCGATTAATGTTTCTAGCCAACAGTCTAATTACGAAACCAAGCTGCAGGCTGATCACTACCTGCTCCCTCGACCGCGACGGACACGGGGACTGGGCTACTGTCCACCTTGACAGAATTTCTTCAATCTAATCAGTGGGACATTAGGAAGATTGAATGCCCATCAGATGCCGTAATATCCCCGGTAGTTCTTATCTGATTGTAATAAAGTATCCCAGCAGTGTAGGCTTTTTCATATTTTCAAATACTTGGATGGTATAGTGACTGATCCAATTTGATCCTATTTCTGTGCTTTTAACCTCGATATTTAATCAGAAATATTATGTCTATTTCCTATGCTATGATATCAAAAACACACAATTTTTAAACTTATCCTATCTCACGATTTGCACTTCTCTCTCTTGCTTCGGCGTTGAGTGGAACGAATGAGAACTTTTCCTGTAGGCCTCTCTTGTCCATACACCCGTGTTCCCCAGGCTGCTCTCCTTATAGGACAGGTCCCTAGTCCCCGGCTAAGCGTGCAGCACGTTCCCCTGTCTACCCACGTGACTACCTCAGAGTGATCATTTCTTCTTCTTGTCGCACCACTGTGTGGACGTATTGTGAGAGTTCTCAGCTTTCCTTACAATTAACATAAATATATCATGGGTATTTGACCCTAAGTAGCGTAATTTTGCGCACACTGTAACAATATTTACTTCCTCGGAACCTTGTCATGTGTGGGTTGTATTGACCTGTGTTCCTGGAGCAAACGTTGTCGGGAATGTTCTCCCTTATCAAACACGTTTTTAGAGCATATAGACATGCTTGCTCCCGTTGGCTGTCAGACAGAGCTAGTTACACTTCAACAGTTGATCACCCGACAAACCCCCGCTTTTAACGACTTGTATTAACTGCTTGTCGTCCGGAGATTCCCATGTCGGACGGTGGTGATTTTATTGGCGCATCATCTGATGTCTACTCGTTGTTCCGCCTCATTAAACCGCTCTGTGTTGCCAGCTGACTCACACAGCCGATCTACATCGTCAAATCGCCAAACCAATTCACCACACCGAATCGGTTCGCCATACCGAATGGATCCACCAGACCGAACCGTTTCCCCACTGCGTATATGGATTACGACATCGACTCAATTCGCCATAATATTAAGACTGTTTCTTATCGCCGAAACAGTTCACATCATCGATTCGATTCACAGCACCGAAACGGCTCGCCTTGCCGTAACATCTCTCTTCACCGAAACGATTCACCTCGTTGAACCAATTCACCTCGGCCGGAACATTTCACCTCGCCTCACCGGTTCATCTGTAGTGAACCCAAGCTCACTACTCTCCCCAAGACTCCCCATATACTTTGTTAGGCTTACTTTCAAATTTTTTATAAGAAACCAAATTATTCTTCGAAGTCTACATAATTTTACAACATAAGATGGAAATATTATCGAGTAAAAAAGGTTTCATCTTTGTTGATCAGTCTATACTTATACTATCAATTGCGCATGAGGGTGGCGCAGCAGAAGTAACGAACCAGTCATGAAATCTGGGATATCATCCGGGTAGTCATGGGGAAAAAACAATAACAAAAGCAACAACCAGTCCACGGAAATTGCTCTGGATCAGTGGCCCTTTAAGTCTTACAAATTTTGTAGGACTGTATAATGACATTCTAGTCAAGGATCTTAGCATTGGAGGTTACATGCGTTTTTAAGCTCAAGTAGTTCACCTAAATCATGTTTTTGTTTCATTTTGCAATAGTTCATGTTAACACATGTTTATACTGGAGTTGAATCTGAATGAATCACTGACATACGAGGGGCGATCAAAAAGTATGTAGAATAACCAAGAAAATGATACAAATGCAGTTATTTTTATGTTTTATATTTCTACATATTATCTGTCAAGCTCAAGCAATTTGGATTTGCTATGTTCCAGTCTCGCGATCCCCATTTTGTTTGACCTTTTATCTTGGTACCCTAAAAAAAATGCGAAATCTACAATAAATGCATCAAAAACTTCAGGAAACAAAATATGCAAGAAATATTTTGTGTGTTTTGGGATTGATAGAAGTCCCTTAGAACCACACTTAGTTATTAAAGTGCATAAAAAAGCAATTTGAAATTACAATCGCTTGTTAAAGTAACTCCACACTTCATGTTGACTGAAAGAGCTTGTTTTGGAGACACTACCCATCCCCCTTTCAGATGACGTAATCATAAGGGCATAGCTTATTCTAATGTTTTCACCTATGCATACATGATGCCAAGGGTTCAAACTAAATACTGAATGGTCACACAAGTGTCAGCTCACAATATATTGTAAACTGTGCCAGCTTGAATATCTGGACACAATGTTTTTGAAAGATTAAAATGGGGGTGTCCTTAAAAATAGCCCCCGACTAAATATAAATCAGGCAGTCCAAATCTTTGACTGTTGATCATGACGGGAAGTCATCCAATACTATAGTGAACATATTTTATATGACATTATCTGAGGGCATACCATTATCCAAGAGGTACCAAAAGACAAATCGTTTTTCATTTTCTGCAGTTTTGTTAGAAATATTATACCGCAATGTGTTGTGATGACAAATATCTGGTTAACCACATTACCCACACATGTGAAATGTTGGATATGGGTTTGCTACTGATTCCTTCAAAATAAAATGGAAGCTTTTCAAACATTGGACATCAAGAATATAGTTAGGCTACGTACTTTTTGATCGACCCTCATACCATAACAATAAGTACATCCTGCATTGAAGTGCACTCTGTTGAAGCAAACAACACTGACCATGAAAATTATGTTATACTATTACCTCTATCATTATGTTAGCAAAACTTTGTTGCAATACTTCAATTAAATATTCCACATAAAAGCTCTATTTCATTATATTTATCTGTAAACCATTGGCATACAGCCATACACAATGGGGACGGGGAGCCTGAAAGTATGGAGTAACAACTAAGAAGATGATGTAGCACACAGAGAGCTATTATGAATTTATCATGTATGCACTTGGGCAGAAACCTTCCAGTCAGTATATCACAATATATATTGCAATATCTCTGAAGTTATTGCAATGTATCGCAATATGTAAATCCAGCAATATCCAGCCCTAATATCTAAGCACAATTCCTTTGATTTCAGTTTCGACCAAGATTTTCCACCATGTCCACAATGAGCAACCCCAGTCGGCAGGTGTCCGTCCTCATTCCACAGACAACACATCTCAACAGAAGCTCTCTACAAACTGCCTCTCACAGACTAATGTCTTCGGAACACCGAAATCTGCTGCCAAAAAGAAACAGGGGGTCAGTATCATGTACCTTTCCTAAAGTCCAACATCAGTATTTGTCCCCCAACTCAGTACCAATTGTTTGTTGTTACATTTTGATTTCCAAATTAAAATTAAGTTAACCTGAGATCAGTCTGTAAAAGAATTCAATGTGAAACCAAGAAAGAAATGTGAAATTGACAATTGTATTCTAAAAATAAGTTACCAAAACAGTACAAATCAGTTCAAGTAAGTGAGAGTACAATATAGAGTGGCAGTACAGATTCAAGGGGAATGTTATCTAAAAGCAGTGATTATAGCTATAAAGTAATGGTAACATTCACCTTGCTGCAACAGTGGACCCCCCCTTCAGTAATGTGTACATAGCTGTATATGTCCTGTTCCAGCCTGTATCCTGGAAGGGTCTACTGATAGCTGCAGGGTTGGGAGGTGCCATGTTACTGGGAGTACAGTATGTGAAGAGAGAGAAGGAGCTGGGTAAGTAGACGGAGAGATCTTCATGTTTCCATTCCTTTGTTAAAACAGCCAACCTGTGAGAAAGGGTCAAGACAGCCAACTGTCTTCATGGTCTCATGGAAAGAGTCAGCAACATTGTGAAGCACAGAGGTTAGGTGTGACTATTGAGGGGGAAACAACTATAGCGATAACGATAGTCTATTGTGACCAACTATTACAATAGTATTTTCTCCTTGAATTGTCTCATTTGAAGCCATTTCCCACATGATTGTATAGTTTACATGAAATAAAAACAAGTTGAAGTTGTTTCAGTCTCTTCTAATAACTGACAAGAAACTTGAAACCCTGATCAAGTAAACAGTTAAAACATAAACTCAGTGAAGCTACAAGTCTGCTCCCAAACATCCTGTATTTTACGCTGTGCATTTATCAACGGAAGTCAATTACTAAACTATTGATAGTCAAATATACTATCGATGCATCGATAGTTTTTCGTTTCTACCATCGATTAATTGCTACAGGGACTCAATAATTGCACTGCATTGATAGTCCGATACATCGTTACTGCCCTAACATAGGTCATTATTAATTTGAAAGTTGGTGACCGTAATCTGGTTGTGTGACTTCTGAACTTCCTCGAAATTTGACTGTCATTAACCAGATAGACGAGATTGTAAACTGTTTGAAGCTGAGCATCATGTCCTCCAAGTTACCACTGTTTCTTCATTGGCTGATGATATTATGGTCTGGATTCTTGATTTCTTGATTTGTGTGCGTGCGTGCGTGTGTGAGAATATTTTGATGTTCTATTTATGATAATTGAATTCAATAAGCTTTTGCATGTATGGACTTTCCACAGATGTGGACATTATGCACAAGGATTTTATGCTTATACTTTCATGAATGCAAAATATATTTTGGAACATCTTGGGTTCCAGAAATTGCCAAGGAGAGGAGCAGGTCTCTTGGTAAAGCTGCTCTGGGTGGACCGTGGCAGTTGATCGACCACAATGGTCAAGTCAAGTCCAGCAAGGACTTCCATGGTCAGTGGGTGCTCCTGTACTTCGGTTTTACCCACTGCCCGGACATCTGCCCAGACGAGATCGAAAAGATGATCAAAGTTGTAGACTTAATAGGTGAGAGTTGTCTTGAACAGTAGATCATATCATTATTTTGAATGAGACAATCATTTGTAAATTAATTTTTTTTTATGTAGTTTTGCTCCTTGTTACATGTTTGTTGAAACGTCTTAGGTTTAACATTTTTCATTGTTTAAGTATTTCTTTCTGATTATGGCACCCATGAAGATCCGGGTTAGAATTCTTCTTCAGTAACCCATGCTTGATGTAAGAGGCGACTAATGGGATTGGGTGGTCAGACTCACTGACTGGGTTGATGCATGTCATCGTATCCCAATTGCATAGATTGATGTTCATGCTGTTGATCCCAGGATTGTCTGGTCCAGATACAATTATTTACAGACCGCCACCATATAGTTGGAACATTGCTGAGTGAGGCGTAAAACTAAACTCACTCACTCACTCACTTGTAATGTTTCTTGTTATTTGGGAATAATGCACTGTCTTCATTTTTGTCATTGTAGATGCAACACCTTCCAAGCCGAACGTTCAACCCCTCTTCATCACAGTTGACCCTGAGCGTGACACAATGAAGGCTCTCCGGGAATACTGCCTAGGTGGGTCATAACATATGCATCTCATGCTTCTTAGATTCTGGGTCAGAATGTGTTCCTCGTGCTCGATTGTCTGGTCCTGACTGGATTATTTACAGATCTCCACCATATAGCTGGAATATTGCTGAGTGCGGCATAAAACTCACTCACTCACTCACTCACTGTAGTGATATTGCTGGAATATTGTTAAAAGCAGCATAAAACTAAAATTCCATATAAATTATATGTTTGTGTTTATTGTAAATAGACAGAAAGACTCAAATGATTTATGTACAGTTGTACATGAAAATTATCAGTTTTTTCTTTTGAGGCCAGTTATATTTCTTGTTTTCCGGTTTCGCCGGGCATAATTTTTCAAGAAAAATAAAAAAATAATTAATTTTCCCCGCTCAAAAAATAAAATCCTGATGTTTTATTGTCCCAAAATGTAAACTTGCAAACAGTTTGTTTGTCCCCCGCCGCTCTCCTATGTATTCAGCGGCATCCGTCCATACCTACGTCCCAATTCTTGTTAACACGATATCTCATGAACTCTTGTACCCAATGTCTTCAAATTTGGTGACTGTCTACATTAGGGGATTACCCAGACAGCAGTCGATTTTGGTCACCTTGACCTTATTTTCAAGGTCACCACGACACTTTGAACACATTTGAAACTCTTGTTAATACGATATCTCATGAACTGTTGTACCCAATGTCTTCAAATTTGGTGACAGCCTACATTGGGGGATTACACAGACAGAAGTCGATTTTGGTGACGTTGACCAAAAAATAAACAGTAGTAAATGTGTTGTAAATATTCCATTCTTAATAGCAGCGGGGGACATTGCCATATCAGTGGCAAACACTTGTTTAGATTGTTTTTGCCCCATATACACTTCATAAATTGCCAAAAGTAAAATACTTTTAGTATTTAAAAGGACCATTACTTTGACTGGTGATTTTTTTTTTCCCTCCTGCATTTAGGCTCTGAGGACAAAAATCTGTAAAAGAAGAAATAAAATTGGTCTTATGGTAGATATATAACTGCCCAACTTGTCGTAAGAGGCAACTAACAGGGTTCTGGTGGTCACACTCACTGACTTGGTTGACACATGTCAACATATCCCAATTGTGTAGATCAATACCCAAACTCAATTATTTACAGACCGCCACCATATAGCTGGAATATTGCTGAGTGTGGCATATAATTAAACTCACTCACTCACTTTACATTAGCACCCGTGAAGGTCCGGGCTAGAATGTTGATCTTCAGTAACCCATGCTTGTCGATTATTTACAGACCACCGCCATATAACTGGAATATTGCTGAGTGTAGCGTAAAACTAAACTTGCTCACTCACTTTACATTAGCACTTTCAATATGCAAATTCAGTGAAGCACATTTTCAAATACTGTACTTAACGACATGTTTTTGTTGAACTGCAGAATTTTCGCCCAAGCTACTTGGGTTGACTGGCAGCAAGGCACAGGTGGACGAGGCAACGCGGGCTTATCGGGTTTACTACAGCGCTGGTCCTCGTGACGAGGACAATGATTATATTGTAAGTTATTGATCTTAAGGTGCATTTCATGACATCATACATTTTTAGAGGGTTTTAAAAAGAATTTTGTGTGAGGTAAATAAGGGTTAACTTAGAAACGACAGAAGTTTCACACAAAGTGTATACAAGCAAACATTCCACGACTATAGTGTTGAACGTTACTGTTTGGACATGATTTCATGTTCGTTTTCTCCCTTTCACCTTGTACAGACAACAGTTAACAGTAATGTTAAAGGATAAATGTTCAGAGTTCAAAATTTCCTCATAATAATTAACATTGCAGGGGTTTATTTTGTTAAGACCAATTGATTTTGATCCAGTCCTAAATGTATTCTGCTTCATTTTTTTGCACAATCCGGATACAGATAATAAAAGGTGTATATTGTAATTATTGACAAACAAGGATTTTGCAAAGATTGGTGATGTGTAACGTGATGTAAACTGAAAGTAATTTTGAAAATATTTTGTAAACCTATTTGTGGAATATTTCACCATCTACAGTCTACTTAATGAAAGCTGCATCACTGATTTTAACCTGAACCAGTGCCAACGTCAATGATTAATAGGTTTTGTATATTTTGTAGAGTATATCAATGACCATTGTTGCATTCTGCTGCAGACCCATGAAGCTTGTCATAAAAGGCGATCGTAGTAAGAGGTGAATAACAGGGTCGGGTGGTTAGGCTCGCCGACTTGGTTGATACATGTAATCATATCCCAAGTGCTTAGATCGATGCTCATGTTGTTGTTCACTGGATTGTCTGGCCCAGACTCGATTATTTACAGACCGCTGCCATATAGCTGGAATATTGTCGAGTGTGGAATAAAACTAACTTCACTTGCTCACTCACGCATTCTACTGCAATGTTGTACTGACTGTTTCAGGTTGACCACACCATCATCCTGTACCTGGTTAATCCCGATGGAGACTTCGTTGACTACTACGGCCAGAACAAGAAGTTTGATGAAATTTCAACTAGTATCAAAGTGCATATGGAGAAATTTGCATACCTAAGAAAATAGATTTAAATCCTGGAAATATCGTAGTCGCTTTCAACATTTAATATATTTCAAAGCATTTACTCTCAATATCCTTCTCCTTCTGTGACCTTGTTCAATATTTGTAACTATGACAGTTAGATATAATACACCTTCACCTTTGCTGAAGCGCACTGTTGGTGTACTGGGGCATATGGTTGCCCTATAGTTGCCCTTCGGTTGAAGTGTTTGCTCATCCAGCGCTCACTGACCCACGTGGGCGATATGAGCCAAGCCCAATCTTGTTTTTCTGTTTTGGCTGAAATATTGCTAAAAAGCATCTTAAAACTCACTCTGACCTTGCTCAGGTATAGAAGCTGTCTGATATCACTGGTGTATTGTTTATCAGTCAGGGTGCCCTCTTGTTCAAGCAGCTTTTCAAGGAGACAATTTTCATAATTTGAATTCAAATACAGCAGAAACACCACCTTTGATTGTGAGTAGTAAGGGGGAGGCAGGGTAGCCGTTTCTGGTGTTCCCCGCCATGATATTGCTGAAAGCTGCATTAAACTAAACTCACTGTGAGTAGTAAGCAGTCTTTCTACACGGGAAATGAATCTTTTACAACATGTCAGCCTGTTTTTACAGTTTTATGTCCTTTTTGTTATCAAAGAAGTGCAAATTTACCTGAGTAATTTGTCATTTTAAAAAAACCCAAAAACAGTAGCTCACAGATCAGTGAGACCTTTACGCAGGGTTTGGTGGTTAGAATTAGAAATGCTCATTTTCCAGAGGACACACTGAGAGTATATATACTGGTACCTATATGCCATATCTGAAAGTTTCAGTGATATCAAGAACTTTTACTTTTGTTTTGCCATACACTTTAGTGCTTGAAGAAATCTGCAGGAGAGTTACAATCACCGCAGTGCGTCGTATATCCCATGCCTTGGAGATCTATTTGTGTCTTTTCATGTTGCATGCTTTTGTTCTCATATATTGCATTAATTTTCATTACCTCACCTAAATCCAACCCATTCCAAATATACCATTCTTATTGCTTGTGAGTGAAGAATTTGTTCATCGGTGAATGTTGAGTTGTTCAGGAGTAGACGATGTCCAGATGTTGTTGGTTGTTATAAGGATCATTTCAGAAGTCAAATTGTGTTCAATGGCACTCGGGTCAAGATGACAGTAAATGCAGTATCACACTCAACAAAGGACCGTTCATAATTTATTGCTAGAGGTGGTTCAATGTACAAAATCAATTACCCCCCCCTTACCCCATAATTTTTAAATATTTTTATGTAGCTACCCTCTTCTCCTTCCATACCCCCTTAAGAACAAAATGGACACCCCCTGCCATAAATTATGAGCGATTGTGGTTATATAGGATTCGTAATCCATTTCAGCATCCTTGATTTGACTGTAAAAAGCAGCAAAAAAATAAAGATTTGTTGCAGCGTTGAATGTTTGTCCTGTTGTGAATTTATATATAAAAAGCACATTCATTTCAAAGATTTATTAAAACACACAAATACATTATAAATTGAAAATGATAATTGATAAGAAAATCACCAGTCAAAACCGGTTTCTATTAGACATGAAAGTACTGAATCACACAATACCGCATACAGACATTTTTTTTTCAGACGTGGACAGTTTTACTGCTTCAGATAATCGTTACATACTTCTGTTCCTTAGATGTACATATTTCCAGGAGAATCACGAGGTCTTATTCAGTAGGTTTTCCCCAAAGACACTCATAGTGTAACAGTTCTAAACATCTGCGGTCATTGCATTGAAATATTCAGAGTCAGTAACTCTACATATCAAATGAACTACATATCAAATGGTTCTGTGTTTGTACACATTTCAGAGTCTCCTTCATGATCTGACGACAAATGTCTCCAGATCAAAGACATCAGATTCATTCCATGGTCTGTCCATGAGTTCTACTTGTCCCACAATTTCCACACAGAAGACTGTGACAGTGCTAAACAGTTGTGTGAGAGTTCGGAAAAAAACACTTTAAAGATGCTGTCTGTATATGTATCAAGAGTGAGTAAAATGTGTATGTACCGCCAGGCCTTCTAACAAACAAACTTCAAGGTCACATGGAAAACTTGCCTCAGGGTCATTTTGTGTAAAGATATGCTGAACACCTATCCTGGCAAGGGTAACCCCATATGAAATCTCTCTGACAAGCATGGAGTCCTGTAGACCTAACCTGGCATGATACAAGGATAGAATCCCCACTGTGAAATAAGCAAGGGGTCCTAATACGGTACCCTCAGTTAGACAAGCCACTGGACCTATCTTTGCAAGCTAGAGGATGAAATAGGGTACCAGGGGCGGACCCCCTCAGGGGAGACATGGAAGGGTCCTGTGGAGATATCCTTGCCTGCACACAGGGGACACAAGGGTACCAGGGACCTATCCTTGCACCACGACCAGGGGGGTGACAGGCAAGGGTACCAGGGACCTATCCTTGCACACCGACAGGGTGACATGCAAGGGTACCAGGGACCTATCCTTGCACATGGCTGGGTGACATGCACCAGGGACCTATCCTTGCACACACCTCAGGGTGACATGCAAGGGTACCAGGGACCTATCCTTGCACACGACAGGGTGACATGCAAGGGTACCAGGGACCTATCCTTGCAAGCTACAGGGTGACATGCAAGGGTACCAGGGACCTATCCTTGCACACGACAGGGTGAAATGCAAGGGTACCAGGGACCTATCCTTGCAAACTACAGGTTGACATGCAAGGGTACCAGGGACCTATCCTTGCACACGACATGACAGGGGTGACATGCATGCACCAGGGACTTGCACTACGACAGGAATGACATACATGCAAGGGTACCAGGGACCTCTCCTTGCATTACCAGGGGGACAGGGTGACATGCAAGGGTACCAGGGACCTATCCTTGCACACAACAGGGTGACATGCAATGGTACCAGGGACCTGTCCTTGCACACGACAGGGTGACATGCAAGGGTACCAGGGACCTATCCTCGCACATGACAGGGTGACATGCAAGGTACCCAGGGACCTATCCTTGCACACAACTGGGTGACATTCAAGGGTACCAGGGACCTATCCTCGCACATGACAGGGTGACATGCAAGGGTACCAGGGACCTATCCTTGCACATGACTGGGTGACATGCACCAGGGACCTATCCTTGCAAGCTACAGGGTGACATGCAAGGGTACCAGGGACCTATCCTTGCAAGCGACAGGGTGACATGCAAGGGTACCAGGGACCTATCCTTGCACACGACAGGGTGAAATGCAAGGGTACCAGGGACCTATCCTTGCAAACTACAGGGTGACATGCAAGGGTACCAGGGACCTATCCTTGCACATGACCGGGTGAAATGCACCAGGGACCTGTCATTGCACACGACAGGGTGACATGCAAGGGTACCAGGGACCTATCCTTGCAAAGCGACAGGGTGACATGCAAGGGTACCAGGGACCTATCCTTGCACACAACAGGGTGACATGCAATGGTACCAGGGACCTGTCCTTGCACACGACAGGGTGACATGCAAGGGTACCAGGGACCTATCCTCGCACATGACAGGGTGACATGCAAGGTACCCAGGGACCTATCCTCTTACACTACTGGGTGACATTCAAGGGTACCAGGGACCTATCCTCGCATGACATGACAGGGTGACATGCAAAGGGTACCAGGGACCTATCCTGCGCACATGACAGGGTGACATGCAAAGGGTACCAGGGACCTCTCCTTGCAAAGCGACAGGGTGACATGCAAGGGTACCAGGGACCTATCCTTGCACACGACAGGGTGACATGCAATGGTACCAGGGACCTATCCTTGCACACGACAGGGTGACATGCAAGGGTACCAGGGACCTATCCTTGCACATGACAGGGTGACATGCAAGGTACCAGGGACCTATCCTTGCACACAACTGGGTGACATTCAAGGGTACCAGGGACCTATCCTCGCACATGACAGGGTGACATGCAAGGGTACCAGGGACCTATCCTGCACACATGACAGGGTGACATGCAAGGTACCCAGGGACCTATCCTCTTACACTACTACAGGTTGACATGCAAAGGGTACCAGGGACCTATCCTCGCACATGACAGGGTGACATGCAAGGTACCAGGGACCTATCCTTGCACACAACTGGGTGACATGCAAAGGTACCAGGGACCTGTCCTTGCACGCGACAGGGTGACATGACATGCACCAGGGACCTATCCTTGCAAGCAACAGGGTGACATGCAAGGGTACCAGGGACCTATCCTTGCACACGACAGGGTGAAATGCAAGGGTACCAGGGACCTATCCTTGCAAACTACAGGTTGACATGCAAGGGTACCAGGGACCTATCCTTGCACATTACCAGGTGAAATGCACCAGGGACCTGTCATTGCACACGACAGGAAGACATACAAGGGTACCAGGGACCTATCCTTGCAAGCTACAGGGTGACATCCAAGGGTACCAGGGACCTATCCTTGCACATTACAGGGTGACATGAAGCGGTACCAGGGACCTGTCCTTGCACACGACAGGAAGACATACAAGGGTACCAGGGACCTATCCTTGCAAGCTACAGGGTGACATCCAAGGGTACCAGGGACCTATCCTTGCACTCTACTGGGTGACATGCAAGGGTACCAGGGACCTATCCTTGCACACAACAGGTAAAATGCAAGGGTACCAGGGACCTATCCTTGCACTCTACTGGATGACATGCAAGGGTACCAGGGACCTATCCTTGCACACAACAGGTAAAATGCAAGGGTACCAGGAACCTATCCTTGCACCACTGGGTGACATGCAAGGGTACCAGGGACCTATCCTGGCCTGAAACACCCTCAAGGGTTGGAAAGTGGAACCTTTTCAGCAAGATTTAAAGATTACAACACTAATAAGATAGCCAACTACAACCGTGACAGTATGACAACACGTCTCAACACAAATAACCGTTAGGCAAGCTATCTATGGATCTGTTATGTCCGTGTTTCATAAAACATGGAGGTACATATACACCTCAGTCTCTCCCGACGTTTTTACAAACTGCAGAGCTTCAGAGTGGTAACATTTTTCTTCACTACCCACACGACCACAGTTTTACTGTAAAGCATGGCTGCAGCCTTCTGAGAATGGAAATTGTGGTACAAGTAGAGTGATAGACCAAAGCTCATGGACAAACCATGGAATGAATCTGATGTCTTTGATCTGGAGACATTTGTCGTCAGATCATGAAGGAGACTCCGAAATGTGTACACAGGCAGAACCAGAGTTATTTTGAGATTTAGAGTAACAGACTCTCTGAATACTTCAATGCTACGACCGCAGATGTTTGGAACAGTTACTCTATGAGTGTCTGGGGGTAAAACCTACTGAATAAGACTCACCTTCACCTCGTGATTCTCCTGGAAATATGCACATCCAACCAACAGAAATAGTCATGATTATCCATTCATCAGAAGCAGTGAAACTGTCCACTTCTGAAACAAATGTCTTTGAATGTATGATATGGCAGTGAGAATATGTGCAATTCAGTACTGACAGATCATGTCTAACAGGAAGAGGTTTCGTCTGGTAATTTTCTTTTAAACTGAGTGACTGAGTGAGTGAGTTTAGTTTTACGCTGCTTTTAGCAATATTCCAGCAAATATCACGGCAGGGGGACACCAGAAATGGGCTTCACACATTGTACCCATGTGGGGAATCGAACCTGGGTCTTAGGCTTGACGAGCAAATGCATTAACCACTAGGCTACCCCACTGCCCTGTGCTGCTATGGTTTCATGGGTACTACATCACGGAAATATGTTTATGTGCACCGAAACCTGTGACGTTTTAACACACTACATCGCAACTGGAATTTGGCTTGTGCAACTAGGTTTATATCTTAGGTTGCACCTGGTGCAAGTAGGTTAACATCTCTTAAATCGAGCCCTGCTAGGTAATCACCACAAAATTTAATTCAAAACCTAGCAATATACTTTTTTATAACCAGTGATGTTCTTTTTGCCAAGAATCTTCCAAACAATTCTTCTTACAACTGCCCCAAGACATAATTACCCGGTAATCAAGTATGACAATCCATATTTGTATTTTTTCAAAACTTTCTCAAATGTGCAGAGAGTAACTTAGCTTTAAGGTCTATTGGCTGATGGTATTATCTTATCTGTTTTACATTTGTCCAAAAACAAAAGATGACAACCAACAACAAAAAGAGAGAGAGAGAGAATGGCATTTAACAACACTGCTTTGACCTGTATTCCAGTCGTATCACAGCTTTGACCTGTATTCCAGTCGTATCACAGCTCAATATGGGAATAAAGCCCAAAGTGATGCAGGTCTAAGACATTTACCACTTTGGTGAAACCCGTCAACATGGGGTATGGGGCTGACAAAACAGAAACTTAATTAAAATGAACCAGAATTCAACTAATCACAAGTTTCTGAAGTGCCCAAGGTGTGTAACTCCTCAATGGGAATCCCAGCACCTTAGATGACTTGGTCAGCCATACCCCACTGTCGAGAAGACGAAATGCGGATTGTTCATTACAACAGGTAACTGGTAAGTTTCTTTTAAATTGAGATATCAATTATTTATGTATTGACAGAAAAGCCAGAAAAAGTTTTCCTAAGATATTTATAAAGTCTGTTTGTCATAATATGAAAGAGTTATATACAGGAAACAAAATTTAAGGGAACACCTGTACAATAGGACCAACTTTACAGCTCATTCCAAAATGCCACTCAAAGAAGTCAACTTAACTTTAAGTTGCGTATTTTTAAGACAATGCTGGATTTGAACCTGATCAGTAATCCGAACGAAACATATGACACTTAAAGAAAGCATGAAGGAGATTGTGCCAGCGTTGAATCATGATTTGCATGTGTATCAGCACGGTATGCAACCTGTCACCATTAAAAGTATCGTCAGTGCCTCCAAAAGTCTATCTTGCAAGAGAATTCAGCAATGGGAAGCTATCGGCATGGTACATGGTGGCAGATCTCAAAACGAGGTAGCACGCCATTTTGGGAAGTACTGACTGACTGACTGAGTTTGGTTTTACGCCGCTTTTAGCAATATTCCAGCAACATCACGTCCGGGGACACCAGAAATGGGCTTCACACATTACCCATGTAGGGATTCGAACCCGGGTCTTCGGCGTGACGAGCCAACGCTTTAACCACTAGGCTACCCAACCGCCCCATTTTGGGAAGTAAAAAAGTGTGATTTCCCACCCAATGGAACGATACCGGCACACAGGTCACGTGTCAATTTGACCCAGTGAAGGAAGGCCACAAAAGACAACAGTCTGACAAGATCGCTTCATTACAATAATTGCAATTAGAATTCAGTTCATGACAGTATCAGAAATTCAGAGACGATAGCGAACAAAAACAGTAATATGAATTTCCTGCAGTTCAGTGAGAAACAGACTGAAGTCTACCCAGTTAAAGTCAAGGCGCCCATCCCATGGAATTCAACTTACTGTGCAACACAAGAGGCTGAGACTTCAGTGGTCTTGACAGTTTGGTAATTGTGACAGGTTTACCGGCTAGTCAAGGTTCCTGATGAGATTCAGAAATGGTCGACAAGGGGGGAGCACTATCATGACGTCAATGTTCAAGAGCATGACAGATACAGAAGTGTAATGGTGTGGGGTGGAATAAGGTATGACCACTGAACTGATCTTGTGATTGTCCAGGGATATTTGACCGGCCAGCGTTATTTGGATGAAATTTTATGACCAGTAGTGATTCCATTCTCACAAAGGATTGGTCGAAACTTGAATGAGTGAGTGTTTTACGCTGCACTCAGCAATATTCCAGTTATATGGTGGCGATCTGTAAATAATCGAGACTGGACCAGACAATCCAGTGATCAATAGCATGAGCATCAATCTACGCAATTGGGAACCAATGACATGTTCAACTAAGTCAGCGAGCCTGACCACCCGATCCCATTAGTCTCCTCTTCCTTACTTGAGGATAACGCCAGACCTCACAGAGAAAGACTTGCTTTGGATTTTCTCCAACAGCAGCAGATAAACAGTCTACTTTGGGTTGCCACATCACCAGATCTCTCACCTACTGAACTTTGTTGGATGATTTGGGATGCAGGGTTCGAGGCTGACCACAGCCACCAGCAAACTGATAAACACTCGGACAAATCCTCCAAAAAGAATAGCGCAAAATTCCAAGGGAGGCAATTCGCAATCTGATCTCAAGCATGCCCAGAAGATGCCCGATGCAGCTGGACCAGATACTGACTTTTGTCAAAATTTAGTTCCAAAAAATTCCACCATGACCAAATATCTTAGTGTTCCCTTAAATTTTGTTACGAGTTTATCTTAAAATATGACTGACAGCAGAAGTGAAATAGCAAAATCCTACATGACCACTACAAAAGTTCATGGAGAGCCTACCAACCTACTTTTTCATAACCAGTAATATATTCTGAATGGTTTTAAACCTTATTGCCAAGATTCTTCCAAAGCTTTACATTATTTTCTTACAATTGCCCCCAAATGTAATTAAGTTTTCTGACAATCCATATTTGTATTTTTTCAAAACTTTCTCAATTCTGCAGACAGTAACTTGCCTTAAGGTCTATTGGCTGATCATATTTATCTTATCTGTTTAGTTTTGACAACTAGATAACAACTTGTAAGAAAAATACAGTTAGAGAGAGTGGGGCTCAGCACCACCTTGAAGTGTTGTATCACAGCATATCAGCCTAATATTGGAGGAAACCTCAAAGTGATGCAGGTCTAAGACATTTACCACTTTGGTGAAACCCATGAGCCTGGGGTATGGGGCTGACAAACTTAGAAACTTTATCTGAGTAAACCAGGATCCAACCCACAATGATGTTTCTGGTGCCCAAGGTATCCAACTCCTCACCGGGAATCCCAGCACCGTGTTGGCTTGGCTTGGCCATCCCTACTCCACTATCATCGGGATGAAAACCAGATTGTTGTTCACCCTATGAAGGATTCCATGTGAAAGCCATTGTGATTCAAAAGCTTACTCAAGAAATCCTGTTTCATAAACGAATCATTATCATGTTTCTGTACTAATATAAACCTGGTTGTGCACTAAATTTTCAATTTTAGGATTAAATCAGAGTTTAGATGTGGCCATTTCTGGGACAGGTCCTTTCCATTCTTCACCTGAAAAGCACAAAAAGAGTGAGTGAGTGAGTGAGTGGGGTTTTACGCCGCTTTTAGCAATATTCCAGCAATATCACGGCTGGGAACACCAGAAATGGGCTTCACACAATGTACCCATGTGGGGAATCGAACCCAGGTCTTCAGCATGCGGGGGACAGCAAATGCAACCACTAGGCTACCCCACCGTCCCACACAAAAAGAAGATACTGCTTAACATATTATATGGGTATACTTGTACTATCAACAGGAATTCAGCTCATCAACACTAGACCTATTCTGACCCAGAATCTGAATACAAAAGACAAGCAATTGGTATTTGAGATCCTATTTATCCTAGCTTGGACCCATTAAAAGGAAGTCACACAAGTGCAAGAGGTACTGGGACCTATCCTGGGCTGGAACCACCACAGAGAGACCAGCAAGAGGTACTGAGGACATATCCTGGCCTGGAACCCCCTACTGGGAGACACCCTGACAGGGAGACCAGCAAAGATATTAAGAGGTACTGGAGGACCTGATCCTGATCTGGAAACCTGGAACTCCTGACAGGGGAGACCAGCAAGAGGTACTGAGGACCTATCTGGCCTGGCCTGGAACCCTGACAGGGGGACCTGGAAGCAAGAGGAACTGAGGACCTATCCTGGCCTGGAACCCTGACAGGGAGACCAGCAAGAGGTACTGAGGACCTATCCTGGCCTGGAACCCTGACAGGGAGACCAGCAAGAGGTACTGAGGACCTATCCTGGCCTGGAAACCCTGACAGGGAGACCAGCAAGAGGTACTGAGGACCTATCCTGGCCTGGAACCCTGACAGGGAGACCAGCAAGAGGTACTGAGGACCTATCCTGGCCTGGAACCCTGACAGGGAGACCAGCAAGAGGCACTGAGGGACCTATCCTGGCCTGGAACCTATCCCTGACAGGGAGACCAGCAAGAGGTACTGAGGACCTATCCTGGCCTGGAACCCTGACAGGGAGACCAGCAAGAGGTACTGAGGACCTATCCTGGCCTGGACAGGGAGAACCCTGACAGGGAGACCAGCAAGAGGTACTGAGGACCTATCCTGGCCTGGAAACCTGACAGGGAGACCAGCAAGAGGTACTGAGGACCTATCCTGGCCTCAAACCCTGACAGGGAGACCAGCAAGAGGGTACTGAGGACCTATCCTGGCCTGGAACCCTGACAGGGAGACCAGCAAGAGGTACTGAGGACCTATCTTTGGCCTGGAACCCTTAAAGACAGGGAGACCAGCAAGAGGTACTGAGGACCTATCCTGGCCTGGAAACCCTGACAGGGAGACCAGCAAGAGGTACTGAGGACCCATCCTGGCCTGGAACCCCTGACAGGGAGACCAGCAAGAGGTACTGAGGACCTATCCTGGCCTGAAACCCTGACAGGGAGACCAGCAAGAGGTACTGAGGACCTATCCTGGCCTGGAACCCTGACAGGGAGACCAGCAAGAGGTACTGAGGACCTATCCTGGCCTGGAACCCTGACAGGGAGACCAGCAAGAGGTACTGAGGACCTATCCTGGCCTGGAACCCTGACTGGGAGACCAGCCAAGGTACTGAGGACCTATCCTGGCCTGGAACCCTGACAGGGAGACCAGCAAGAGGTACTGAGGACCTATCCTGGCCTGGAACACCTGACAGGGAGACCAAACAGGGTACTGAGGACCTATCCTGGCCCCAAACACCCAGCAGGTAGACCAGACAGGGTACTGGGACCCTGACAGGGTCCTAGCCCCCAAACACCCTTAAAGACACACAGGGAGACCAGACAGCAAGAAGGTACTGAGGACCTATCCTGGCCTGGAAGACAGGTAGACCAGCAAGGGGTACTGGGGATCTATCCCTGCCCCAAACACCCTTAAAGACACACAGGGAGACCAGTAAGAGGTACTGAAGACCTATCCTGGTCTCAAACCCACAGGGAGACCAGCCAAGAGGTACTGGAGACCTGTCCTGGCCTTAAAGACACACAGGGAGACCAGCAAGAGGTACCAGTGACCTGTCCTGGACTCCAAACACCTGACAGAGAGACCAGCAAGAGGTATTTGGAGACCTCTCCTGGCCTTTAAAGACACACAGCAAGACCAGCAAGAGGTACTGGGGACCTGTCCTGGCTCCAAACACCCACAGGGAGACCAGCAAGAGGTATTGGGGACCTGTCCTGGCCTTAAAGACACACAGGGAGACCAGCCAGGGGTATTGGAGACCTCTCCTGGCCTTAAAGACACACAGGGAGACCAGCAAGAGGTACTGGGGACCTGTCCTGGCTCCAAACACCCACAGGTAGACCAGACGGGGGTACTGGGGACCTATCCTAGCCCCAAACACCCTTAAAGACACACAGGGAGACCAGCAAGAGGTACTGGAGACCTTTCCTGGTCTTAAAGACACACAGGGAGACCAGCAAGAGGTACTGGAGACCTCTCCTGGCCTTAAAGACACACAGGGAGACCAGCAAGAGGTACCAGTGACGTATCCTGGACTCAAACACCGACAGAGAGAACAGCCAAGGTTATTGGAGACCTCTCCTGGCCTTAAAGACACACAGGGAGACCAGCCAGGGGTACTGGAGACCTCTCCTGGCCTTAAAGACACACAGGGAGACCAGCCAAGGTTATTGGAGACCTCTCCTGGCCTTAAAGACACACAGGAAGACCAGCAAGAGGTACTGGAGACCTCTCCTGGCCTCAAACACCCACAGGAAGACCAGCAAGAGGTACTGGAGACCTCTCCTGGCCTCAAACACCCACAGGGAGACCAGCCAGGGAGACCAGCCAGGGGTACCGGGGGCCTATCCTAGCCCTGAACACCCATGGGGACAGCAGCAAGGGGTACTGTGGTAACATCCAGGCCAGGAACACCATCAGGGAAAGAAGCTATGGAAACAGGGGACCTGACCTAGTCTCACATTCACAGGGAGACCAGCAAGGGGTACTGTGGAAATATCCAGGCCAGGAACACCCACAGGGAGACAAGCTAGTATGGGGCCACAAAGACACACAACAGGTACTGGGGATCTATCCTGACATCTTACAGAATGAGGTGAGGTGAAATTGGGTTTATCGTCATGCTTGAGAATATTTCACTCATATGACGACGTATGCGTGCATGCGTGTGTATGTGTATGTTCGGCTGCTTGTACTAGCCCAGACTTAAGCTGGTTTTATAGTGCTAGCCCACTGAGATACCATGCAGCAGTGAAGCATGAATACCCCACTCATACACATTATACTGACTCCGAAATGGCAATTCAGTCCTTGTTGTACCCATTAATGCCGAAATAGCCAGGCAGGGACGAACAAGTACCATATTTTAGCGTCTTTTTTATTATGGCGGTCAGGGATCGAACCCACGACCTTCCGCTCTCTCGGGCGGACGCTGTATAAAGGGGTGCCAGGAGACAAGCCAAAATGGGCAAGATTGATGCTGCTACAGTGAGATAGATATGATCAAGAGTGGGTGAATGTTGGTTTACTGTGCAGGCAACAATAGTCTACCTTTGATACAGCTGCCCCTTTCAAAACAACTTGTCTAGGTAAACAAAACACCTTTTCTTACCTAACAATCTTGCAAGAATATCAAAACGGTCTGCTCCAAAGATAAGTTCCGGTCCTGATTCCACATGTGCAATAATGATTGGAGCACCAAATGCCTGTAAAAGAATTACATAATAATAATACCACGTACCGGTTTGTTTCCTGCAATTTGTAAGAAATTCTAATTTCTTCTGACCTGAAGACATTCTTTTTCTTACAAAACCTGATTAAAACTGACGTGTCAAGATGTTTTGAATATTTCAGTGAACAGTGACATAAGAATAATATATAAAGTCCAAGATCAGATAAAAATCTAATGTAAACATATTCATTCAGAACAAATTTTAAAAGTATGAAATGTACATTTGCTGACTGAAAATTAAATATGAAATGAATACATGTTAATCTTTCAATGGGAAGTCAGTGAAAAAGCATGTTATGAAGTTGAAACTTGCCTTGTAATCAAGTGCATCTTGTGTGTTCTGTTTCAACATATCTTTGATCTCTTGGTCCTTTATACGACCCAACGCATCATTGATTACTGCATCACTTAGACCAGCCTTCTTCCCTGCCTGAAACATGCATGGGTAACCATTATTTGTCTTCAATGGCTTTTGCCTTACAAAATACCACAAAACATACACTATCAGTCTCTAAATCTTTAAGGAGATAATCACTCTTACTTATTAATATTTTATCACATATACCACAAACACATAAGGATGCCAGTGTTTACATTAGTAAATACTCAACAGTATAAAAGTTACAGATTAGCCATTACAGATTAAGTATCGAAAACTGAAAGAATCTTCAGTTGTTATCTGTTTTGGCAGTTTGGGAGGTTGGGGGACCTATTCTGTCCTGGAATCCTATCCTGGACATTAATTGTTAAGGGAATGATCTTTTATAGTGTAACATGGTCTAACTTGGAACGAAGCAATGGAGCTTTGATTGTAATAAGGTTGCAAGTCCGAATGTTGACATTTTTACCTCAATGAAACTGTCTGGCTGGGTGATATCTTCATCCTGATGACAAAAAAAAGTTTCAAATTCAACATAACTTGAATATCTCAAACCGAAGTCTGTGGTAAGTTGCTGACTAGAGTTTGATGCTGCACTAAGCTAAGCTAAATTCCAAGTGTAATGAAATACATTCAGTATGGACCCAACCATTCAGTCATCAATACTGTCATAAAAGGTCAGAGTTTGTTACAACCTGACCATAACAACACTCAATATTCTACAAAGGTTTCAACCATTTGCTGCCACTAACAGTCTGTAGACATTAACTTATTAAAACTTGCACAAGCCAAGGTGAAGGACACACAACATTAGGGACCGTTCATAATTTATGACTAGTGGGGGTGATGATGAATTTTATGGAGCAGCATATGCAATGTGAATGACCACCCACCCATACCCCTAAAATTTATGTACAAAATGAGTGTCTCCCTCCAACATGTCATGTACAAAATCAATGACCCCAACCTTCCCATAATTTCTAAGCATAATTTTAAACATGTTTTTCTGTACAAAATTGCTGAACCCTACCCACCCACCCCAGAACATGTGTAAAAATTGATGACACCCCTAGTTCCCCAGAAAAAAATGGGTGAAACACCCACACACACACACACACCCTTCCTTAAAATCATCATCACCCCCTCCTAGCCTTAACTTATGAACGGTCCCTTATAGCATCAATATGACAACAAGACATTAGACAGAAGACACTCATATTGTAATACAACAATCTGCAGACCCTGCTCCATATTCTCATCCAGAGTTCACGGGACAAAGCCTCTGTCTTGTCAGGATGCTTCATGTCAACCACCGTCAAAAATCGCATCGCCTGGAGGGATCCCTTCACCAGCACTGCCTCCACAAAATTCTGAAATGGGACAATACCAAGCTTTTATTTTCTGCAAGGACTGAACATTTAATGAGTGTGCGAGTTAAACTTAAAACTTTCATCCCAGAATATCTAAGACAAGAAGCTAAACATTAATATTAAGTATATTTAATTGAAAGAAAACCTAATATGGATGGACAGTACAATATGTACATTATCAAAAGTTCGACTTTAAAATAGAAAAACCATAAAAGATTACATTAAAAGTCAACAGTACAACATAAATAGAGGATATTATATGAGTGCCCATGTCATACTATGTTTACGACACGAGTATCTAAATGTTGATACCGATATTTAGGCACGAGTGTCGTAAACATAGTATGATATGGGTATGAATATAATATTCTGTTTATTACCGAAGTCGTCAAATTGAGGAAAATAACCCAAAACCTACTATAAAACATAGGCTGGCTACCCGCCGTCGCTGTATGTAGAACGCAACGTCACAGAAGAAACGTGACGTCATAGCATTGTTTATGACGTCACATCACCATGACAAACTGATATTTTGCCCTAGGGCATCGTATGAAAAATATGAACCCCGATATTTTCGACCTTGTTGGTAAGAAAAATGGGCTACAGACTGCCAGAGACTGAAATTTGGCCATCAAGAAATTCTGAACCGGGCTGCGAGGTATTTGTCAAAAAACATTCAGGACATCCAGTTACCAAGTATGTAATTTTAGAGTAAAATTTATATTTTATACTTATCCTGACTCATGCTCTTTTGCTTGTCTTCTTCTTCTTAAGTAACATAGTGGAACACTTGTATCTCCCTTAATTGAAGCTCCCTTCAATGTAAAATCACTAATTAGTACACCCACGAAGTTACCTCCCTTCCACAAGCTTGGGAACGAGGGCTTCACCTCCACCCATGTGCCTCACTCTCTCCTCATATACTGAGCCCAACATTTGAATTTACAGGGAAATCCAAAGTGTTATGTGGGGAGGATGGAGGGAAGTTTACCTCATGAGTCAGGTGGGTATAAAATATCAATTTTACTCTAAAAATTACATATTTTTCCTTATCCTGACTCATGCTCTTTTGCTTGTAGAATCCTATGGAAAAGGAGGTGGGAATATATAATACTTTGGATTTTATTAATTAGTGATTTGAACTGTGATGATTGTAATAACCCTATGGGAACTTCATAAAGGCACTGAACTGATGAATTCCTGCTGCTAACTTATCAGCTGCCATATAAAGGTTATTACAATGTACTTATTATGATAAAGTATATATAACATTAATACAATGCTTAAGACTAATAGACTTAAGCTTGTTAATATGCTAGTATAAACTCCTTAGAGTTTGTTAGCTAAAATACTTTTAAGATATAACATAGTACTGAGCTTAAGATATGATTAAACTTTAAGCTAATTATATAATAGCAAAACTCTTTAGAGTTTGTTAGCTAATATACTTATATGATATAGACATAGTGCTGAGCTTAAGATATGAATAAGCTTTAGCTACATATATAATAGCAAACTCTATAGAGTTTGTTAGCTAATATATTTTACAATATGAGTATAGTAGTGTGCTTAAGATATAAGTAACTTAAGCTACATATACAATAGCCAAAAACTCTGTAGAGTTTATTAGCTAATAGACTTATAATGTAAACCATAGTACTGAGCTTAAGATATGATTAAACTTAAGCTATATATATAAAAGCAAAACTCCGTCAGAGTTTGTTAGCTAATACATTTTATAATGTAAACCATACTGCTTAAGATATGATGAACTTAAGCTAATTATATAATAGCAAAAAACCCTTTAGAGTTTGTTAGCTAAAATACTTATATGATATAAACCTAGTATTGAGCTTAAGATATGAAGGAAAACCTTAAGCTAAATATATAATAGCAAAAAACCTTTTAGAGTTTTGTTAGCTAATATACTTATATGATATAAACATAGTATTGAGCTTAAGATATGAAGGAAACCTTAAGCTACATATATAATAGCAAAAACTCCGTAGAGTTTGTTAGCTAATACATGTTATAATGTAACCATAAAGCTTAAAATATGATGAAACTTAAGCCAAATATATAATAGCAAAACTCTTTTAGAGTTTGATAGCTAATATACCTATATGATATAAACATAGTACTGCGCTTAAGATATGAATAAGCTTAAGTTACATATATAATAGCAAAAACTCTGTAGAGTTTGTTAGCTAATACATGTTATAATGTAACCATAATGCTTAAGATATGATGAAACTTAAGCCAAATAGCAAAAAACTCTTTAGAGTTTGTTAGCTAATATACTTATATGATATAAACATAGTACTGAGCTTAAGATATGAATAAGCTTAAGCAACCTATATAATAGCAAAACCCGTGAGAGTTTGTAAGCTAATATATTTTTACAATATGAGTATAGTACTATGCTTAAGATATAATTAACTTAAGCTCATGATATAATAGCCTAAAACTCTGTAGAGTTTGTTAGCTAATGCATTTATAATGTAACCATAGTACTCACGCTTTAAGATATGATTAACTTAAGGTAAATATATAATAACAAACTCTGTAGAGTTGTTAACTTATATATTGTATGATGTAATAATCATAGTACTGTGATGATAAAAAAGAACTTAAGCAAATTATATATAGCATGTAGCTATTTAGTACTGTTATAAGATAAGTAGAAATCTGTAAGATTGACTTATCTTCTCCGAGGAACTGTCAACTGTTGTGCGAGGACCATGGGACCGAATTGGTGGATACCTGAGACGTCCTCGGCGGTGATATCTCTCAGATAATGGTTGGCAACCACCATATCGGATCTCCAAAAATAACCCTCCATAATTTCAAATAACATTTTGTGTAGATCAATTGTAGAAGTTAGCTTCTAATATCATGAGTATTAGCAGCTCATGGAGGGTCGGATCGGGTCCATCAGTCTTCTAGGCACGTAGTATGACAGTTCTCATCCAAAGGAGATGGTAGTACATGAGACTTCAGTCTGCGTAACTTGATGATTGAGGAAATAATCTGATGCATTTTTCCCTCCTGTTTGGTTCGGTGGAGATAAATTTACAGTGCTCTTGCTGGCAATCGCGTGATAGAATCATCGTATCATGAAGTCCAAGTATGTCATCCAGGCGTTGTTCATAAAACCTCACTTGTGAGGTGTTGGAGCACTATATACAGATCCCCAAGTTGGAGGCGTGAAACTTCCGCTTTAATCCTCCAATCAGAAAGCTTAAGTAGGTTTACTAACCATCTAGTTGTGTTAGTAGCTTGATGATGAAATTCAGCTGTAGTCTGAGGCGCTGTGGATTTAGATCCACTTGTATCCCACGTCGTCTAGGTAAATTCGGCCTCGCGAAGTCCTTTGACGATGTAGGTGCACAACCAGGTGTGTCTGTCCTCGCTGAAACTTTATGTTAAATCGCCTGACTGCCGCGGCTCCCTCGTCCTAACTTTACAGGGGAGGTCTCTAACCTGAAGAAAGCAGCCCAATCATGAAGGTTCAGATTAACTGGACTGTAAGGAGGCTTGCTCGTTCACTGATATATAGTTGTCACTTGTAACGTAAGTCTTGAACTGTGAACTAAGATCGACCTCTCGAGGGTCGTTGTCCTGTCGCGGGTCCAATCAAAACAAGGCATTTTGATTCTGTAGAATACCAGCTGTGATATCACCGGTGTAGCAGGAAAAACCTTTGTATAAAATCTTGCCGTCGTTTATATTAGCATAATCGCCGGTCTTCACCGTAGCTTCCCCGGTTACCCGAAAGTGACCACGTGTTTCGAGGGTTAATGGTAAACGCAGCTGAAACCTCCGTATGAAATACCTCGCTCTGAAATATTAATGCTGGGTAGGTTATTTTCCTGGCTGTCGTGAAAGTAACTTCAGTTTTGAATATAATTCCGACTTCCTTATATAAAGGTACAATAAACTTGCAAGTTGTCAGCTTGTAGACTGTATACATCAATGTATCGTCATAATTGTAGAATTAAAAGCTGATTATGAGTTATACTCGCTGTAACAAGGCTGCTGTTCAATTTCGATATTGAATTGTCTGCAGATCAAGCGTAATGGTCACGCATGTAGATAATCGTATCGTGAGTGCGAGATAGCATATTCTAGCAATCTATCACGGAAAGTTGATTTCTGTGAAGATCTATGAAGCGTCGTTGACTAATTAATATAGCGGCGTTTTGTGTTGTAAATAGCCTGTGCAATTGTCTTCGCGTAGGCTTATAGACGGCATATGGCATACAGTTGATAGACAACTTATGCGATGTCTTGAACGGACTGACGAGTAGCTATATATGGACGGGTGGCTAGTATATGGAGACCTTGGAGGATACTTCCTCGTGAGCGCCGGAGACTTCACGAAGCTCGAAGTATCCCTTCTAGATCTTCTGGGTGAAGTAGACTTGGAGCCACTTAGCCTTAGCGACCTTCGCGAAGGTATCGAGTCAGAGACCGATCAGTATATATATATGTAATTTTTAGAGTAAAATTGATATTTTATACTTATCCTGACTCATGCTTGCTTCGTGAAGCGACCTCTGTGTTCAACAGGATGTGGGTCGTGGGCTACTTCTCACGTGGCGTCCCTTGTAACTGGTGAGGCTCTAGTTCCTTCGCTGAGGCTGCCTGGGACTTCCTTAGCGAAGTGTCTAGAGTCCGATCAATATATGAGCGTTAGCTTCATACAGGGTGTGGTTCTTGCTGGTTCTGCATAAGTAGAGCCGAGTAGATCATCCTATCATCTTCAGAAGTCGTGTTACGAAATCTGGTGATAAGAATCTCATTGATCGTTCTAGATCTATTAAGGCCAAAGAACATACGCCTCTGGCGTTGAACTTACATGGCTTTATGGTAGGCTGTGTCCACATTCTGTGGCACCGCAGCAATCGGGTCGATCGGAGGTAGGGTGACGACGTCTGCATCGTCTTCCTTCATCAGGTATGTCTGCACTGAGTTGCCACTCTTGGATGGTGAAGATATCTAGGTTGTTTACCATCCAATATCTTATCTCAGCGTCTGAGAAGATGATGCCTCCATCATCTTCTGTACCAGCATCGGTGATGAGAGGTTGATGCTCTTCTGATGGTGACCTGTGTGCTGCTATCTCTATGTCGTGGGTGGCTTGGGGAGACCTGACTGTAGACTTATTGTGCCGACTTGTGTGGTGATGTACGAGGAGATCGGTGATGGTGAACGGCGTGGAGATCGCCCTAGGTGATCTACGTCTATGGGATGACCTTAAGTCCGCATCTGAGGATGAGGCCGAGGGCGGTGGCGATCTCTCCCGTCTTCGAAGGCCTTCGCGAAGACTGTACATCTGGGTCCTTCGCCGAGGTGGTCTGTGACTTCCTTTCGAAGGCTGCTTCGGTCGTGGCTGCTCACGCTGACTGGGGTTGCCTCTGGGGTGTCATCTGCGTTGCTCAGGCTCTGGGCTGGCTGCTTCTCCCGTCTGTAGTGGCCCTCCATCATGGTCATGATCTGCCGCAACAGCTCGTCTGGGATGGTCTGCGGCGAAGTGGTCGGTGCCCTCTCTGCGATGACAGCTGCTGAGCCCTCAGGGAAGTCGTCCTGACATCAGTGTAGAGACATCAGGCTGCATGGCGATCTCTGCTGATGTCACTGGTCGCTTCTTCTTGTGAAAGTGACGCCGGGGATGATGATCGGTTGATCATCGTGAGAGGCTAAGTTCAGCGGCTGGAACAATCTCGGTTGAGAAAGTCCTAGTAGACTTCGTTGATTTCCCCTCAGAAGTCGACGCTGCCCTGGGAAGTCGCGAAGTCTGCGTTGAGTGTTGGTAGCGGCCGGGACCTTCAGGAAGATCATCGAATATCAGCGTTGGTACATCAGGCTGCATGTTGATCTGCGCTGACATCACTGTTGCCGACATCGGTCATTCTTTTGATGTACATCAGGTATGATGATCGGGCTGATCCTCATACAGGCCCAAATCTGCGACGGGAACAATCTCGGCTGAGAAAGTTCTAGTAGACTTCGTTGATTTCCCCTCAGAAGGTCGGACGCTGCCCTGGGGTGTGAAGTCTGGCGTTGAGATGCAGTAGAAGCCCTCTAGTCTTCCGGCATCGACGATGGGATGTCTGGGGAAGCAGGGACGCTTCTTGAGGCGGGCGGACTACGCCCCACGCCTCTCCACCACTCTAGCGGATCACCAGACGGGAGGGGGTCACCAACAGCAGTAGACTGGCGAGGGTGCAGGTGTATCAGTCATGGCTAGACTCTGCATACGCAGCGACCTATCTGCTGCGGCGTCTCAAACATAAAGTAATTATTTATTAAAGGCAGAATTGATAAATTAGTACCGCGAACTGCCACCTGAATAAAATGAACATGGCGCAGTACAGCTAGGGCATATTAAATGCACCGGATCAGCAGCAGAATAAAAACGAATCTGCAACAGTACAGAATTTTCATCAACGTAATCCACAGAACAAACATGGCGCCCCGTGAATAAACAGTAGAAACACGACTAAATATCAATATATAATTGTTGAAGGATACTAGCTAAACCTCTATAGATGTCTATAATGAGGTAACTAACTAAATATAATCAAAGGATATAGTGTGTCGGAGACACAGCGCTCTCACGTCCAGCTCACTGGGAAGAAGGAGAGAGTGAGGCACATGGGTGGAGGTGGCCTCGTTCCCCGGGCTTGTGGAAGGGAGGTAACTCGTGGTGTACTAATTAGTGATTTTACATTGAAGGGAGCTTCAATTAGGGAGATACAAGTGTTCCACTATGTTCGCAAGAAGAAGAAGACAAGCAAAAAGAGCATGAGTCAGGATAAGGAAAAATTTGTATTTTTCACATAAACTTTGATACAAAAATATAATAATTCAGTTTTACATCCCTGCTTTTCCCCATTGCAGACAAGGATGGCCCATAAACATTTTATTCTGACAACTTCAAAGTTGTTCAAACATGGAAATAGAAAAAAGACAACAGCAAATGATATTTTGACAAAATAATTCTGATGGTCACAAATTTTCATGCTTAAAACATGCATATGAAATCATATCTAATCGACAAATAATACTCTCTCTTTCAAGAATTTCTTTTGCATTCATACAAGTTACCTACTGCAGGTTGATTTAGAGGAACGTTCATGAATTCCCGCATCCTCTGCAAGTCCTTGCTCATGTAAGCTGCCTTGTTGGGTACAGTGGCTGGGGGCTTGTTTTCTGAAAACAGACTTTCTGTTAACACTGTGATTGCAATCATACAAACCCATAGCTAAAAAATTGTAAACCTCGTAATTTCAAGAATAAAGTTTACTACTCACACTTTGAAAAGGATCATAAAAATTCACAACTTCACCTAAACGTAGATTTATGATTTGAAAATGTATCCATTCAAAACTGGTGATTAATAAGGCCTAAAAAAAAATGTTGTGGTTCCGATTACCTGACCGACCCTTGAATTCTGGTGCCGACTATTTTTTTTAAGAGGTATGAATAAAGTAAGCTTTCAGATACCATTGTTTTTTCCTGGCAAAGACAGAATGGGTCATTCTGATAGAGAAAGTCAACATGATGGTCGCAAATTTGATTGAATAATTAATTACTCTTTGATAAATGTGTTATTTGTTCGTAATTTATTTCTTAAAAAAATATATAATTTTTTAAATTCCTACTTACCTACCCTAAATTTCAAAGAGGTGTAATCGGAACCACAACATCTTTTTTATTTGGCCTAATATGGTAACCCCTCTTTAGGCAAACAGCCACTTTATTCTAATCTTATGCACTTGACGAGTAACCATAAAAAATGGTTTTCATGTCACCAATCATCCATTTTGCAAATCATGCAGCTAGACATTGACAAATAAACAACACCTGTCAATAGCAGGTATGGGATCCACAAGATGAAATGACATACTGAAACCTACGATCTATGCTTACAATAACCTTAGATTTTTAAACCAAATTTGACCCCCACATCATAGTTTTCTGCTGACTCCATGATTTGATCCTTAGCAATGTGTGAATAGTATAATTATTACATCTCTAAAGCAAATGTTACGAGTATTATGTTGCCTTCAGGAATTATAATAATCTTGCTAAGGGAATAAAAGTACTCTGACCCTCATTTGATAAATTCAGTATGACTGACATGATTGTATAATAATCTCTTATTATTAATTGTAATTTGTATGAACAAGTATAAAATATCACATGCACTAGTGTACTGTTTATCTGTTTGTCATCTTGGCAACATGATCATCATTCAAACCTTACTGTGGTGTTAGGTTTGGAATAACGTCACACCACAAACACCATCAAAGCTCAAGCGTGAGTGAGTGAGTGAGTTTAGTTTTACGCCACACTCAGCAATGTTCCAGCGGTCTGTAAATAATCGAAGTCTGGACCAGACAATCCAGTGATCAACAGCATGAGCATCGATCTGCGTAATTGGGAAACGATGACATGTGTCAACCAAGTCTGCGAGCCTGACCAACCGATCCCGTTAGTCGCCTCTTATGACAAGCATAGTTGCCTTTTGTGGCAAGCATGGGTTGCTGAAGACCTATTCTACCCCGGATCTTCATGGGTTCAAAGCTCAAGATCAAAGGGATGCATCCAGCTTTTCACAAAAACAGTCTGATCAAGGGCCAATATGTTTTATGCTTTTTAACAAGTTTTTGACCTCACTATTCAAGCACTCCAGGAAAAGGCTGTCACATGATTATGCTCACTCACGAATTCCAAGAAAGCAATCAGAACATTTACCTTTGACCATGGAAACCTTAGGATATTAGGATGATTTGAACTGAGAATTGTTTTTGTTCAAGATACAATGGTAATTACTAAAGTGCTGTTCATATTGTTATTATGGTTTAATTTATATCTCACACTAAGTCAACAAAGTGCAACAACACAACTTTATATACATGAAATTTGGTTCACTGACTGGTACTGAAGGACTAACCGCAAAAAGATGGAGCCCACATCGCTGCTCATAACTATATTTATAGCCCCGCTTTGATAAAATCTATTGAATGAAGAGAATTTTGGTGAGTGAGTGAGTTTAATTACACACTGCTTTTAGCAACATTCCAGCAATATCACAGCAGAAATGGGCTTCAAACATTGTACCCATGTTGGGAATCAAACCCGGGTCTTTGGTGACACGAGCAAACGCTTTAACCACAAGGCTACCCACCACCCCTGACTGACTGACTGAGTTTGGCTTTACGCCGCTTTTAGCAATATTCCAGCAACATCACGGCTGGGGACACCAGAAATGAACCACCCCTGAAGTTTTGGATTGTCAGTGACACAAGGATTATCAGAAATTCATGGCTGTATCACCTTCTACTGGAGAATCATGAGCAGAAGTGGGTTGAGTAATGGGAGTAGAGGAAGGTGAAGAAAGCGGGGGGATGTCCTTCAAGCCCTACAATGGTGTCCCTAGAGTACAGTTTGTGATGGAAGTGTAATGTAAAATTTATTTTGTCACATTGCATCTTAGGTAGTTCCCTCTGTGTGCAATCTGAACAATATCATTTGTATCTTGACAAATTCTCCTCAATATTCTAACAAATATAAAAAATTTAGAGATTTCACAACCTGAGCCTTGCATTACGCCTCCAAGAAAGAATGGCCTTAACTGCAGATTTATGTTCCATGCTCCACTAGCCCTGTATCGACACAGCACCTGTAAATGAAACAGTGCATGGCCTAGTTATCGTGCATTTAGTCCATGCATGTTATTACTGTTAATAAAAAAAGATTATTCACACACCAAATCGTTGGGTACTAACTGAGGGCTGGGACATGTCTTTTTCGCGATCGGTAATTAAATACCAAACCCCAATACCCAACCTATCAAGTACTTACTGCTGGAAAAGGATATTAGTCAGATGTAAAAAGTGCACAGACAGAAAGAAATGCCAACATGAGTGACTTGAGGTGTCACTAAACCATGGAGTTTCATGTTTTTTGGGAGATAGAATATGTTCGCCACCCACAAAGAAAAGGAAAGAAAGGCCAACCCTAGCCCTAACCTAACCCTGAGTATTAACCTAGGAAAGGTTTATTAGTAAACATGGTAAAGTAGTTACAAAACAAGTTGGCGAACATATTCTATAATCACATTGTTTTTTGGCTGACTTTGGGTCGAGGCACAGGGTCTTGTAATGCCAAAAACCTGACATCATCCATATTGTCACAAAGGATCATATCAGTCTACATCACATCAGTAACGTATAGTATAGTAATATATACCTAAATGCCAGTTTGGGGTTACAAGGTCCAGGAAGACTAGTTCATATGAATAAACTCGTATTCATGCCAAGGCCTACATCGCGCACACCTTGGTATAGTGCAAAATCGTCTAGTTATACGCTGGACTACAGGAGGACTGACTGACTGAGTTTGGTTTTACGCCGCTTTTAGCAACATTCCAGCAACATCACGGCAGGGGACACCAGAAATGGGCTTCACACATTGTACCCATGTGGGGATTCAAACCCGGATCTTCGGCGTGACGAGCCAACGCTTTAACCATTAGGCTACCCCACCGCCCGACTACAGGAGGAAGACCAGTGGGACCCTGACCCAAGTTATCCTTCACGGTCATGTGCTTCCTGCTGGAAGATTCATTTCATTTTTATCTGTCTCCAGTTTAAAAACAATTCTTCATATCTCTACACCATACTAAAAATAACAGTAACTTCCACGTGTTCTGCAACATGCGTAACCCTCCATTTGCCCTCAATTTTTATTATCCCTTGATACAAGTTGAAGACAGGGGGTATGAATTACGATTCATTCGTGGCAAGCGTCATGTGGGGTAGTTCTACCAATATCTCATATCCATGATTGTTCTGTTCCAAACATATGTTCATATTTATTTTCTATGGACTTGAAGATGTCCTTGGTGTTACATGTGCTTCTGTGTAGCCAGTGAAGGTGCAAAGTTCATATTTCCCATCTCTAGTGACTATCGTGACTTCGTCAGAGGTTTTCTTCGTGCATGCGCATTGTCATTTCACAGGGCGATATACCCCAACTAAACAACATTCTTTACATTAATCTGACAGCTTTGTACCTCAAACGCAAACCACGAATATGGAGAAACAACATCATAAAACAACTCGACTCTCTTTTTCGCCGACATTTTGCGCGAGTGATCACTTGGCTCCTCACAGAGACGAGCCGTGCGAGTATATAGACTGGTACCCTGTCTTTCGGCTCATGACAGTTACCACTTAAAGTACGACGAAGAGCGCAAGCACTCTTGGGCAGGCAAACCAGTCACATCGCGTTTTCCAATGTCAAGTGCTGAGAATGAGGTTAGTCAAGCTGGTTCCCGGTTCTCTATGCGCAACTTCTACTTATGTTGTGAAGAGACGGGTCTCAGCTTACATAGTCCTTCACCTTATCGCCCGGATGTGATAACAAGGTGAAGGTCACTTCACAACGGACCTTTGACCCAACGTTGTTCTGACAGTTGATAATCAAGGTTAGTATATCGCTATATCAATCGGTCAAGTATACACAACGGCTTTTTCACAGTATGGACATGTATCTGTTGTATTCAAGTGTGTATTACACGCACAGAAACTCCGGATCAACCCAGGACTGATGTAAGGTGTCATTTAACTTCACTTGTCACTTGCCTGACACTGTGCCTCTAACTTTTGGTGCAGTCCTGACAATATGTGATGATGATTTTTATGGAGAAGCATGTACACTATGAATCACAACACACACACAGACACACACACACCTGACACACACCTACACTTTATGTACAAAATCAATTTACCCACTAACCCCACCCCCAGTACATGCATGTGTACAAAAATTCAAGTCCAGAAGGATGGTGAATGAAATCAAACTCTGATATGTACTCGTAACTTTGAGTGTACTTCTTAATAGAATTAGAAAACAATGTCACTAACATGTAACATTTAGTCTGGAATTTTGATTAACAGTACTGGGCTTTTTACCCTGCATACTTATGTATGTAATATTGCTGGAAACAAGTTTAGTCTGTTTGTTGCTACCATATACCCTTGTTATTGACTTTGTAACCATGGGAAAAAAAAAAAAAAAAAGTTTAGTCTGGACCCCCATATTCATGCCTTGGAAATACAACATACAACTAGAGTGCCTAAGACTACAAAATTGAAGATTAGATAATGAAAGTTTTTCCCAATATCTTTAGTTAGTCATTGATGAGTTGAAACAAACCGATTGTTTCTATTGCACTGCACTGCACTGCACTTTCTCCTTTACATTTCTAACAATGATCCTCTATTTTCTTTCAGAATATTCCTCGATAAACATTTCATTAAAATTCAAGCAACTTTACATTAACATGGAAAGTCTCAGGCTGCAGACTCAGTGGAAATACCTTCTAAAATCTTGTATCAGAAAACAAGAGCTTACCAAAAGGTGCTTCCATCACACATCCCCACTGCCATACAAGAGCCAGTGTCATGTCAGTAACCATAGTTACAGGATAATAGCTACAAGCAGTCCCATGAACATGATGAAGGGCAGACATACATGGCAGGCTTCACCAGCACAGCAAATAAGACCTTGTGTACTTTGTCAAGGGATGAATAGAAGGCATGTCTGCAGAAAGCATTTTAGTACAACTTCTAGAAAAATGGAAATAACGTTAGACACTGTGTTCTCAGTAAATAACAAGAAACGCGTACAAGATGATCTGTTACGTGTTCAACCCTCCAGGGGGTCAAGGTCAAAGCAAGGTCACTCAGCAGTGCTTGTGCCTCTGTGTACAGTCAATGGAGAGCCAGCCTTCCTGTTTACCCTCAGGTCAAGTTCTCTACGCAGTCACAGAGGTCAGGTCAGGTAGGTAGTAAACAGATGAATTTACGATTGTGCTGGATTTGTACAGATGTATGTTGTCCAAAGCAGATCTCAGGGACCCTGACTAATATGTTTTGAATAAATATTTAGTAGCAATATCACAAGATTCTGTAATTATAGAGATCTAAAAAGATGTAGTGGTGTAACGATTCATCGATACGCATCGATCCATGGGCCGCCGATACAGTGAATCAATACAAAGTTTTACATACCGGTAGTCGTATATCCCGATACGATACTTCAAATGGGCCACGATACATCGATGTTTTACTTTGAATATTGCCGAATCCCGATATCTGTCAAGAAAGACTTACTTTTGTTTAATGATTAAAATATATGCATACTTATTTTCCCTTCATAAGTTTCTCGGAAATTCTTGCGTCAGGAACTGTGTCAAACATATCGCTCGCATTTTATTGACATTCACGAAGTCCATGTATAAACGTTATTATCTCATTTCCGAATAAACATTGAAAAATGCTGACGGAATTTGACGAAATACTTTAAAGTAGTTTTGTTTTGATCTTAAAGTGTTTTATAGTTTGTGTTAAAGGTTTTAGTATCGTGATACGTATCGTATCGTCACCCTTGTATTGGGTTTCGTATCGTATCGCAGCTTCAGTGCACAATACTTTGGCAATATATCGGCGTGACTAAAATTTTAGTATCGTGATGCATCGTATCGCAGGGTGTATGCCAATACCAGCACTAAAAACATGTTGAGCACAGTTTGCATACATTGGCGGATCCAGGGTGTGGGGTGTGGAGGGTGGGGTTTCAGGGGTACGAACCCCAACCCCCCTCTTTTGATAATGACTAAAGACCACATTGAAATTAATTTTATGCATTGGCGGAGCCAAAGTTGGGTTCAGGGCTTCGAACATTCCTGGATGTATTCCCGCCTATGGCATAGATATGCAGCTTTGATGTACATAGTGTGCACAGCATATTCGATGGTCCATAAAAGGACAAAATATTGAAGTCAGTTCATAAATATACAAACAAAGAGGTGGATGATGAGGTCGAATATTAGTTTGTGTCAGATTAATCACAATTCGTAAAATTTCGATTCAGAAGACTGTGGCTGTTAGAGAAGTAACATTCAAGTCACAAATTTACATCCGGCCCAGATGATGAAGAGGAGAGGTTCTTGCAGTGCTTCAGATACAGGATGTTGATGTGTTTTAGTTTTCCAGGTGGCAAGATGGATGACACTGACAGGGACCCTGTCCATACTGCCCTGCGGGAAACATGGGAGGAACTTGGCATCACCATGGAAACAGTAGACATTTGGGGATCTATGATGGCTCTTCCAACCAGGGTAGTTACTTAGCTTTATATAGCTTGTGTTAAGTTAACTGCCAAGAACAGTCTTTGACTTTAGCGACTAGTCTTTCTTCTGTGAGTTAATATTTAGCATCACTGTTCTTGTATGACCAGCCAAATCTAGTATTATACTAGGCCAGGCATTTACAGAAAGTACATGCAAACATAGAAGTTTGAGACTCAAAACCTTTACCAGGAAAACATAGATTTAGTTAACATAATTGATAACTGTATCAGTGTTGTGTTGTGTTGTGGGTTACAGCACTACATGGTGAGTTGTTACATCAGTAGCATGTTGTTGTTGTGGATACATCTCTATGGTATCCAACTGAATTGCATATATAATGTTACTGCAACAGAAACATCTTTATCAACATTGAGGCAGAACCGAGAAGGGCAGATGTGTATCTCTGTTCACCAATTGTTTGGATTATTGTTAAATTGTTATTATTTCTAAAGACAAAGTAGCCATTGTTCTAAGCAAAATAAATGTTTGTACAGAGTTACATCCCCTATTCATTCCAGGATCTACTATCATGGTAAAAATTACAGATTAGGTCTGGATATCTGAACATCTTGACCTACATCACTTAAGACTTTCACCTGTCTATAATGTACCTATAACAATGTAAAAGACACATCAAAACATTGTTAAACCAATCACTCCGTCTAGTTATTTCCTTTGATGACATCATCATGTAACAAGATAACCATCACAAGTTTCCAGTTTCTGTGTATCACTCATCATAAACACAACTATCAGGATATGAATCACTTATTAGTAAATAGTTATGCTCTAGGTCTGGGACGGGATACCCGGGACGGGTGGGTAATGAGTTGGACCCGGGTACCCGTCTCAGTACCGGGACCCGTTATGATCATGTGACTAATAGATTAAACAGTGTAAAATGTTATTCTTTCATGATTAAAAGGTTGTATTGTCTTGAAGATTTAGACATATTTACAATCACCTGTTTTGAATATAATACATGGTTAAAATATTGAAAAACTCGGAATTTTAGCCTCCAAGCTGAAGAATATATTGCCATTTCTTACAAATCTGATGTCAGGAATTAACATAACGGGTATCTGGGTAGGGTAGGGTATTAGGGGTGGGGGTACCCTGGTAGAAAATTTGGACCCATCCCAGCCCTGTTATGCTCCTCTGTTCAGGTGACTGGTGGCAAAGTGACGCCGGTGATTGGCTACTGTGGTGAGGTGGACGTCGATGGGCTCACTATCAGTGAGGATGAGGTGAGTGTCAAGTACAAACAGCAGTGGATGCAATCAGGTTTCCCCAGGAACTGAAACTTACAAATTACCCATTTTCCAAGGGTTTCCGCAGGGTATCCGTTACCCAGACTCCAACAGGTTTCTGCAGGAACTGAAACTTACAACAAATTACCGTTTCCAAGGGTTTCCGCAGATTTTTTTGTGATATGGATATACTTTCAGTAGAAACAACCAGGATTAATTTTAAAGTCAATAAAACTAAAAAAAAGTCCTTCCTGTTATTTGCTGTTTTCTGTAGTGCATCAGTAAACAAACTCAGTTGATTAAACCCTTACATGTGCAAACCATCAATGGCTGACAATGTTATTTTGCAGCCTTAATTTTTAGAAAAGTGTCATTAACATGTAATTTTAGGGCGTATTAATGATTTAATTATTTTGATCCAGGTGAGAATAGATCCCCAGCAACTTTATCTGGTTGTTTAGGCATCTTTAGAGGCTCCAGCTTTAAAAGATATGTTTAGAAGCTTGTTTAATTGATTGTTAATTGTAGTCCAAAGGCATAAGACCACTTAGAGTATCACTGGATTGTCTGGTCCATCTTTGAATATTTACAGTCAGCAAAAACAAACAAATGGGAATGTGTAATCCCAAATATAACATATGTAACAAATGAACATACTTGTATGTTGAAATTGGAATGTAATGGTAATGGTGCAGTCCTTACTGAAACTATTCTTGCACACCTTTATTTCAGGTTGAGTTAGTCTTCACACGCACAATAAAATCAATTTGCGAGCCAAAACACAATGGCCAGACCCAGTTTCGAACCAGTCCCGGCTACACCCTGCCCGTGTTTCTTGGTGGAGAACATAGAATCTGGGGACTGACGGCCATGATTCTGCACATGGCTTTGACCATCATCGCCCCAGGATTGTATCGCCACAAGCTCCGACATCGGTCTTGATGATGACTCTGTTTAGGATATATATAGTCTGTTATATAATTTATTTATCATGATTGTTTCAAATGCTTAACATCTTAAAGGCAGAAAATGAATTACTTTTAACGTACCCTTATTTTTATAAAAACATGTTCTTATTCTCTCTAATTTATGGAATTACCCGGTGATTGAAGAAGTCAAAGTAGATTTTTGGCTCCAGTTTCTCTGTAGCTGTACAGGAGCAGTGGGGTAGCCTTGTGGCTAAAGTGATCGCTAATCACGCCGAAGACCCAGGTTTGATTCCCCACATGGCTACAATATGTGAGGCCCATTTCTGGTGTCCCCTGCCGTGATATTGCTGGAATATTATTGCTAAAAGCGGCGTAAAACTATACTCACTCACTCACTGTACCTGTACCACAGAATGACAGCAGGCTTTGTGCTGTAGCTAGAAAGTCAGTGTGGTTTGATGTCGCATTTAAGTTTATTGCACTTATATTGAGACATATAAGCATGTGTGTATAAGGCTGCTTGTACTAGCCAAGACAGGGCGGTGGGGTAGCCTAGTGGTTTAAGCGTTGGCACATCACACCGAAGACCCGGGTTCAGTTCCCCAGTGGGTAAATGTGTGAAGTCCCTTTCTGGTGTTCCCCACCGTGATATTGCTGGAATCTTGCTTAAAGCGGCATAAATCCAAACTCATTCACTCACTCTTCATCATTGACAGACTGTAGTGATCATACACATACATTTAAGTCATTTGGTGATATGTTTCCAAGTACAGCATCGGGCCAACCTAACCGAAATTGTTTCACTAATACATTCATAGTATTGTTGGCAATTATTTTTAATATAATTTTACTTCATGTTTTGCCATTAGTTATGATATCATGATATCACAGTGAATGATAATTGTTTACAACATGCCTAGTGGTGAGAGTGGGCAAGTGAGATTTAGTTTTACGCCGCTTTTAGCAATATTCCAGCAATATCACGGCAGGGGACACCAGAAATTGGCTTCACACATGTGGGGAACCAAACCCCTATCTTCGGCTGACGAGCAAATGCTTTAACCACTGGGCTACCCCACCGCCCTAATGGTGAGACAGATGTGGCCGCTCAGTCTCAGGTAGAAGGGGCTGGATTAATGCTGAAAACAGTTGCAACAATTTGCTATTGCTCATCATTGCAGTTGTTTACTGTTCTATAGATGTTTTACATAGACCTGTTTCAGGAAATAGTCACGATATGGCTGAAATATAGCCGATGTGACGTTAAATATTAACTCACTGTTTCAGGAAATAATGTATTGAATAACATGCTGCATGCATTTATTATATTTTTATGAAGTGTATTAATATCTAATGTACATAATGATATGAATTGTTAAATGTGATGGATGCATGTGAAAAACTGTATGATTTTATCCTGGGGATGCTATGAATAAAACAATTATATACATGAAGAAACATGAGTGTTTTGTTGGGTCTTTTGTCAGTCTACCAGTACCAGGTATGTAAGCAAGCATTAGAAATAAGCAAGGATGGTGACTGTTCTGACCTGTGCTAGTGCTCATGGAACACTGTTTGCTGAGAAACACAAATAACTGCACAAAATAAACGAGTGAGTGAGTGAGTTTAGTTTTACACCGCACTCTGCAATATTCCAGCTATATGGCGGCGGTCTGTAAATAATCGAGTCAATCCAGTGATCAACAGCATGAGCATCAATCTGCGCAATTGGGAGCCGATGACATGTGTCAACCAAGTCAGACCACCCGATCCCGTTAGTCGCCTCTTACGACAAGCATGGGTTACTGAAGATCAATATTCTAACCCAAACCTTCACGGGTTCACAAAATAAATGAAGAAAACCAGTTCAGGAATTGTTGTCTCTCCAGAGGCAAACACTTCTGTGATTTAACAAGATGAGACTTTTCTACTTTCCACTTGCCCTTTAAACATTTGAAAAGACACAGACCATCAGTCAATCAGTCTGAACGCTGCCTGATGAGAGATCATCAAAGTAGATGATTTACTTTGTTGAATGACAACACAAGTCTGTTTGATCAAATCCTGCCAATCTGCAAAATACTTCTTTCAACAGTCCTAACCAAAATCAGTTTGGATACCAATATCAGCTTTGAGTATCTGCTAAAGTATGTTAGTTTACTCTAGTCCATGTATGAATCCTAACATATTTCAGCACATCCTTGAAATTAGACATCATCCATTGAAAATCATCTGATATTTGGGCAGGAGTGAGTGACTTTAGTTTTACGACACCGTTAACAATATTCCATCAATATCTTCTGAGTCTTCTATGCGTGACGAGCGAGAGCTTTCACCACTATTGTATCCTATCTTACCATTCTGCATGGATTATTCCATTATCTAAGGTAACAGGTAATTACTTAGCTGTGCATTCAGCTGAAAGTTTGATGCCTTACAAATGGGAGGACACCGACTACCCTGCCACCCATCCATTTGGGCAGGTAATGCCTTTCCAGTTTCTAAGTTTCATATTTGACAGATCAATATCAATACAAGTCATATGATACAAAGTTGAGCTCGCCAGTCAAGCCACCTATAGCTAGATGTTATTTTCACCAGCCGGAAAGAAAAGAAAGTAGCCCAAACAGCTAATTCACAACATTGCCACCAGGGTCCACTTGCACAAAGCTATCTTAGCACTAAGGTGATTGTAACTCCCATACTTTAACATAGGGTTGCGATCATCGTATCTCTAAGATTGCTTTGTGCAAGTGGATCCAGGTGTTTTCAAATGGCTTTTCACAGGTTTATTGTTCTTATCATTAATAACAACTCACTATGTGAACTCGACAGAGTTTTATTAAGGCACATATGCCGACATTCAACAAAGTATCATGAAATATGTCTCTAAATATACATCAATAACAATGCAAAACAGTGTGTCATGGGTTTTAAACCCACACTTCGATGGAATGTTTTCTGTGTTCTGTTACTAAACTCGGCACATGAAGAACAAACTTGCCAGGATGGTCAGTATTCTTGTAAGATTCCATAGTGTAAAGAACCTGCCCCATGATGAAGTTATTCAGTATACTGAAGGCGGCCACTGAGTGGTCACATCATTGAGAACATGGTTGTCAGTTATAACAACACAGGGCAGAAGTGCTTACTGGAATATTCTGTTATTCAGAGCAAACAACAGTAAACTACAAGGAGAGCAAAAGTCATCAGAAGATGACAAATACCCATCAAATTTGAAAGAACAAATCATCTGACAGTTATTTAAAGTCCAACTTGATTTTTTCCAAATCATTTCCATGGAAACCATGAAAAATATAAATGCCAAAAGTCTGTAAATAGCAAAAGGCACCACTATAGGTTCTGTTTGATATATATACCAATTTTTGTTGAAAAATATTGAAAGTTGTTTTAGTTATGCTCTGGAAATGAAATGATTATGGACGTACGGACAGATGGACGAATAGACAGACGGATGAGGTAATACATGCCTGGGGGATGAAAATGACAACTGACACATATAGCAAACTGTTGCTTTTCTTTTTGTCCCAACCACTTTGTATTTGAGTCAAAATGCATGAAATAAATTACAGTTATAACAAACAAAAATCATTGCTCCCTTTGAGTTTGAAACTTCTGTAATAACAAGTGTTAAATATTTTAACTGTTAACATGGACATTTAGGCCATGTTTTAATTTAGGGATTCTGGTCTACGCGTGCAACAGAATGGCTGTCATTAGATAATTGGCTTCAATATGTATCATAATATGTAAATTTATCTTTTGATAAAAAAGTCTTCAGAAACTTCAGTTTGGTCAAGTGGAACAGGAACTGAGACAAAGGAAACAAGTCTGAGGGCAGTGTTACTCGCGTTATGACGACACACAGACATTGTAAATATCTGGACGGTGGTTATCTGTTGTAACTTAGTTATTTCACATTTGTCTATGAGATTAGCAAATTATTTGTGAGTGCAAAAACAATATTAGAGATACAAATGGATACATACTGTTGATATATACTGACAATTACAGCTGACAAATACATGTTTTCAGAAAAAATATGACTGTTCACACAAACATTACAATAATATGCTGACAATATAGATGAAAGTTAAAATATAATATTGGTCATCTGGCTATTTCAAAAGAAATTCTGAGAACCCTAAACCAACATGTCAGCAAATGTTACCCCTGAAATTAGAAAAACATATGCAACCCTCTGATTGTTCGTTGTTCCTTCATTTGTTTATTCATTCATTCTAAATACCCAAGAATGCAAAAAATAAAAAAATAAAATAAAACACTCTCTTTCTCTTTCTCTCTCTCAGAGCCACTGTTCCTTTAGAGAAATTGCTGCTGACAAAACCAGTGGATCCTTGCATGTTCAAGGGGCATAACCCAACACACTATATTTAAGTTCACTATCATGTTGCATAGATAGATTTAAATTTCATAATTCATTAAATCAACCATGAACAATGAGAAAAAACTTTACCCTGCAATATCACGCAATTATGGATAAAACTGTAATATCAGATTTCAATATGACAATTGTGTCAGGAAAATTGCACTAGAAGTCTCAGTGTCACAACATTCTCTTGTGAAACAGTTGCTCAACCTTTCTAGTAACTTTCGTGGTTATATATTTAACTGGGCTCTACCACCACATGGGCTCAAGCCTGAGAGAAGAAAGTCCCACACATACTTGTACGAAATAATTTACATTAAACCCAACCCACTACAAACATACACCAGCACACACAGACTCCGCATCAAGATGTCTTCTTAGCACTTTCTTCAACAAACAATTGCATCTGAAAAAAGAGAATTTAATTAGGCTAATCAATAACTTTGAATAAGACTCCAGTGTAAAACAAAGGTTACCGAAATATCACTAATTTGCCTTGGTTGCATACCTCACACACACAACATTATATATATCAGAGATAAAGAGAATAATAAAAGTATCCCATCTGAAGTTGAGTAGTATACAACTATATAAGACAACCTTTGTTAGTATATTTTTATTATACTCTTGATTGAAACAACGCTTGAAGCAAGTTATACAAAAAGTGTCTTCTCACTGGTGTAAATTACCTGATTGACTGGGCACAAGGGGAGTGAAAATTTGTGAGAACTTGTGAGTATATACTCAATGGCTTAAAATGATTTTCTGGATTCCTTCTGTTTGTTTAACACCACACTCAACTATATTCCAGATATGTGGTGGCGGTCTGTAAATAACTGAGTCTGGACCAGGCAATCAAGTGATTGACATCATGAGCATCAATCCACACAACTGGGATATGATGACATGTGTAAACCAAGTCAGTGAGCCTGACCACCCGACCCCATTAGTTGCCTCGTATGACAAGCTTGGTTGCTGAGATAAGCTCTAACACAGATCTAACCCAGGTCCCCAAAGTTAATATTATTAAAATCTAAATATTTTAGATATTTAAATGGTTACCTTACCATAGGTCTTATGCATATTACCTTGAGCTCCGCTTAAAAGAGATCAGACAGTCGTTGATTTGCCATTCTCTAGAATGGCTGCCTGAGGTATCGACGAGTGTACAGGAACGGAAGTGACGTGATCTCCCCTCCCGCGCAAGCACGGTCTATCCAAAAATCACTTTTACTGACCAGGTCCGAAGAGCCCAGAGAGGGGAGGAGCTTTGGCAGGGAGTTACCGCCCTATGGTAAGGTAAGTATTAAAATATCTAAAATATTTAGATTTTAATAAATTTTTAATTTACCTTACTATAGGTCTTCTGCATATGGATTCGACAGTAGGACGGCACTGTCGGGCTTCAGAGGACCGCCCCTTGAAGAAAAATCAAGACCAGGTTCTGGTTGGCCACCAAGGCGTGACCAAAATCAGATGAATCATCTCTGTGTGCTTGACCTTTGCTATGACTGCTGGCAGCAGAACTGGTGGTGGAAAGGTGTCGACTGCCCATGCCGCCGGATCTGGAAGGGGAGACACGTACAACGGAAGCTGTTTGCTGAACCGAGTCGCAAACAGGTCGATCAGAGGGCGGCCGTGACTGTGACTTAGAAAGTTGAAAGCTTCTGGATGTAGCATCCACTCTGTTGGCGACGGCTTGCCTGGCCTTGAGAGAGCGTCTGCTAGGACGTTCTTGCACCTTGGGATGTGCCGGGCTCTGGCTCTGATGCCGCCGTCGTCCAGGAGACTGACCAACAGGAAGGTCTGCTCCAACAACTGCTTGGACCTGGTCGTTCCCAGGTTACGAATCAACCACACCACCGTAGAATTGTCTGACGCTATCAGGAGGCTTGTGTTCTGCAGCAGACGCGTCCAGTGTCGAACTGCTAGAATGACTGCTTGGGAGCTCCAAGTTGTTGATATGCCAGCCTAGCTCAGCATTGGACCACAGCCCTGAGGTGGTCTGGTCGTTGAAGTGTGCACCCCAACCTTGAAGAGACAAACTCTGTCAAGGAGACTCCTATGCAGACGTTCGACTCTACATCCCACTAGCGGAGGTAAGCGTGGAGATGCAGAGGCAGAAGGAACCTCGACTGCAGGTCGTCCGCCTGGATGTTAGGCAAGAGGAAGCGCTGTAACGGCCGGAGCATCAGACAACCTCTGAGCGTCAAGTCAAAGTCCCTGAGTGCGAGTGGCCGGGACAGACCTCGGCTGGGAAAACTGACAATTTTCCTCCAGCGATCCTGTGGAATCCTGACAAGGTCACAGTGAGTCAGAAACAAGCCTCCTATGAGCATCAGTTCCTGGGACGGCTCCAGGTGAGGCAAAGTTCATCTGTTTGCGAAGCAAATGAGGGTCGAGGTGGTTCATTAGACAGTCATCTATAAAGGGTCGAAATCGATGCCCCTGAGATGGAGGAACAGGGTGATCGGCGAGGTAATCCGAGTAAAAAGCCATGGGGCCGTGGAAATTCCAAATGGAAGCACCTTCCACTGGTAGCGGGACCCGTTGAAAACAACCTCAGGTACAATCTGTGACGATGGTAAATGGGCACATGCAGGTAGGAGGTCAAGGCTGGCCAGCCAGGCCCTGGGCGCAAGCCCGGCATGTAGTTGTTCCAGGGACACCATCCGGAAGTGAGGTGTCTCCGAAAGGTAAAGGTCGTTAAAAACTGCCATGTTGTGAATCATGCGCATTTTGACTGAGTCTTTCTTGGGAACCAGGAAATTTGGTGAGTAGAACCCCGGGGCTGTTGGGGGTCTAGCACTGTCTCTATAGCTTGTTAGTCTAACAGAGTCTGAATGTTGTCTTCTAGCAGTAACTCTTGATCTGGAGCATACACACGTGACTGGGGCGTTGTAGTCAGAGGCGGCAACACAGCGATTGGCAGCTTGTAACCGGTCTTGAGAATGTTGGTCACAAACGGATCTTCTAGGACTGTCCAATTGGGCCAGAAGATCCCCAGTCTCCCACCTACTGGAGTAGGACGAACCGGCTGGACGTCAAAGGAGGCTCCCGGGGACGGTCCTGCTGATGGCGCTGAAAATCGGGGTCAGATCTGCCACCTCCTCTGCCAAAGGCGCTACGGACAGAGTCCCTTCTCTTGACGTAACGGTGCCTCCCCTACCCCTCGTAGACGACTTGCCACAAAAGGCCGAACTCAGAGCTTCGAAAGTAGACAGGGACACCTCAGTTTTAGTAAGCTCCGCATGCTCCTTATAAACCTCCGGAATCCGGTCATCAAAGAGAAAGCGAAAGGGGCTCTCAACAGCTTTCTTTTGAACTCTTCCTGCCAAGAGCAAGGCTCAAGGAACCCTGTCTGCCGAACAAAAGTCGTCATGGCCAACGCCGTCCAGAGGTGTGCCAATAAATCATGGCGATCAGCGAAAAGGAGGCGACCTCGAACGGGACCGACGGTAGCGCCTCCCATGAGTCAGTGACTTTGAACACCTCTCCCTATCATCGGAACGTCTGGGAGAGCGAGACCTGGAATCAGACCGATGACGGTGATGATTAGCATCAGAACTATGACGAGGACTCCTAGAACAATGGCGCTGTCGAGGACACCTAGAGCGAGATCGCTTAGAACGACGGGAGTGCTCGGCTTCCTGGCGTCAGAAACGCTCCTCCAATAACTGACGCTTTAAATCCTCCTTTCTAGAAATCGTAAACACAGGTGCCTTCTTGGGGATACGGTAGTCTGATAACGGCGTCGGCGCTTGGGGAGGCGCTTGCTGATGCAACAATCCAGCAACGTCAGGGCTAGGTGCCACGGCCGTAGGCGCTGGAACTGGGCAACGCCGAAGTTGGCGCTGGGACAGCACTAGGTAACGAGGGTGTCAGCGCTGGAACGGCGCTAGCTCGGGCTTCAACTGCTGCATGTAAGAGGAGCATCCTTAGAAGCTTCTGTACCTCCGGATGAGATAAGGCGTCCAGCTGAGATAAGTCAACGAAGGCGTCAGACGGGCGCTGGGCTTCAGGCGTCAGCATACGCGGCGCAGGTGTAGACGTCTGTTCTGCTAAAGGAGAGCAGCGTCTGTCCGGCATTCGTGGAAGAGAAGATCAGGACCCCAAAGAAGAAGCAGGTGAAGACATCTTCCTCTTACGTTGCGACAATCGTTTCTTCTTAGCGACGGTATAAGCCTTAAAATCAGCGACGGACAAAGGAGTGCAAAAATGGCAACGCTCAGCGAGCGAACAGGAAACTGTAGCGCAGTCTGGGCACAAAGGGTGGGGATCCTTAGCAAACTTCTGCACCTTGCAGATGCAGCAAAACTGACGGGTCATGCACACAAAAGCTGTAACACGGAAAAGTGAAACGTAAATAATACGTAAACACACAGAAAAAACCCTCCTGCAGAGAAAATGGAAACACCCCTGCAGTAAGAATGGGCACGCCCAAGCAGGTGGAACAGTAGACAGTAAACAACCAAGATGGCTGCCCCCACTGAGCCGAGAAGAGCGTGAAACAAGCACAAATGAGGTAATAATATCAAGATACACAAAACCAAGCAAGAACATTATGGTGAAAGAAACATAGGTGTATACAATACACCAAACATGCCTAGCGGAGTGACACTCGCCATGTTGGAACACACCCGACACCGAAGTGAGAGACACCAGGCAGCCAGGTAAGTGACGTTTATTCTAATTATGTTCTTCACCCACACAGAGAAGAATATAGGATATAAAAAGCATACATACCAAAAACAAACAAGAACTTTAATATCTGAAAGTATCAGTAGGTAGCAAACTAGCAAAATCAAAAACGTCTGACATGCAGTACGCTTGAAGTAAAAGTGATTTTTGGATAGACCGCGTTTACGCGGGAGGGGAGATCACGTCACTTCCGTTCCTGTATACTCATCGATACTTGAGGCAGCCATTCTAGAGAATGGCGAATCAACGACTGTCTGATCTCTTTTAAGCGGAGCTTGAGGTAATATGTGTAAGACCTATGGTAAGGTAAGTTAAAAATAATGCATTTCTGAGAATTGTAAGTTGGAACATAACTCCAATATAATCGTCTACCTTAAAGAAGTCAGATTTCATAGACTTGAGAGGCACAAGCTTTGAGTCTTCCATTTTCTGCTGCTTTTCATCAGCTTCAACCCAGGGGAAGTTCTGGAAACGTTGAGTGAAACATGCTTTATCATATAATGTGTAGGCTTTTTGGCAGTGAAGCCAACACATAAAAACAGTACCTGTAGGGGTCATTTATGGATAAAGATACACTCATGTAGGTAGTACTTTCAAGGGCAGTTGGGTAACCTTGTGGTTAAAGCACACACACACACACACTGGCGATATTGCTGGAATATTGCTAAAAGCGGTGAAAAACCCAACTCACTCTCTCACTGGTACTAACATTATTACCCCAATTAAACCAAGCTGCTTGGCTCAAGAAGATTAGTATCCCTTTGGGTACTTATCCCACTGGGTACCCATTCACTGCTGGGTCAACACAGGTAATTTTGAACAAACTTAAGGTGATTTAACTTCAACTTCAACTGATTTGTGACCTGGGTTCTATGCACCAGACAACACACCAACAAACCAGTAATCGACACTAGTGACAGCTTTGAACAGTATTGAACAGTATATCAGAGAAAACCCCAGAAGAGAAGCAGGATGCATGTGTTTTCTACATTGCTGAAACTCATAGGCATCGTTTCAGTGCTGAGAGACCAAGGGCAATATTTATGTTGTATATGTAATCCAAACAGCAAGGAACTAAAGGAACAGCAAAGAGTCCTAGACTTGGAAACAATGGGCTGAGAAAGGTACATATTATACCACCGTCATGAATCTGATCTCCCACTACACATTACTCACTGGTCTGGAGTGTAGAATCTCCTCGAATCTCCCAGGGACTTTGATGACCTGTTTCTCATCCAACTTCTGGGCTGCAGACTCCCGTGTGTGGATGTGCACTGTCCAGGTGCAGTCTGGGAACACAGGCGGACCATATATTTCACATTGTAGTGAGTGAGTGAGTGACAAGTTAACGTTTTAACCACATTTCACATTGGAGAGTGTGTGAGTGAATCATTGGGTGAAATACTGAGTGGACAAGTGAGACAGTGATGGAACACAATAAATATTTCAGCTTTATCATGGTGGTCAAGAGATAATAGTGTCTAAGGAAGAACAGGGGCAGTGGGGTAGTCTTTCGGTTAAAGCATTTCCTTGTCACGCCGAAAACCCTATTACGACAAGCATGGGTTACTAAAGGTTCATTCTAACCCAGACCTTCACGGGTTGTAGTGTACGGGGCAGTGGGGTAGCTTAGTGGTTGAGTTAGCTCGTAACACATGGGTACAATGTGTGAAGCAAATTTCTGGTGTCACCCACCATGATATTGCTGGAATATTGCTAAAAGTGGCGTAAAATCACACTCACCTCACTCACTCACAGAGGGAGAAAAAACAATTGATAAGGGGCAAGTGTGAAAGGTTATAGACAATTCCACAGCAGTTTCAATAAACCAACAATGTTTTATTTAAGTCAAAAGTCCAAAATATTGAAAAGAAAACAATCAGCCTGGACTAGCCTGAACACATATCCTACATCACACCATCACTGCTATGTGATAACTCCAGGTATCCCCCATCAACACCTTCCCCCCACACCAACAGTACTAGGTGATAATTGCACATATCCCCCACCTTCAGGTAGAGGCTGCAATACAGAGTCACAGATGTTCAGCTTCAGTAGGAACGCCCTCAGGGATTGTTCCAACTGGAACAGATACTCATCAGTCCTGCAACCAAAATCATACTTTGATCTGAAACAATTGTTTTAACAATATCTCAGGTAAGTAATGTCCATAAAACACATCCTGCTGTATCAAGCTTAATGTTCACAAAAGGAATAACTCTCGCTTTAACACAAAAATATTTTAACAATACAAAATTCAAATATGCACTTCAGTATGTTCTATGTTCTATGAACAGAAAAATCCCACATATATGAAGTTGATTGGAGTTCTGAATGACACACATAGAAGAGGGCAAGCAAAGGGCAGGACTGACATTTCCAATACTGATGTTCCTTTTGGAGACACCACACAATGAATCAATCACAAAAGCTTCAATTCCCCAGTCCTTATAATCACAAAAGAGATGTTGAAAATGAAAACTTACAGTTAAGAACTACAGATTGCAAACAATATGCCACAACATATATTCACTTTCAGCTAAAAAAACATAAGGATGTTAAAAAAAAACACATACATTGACAAGTGCCTATTACAATTTGAAATCACCATAAAATCTTAGAATTAACTTGGGAAATGAAATTTATTAGAATAACTGTCTTTGAGGGCAGTTGTGTCACCTGCCACTTTGAGTTGCCTCTGTGAGTCATCAATGTCCATTCAGTTGGAACTTACTTTGACCTGGTGTTGTGTGTGTCAGTTATCTCAAACACAAATCTCTCCAGTGGAGAGTTATCTGCCCTTAGAACAACAATGGCCACTGTCTCGACCTCTCCCTGCTCCAGCAGCCACCTGACCCCATCAACAACGTGGATAACATACTCCTTCACTTCAGGGTGCAGACACATCTGTTGATAATCAGACATCAACAGATACACAGACATATCAGACACATCTGTCAACACCCATCCTCAATAATCTCTAGGGTATACATTACGATAACTCTCCACTATACCCTGGATGCATCCACGGCACGGGTTCGATTCCCAACATGGTTACAATGTATTGATGAGTGCAGCGTAAAACTAAACTCATTCATTACAATATATGTAGCTCATTTGTTGTCATGAGGATATTCTTTTCTTAAAATTATAAATGTCTTATTCATAATCTCTTGTTCATAATGCTTGAAAAAATAACAAAGGACTGTCATGGACAACAAAAATCATCACATGAAGATGTTTATCTTCATATCCATCCAACCATCCTCACACATGCTACAGTATATAATAATGATAATAAACATCATAAAGCAAAAATATCATACATCACATTTAAATGCTAAAACATCTGTCATTGAATAAATCAGCGAATTGTATTACAGATACGTTTTGAAGGAACAAAGGAATTTCCAATGTAAACGCTGGAAAACAAGAAATTATGGATCAATATACTTAAATATTTCATAAAATATTTTGAAAAGTAGGATGGACGTACTTGAACCGGGACATTGTACTTCTTCCTCTTCACAAACACTCCTGCTGGGTAGAGGCCTCGGTTGTACAAGATGCAATGCACAGCCACTTCCAGAAACTCACTCAGGACATCAGATGACACTGAGACAAAAATTAACTCCTCTTTAATGCATAAGTTTTGTTGGAACCACGCTTTCTCAGAAACGCAGAGATTCTTGTACTTTTTCAGCTTATTTCCATCAGGGGTTCAACTCACACTCTGATTGAGGCACCAAACCACCAAGGCCCATTTCACAAAGCAATCGTAGCCCTACTATTGTCATACCTCCAATACTGTAACATAGACTTATTACAGTTGTAGCTCTACCATAGCTTTGTGAAACGGGGGCCCAGCACACCAAGATAGTGATCTAACCCACACAGCCACCCACTTTTTCCACAAAAATCCAATTCTGTCTTCTGGTAATCCAGATGATGTACTTTGTGTTCCCAAAAGACAAGTGTGAATTGGGTTGGCTCCTATAAGCAAAATCTTTCAACATACAATGTAAGAAAGCTTGTAAAATGCTATATTTGGGATTACACTTTCTCCGCAAATTACATATTCTCGACAATGTAGTTGATCCTTGAAATTGTTGCTTTCATCCTGGCCATAACTCAGAGTATTTAACACCTGAACTGTTGAAACATTTAATAGATATTCAATTGACTTAGCCACGTGCATCTTGCGCTTTGGCAACTCGACCCGTGAAGGTCCGGGTTAGATTGAATCTTCAGTAACTTATGCATGTCATAAGAGGCGACTAACAGTATCAGGTGGTCAGGCTCGCTGACATGGTTGACACATGTCATCGGTTTCCCAATTGCGCAGATCGATGCTCATGCTGTTGATCACCGGATAGTCTGGCCCAGACTCGGTTATTAAACTCACTCACTCTTTGGCAACTCTGTTTATGAAATTGCCATTCTTGGGCACCTATCTAATTCATCCTGGACCAGCCCAAGCACATTTACCAATCACATGACTATTATCTGCCAATAATGATAGGCCTATTATTAGAAATCTTTGCCCTGATCAAGAAATCAAATCACACATCTCATTGTACAGAATCACACACTGACTGTCACACCGAATAAATCATGATATACCTGCTCATAAACGGATTAACTATTCAACTTGATGTCAGTAGATGACCAGAAGTGTCGTTTGTTAATTCCTCGTGACTGCGTGCACGTGGTAAACACTTTGTATGAATGGGATATGATAAAATACAAAGTTTTTCGTAGCTATTATCGAAAATAGTAGGGCAAAATTTGATCATGGTTTAACTTTTATTTTTAATGCATTTCAGAGATACTACTTCCGAATGCAAATATGAACAATTAAAACCTGCATGCAAAATATTACCTTGCAGACAACTAACGTTCTCCATAATCTCTATGTCTTTCAATATCAAAACGTTTCGCTATTATTTATAATGCATTCTTTGCTCATCTGCACACAGACGAAATCGTAAACAAAAATCCAAGGGAGGCCACTCTATTTCACATTTTGCCATTGCTCATTTGAATGCAATAGCCAAACTATCTCAGTTCGAATGAAGAACCGGGTTATTTTGTAAATTGATATTTTCCAAATCTATCATTATAATGTCCTACTTAAGATAATACCAGTTAATGTTCTGTTTTGGAAGTCAGTACTTCAGAACAATACCTGATAAACAATACAAGATAAGATGATACTTTGTTGGCCCAAAGGAAATTTGTCCTGCGACATAACAGGTTCATACAGGTAGGTGGGTGAGTGAGTGAGTTTAGATTTTACGCTGCACTCAGCATGGCGGTCTGTAAATAATCGAGTCTCTGGACCAGACAATCCAGTGATCAAAAGCATGAGCATTGCGCACTTGGGAACCGATGACATGTGTCAACCAAGTCAGCGAGCCTGACCACCCGATCTTTAAAGTCGCCTCTTACGACAAGCATGGGTTGCTGAACACCAATTCTAACCTCGATCTTTTCATGATGTAGGGAGGCAGAATTTTGTGCGCCTTAAGGCTAATTTAACTGCTAATCAGGACAGAGACGAAATCTTAAGGATTCACAAGGTTCCGATCATTGAGGTATGGAGTTGTTCCAGCAAGATAATACCAGGCCTCACACAGCAAATCGCCAACCCAACCTCTCTCTCTCTCTTTCAAACGCAAATTCAGTTCATGTCGAGACGCTCAAGAGGAGGTTTAGGGGCTCATGGTGGCCACAAGAGATACTGAAGACAACGCTAAACTGGAAACAGGCGCCTCCACTTATTGAACATTTTACAGGGTATGGTATGCAACTAATGGATTACTGTACTCGTGTCTGTCAGATACCATTTATCTTACAACTTGCTTTCGCCAGTTAAATACGTTTTGAAACAACTCGTCATAAGATAAATGGTATCTGAAGACAATCGTTAAGTAATCCTGTAACATATTGCAATACACTATGCATGGCATTATATGAATTAACAGAAAATAACTTAAACCATGGACAAAATCACAAAAGTTGCTACGGCTTTTTTTAAACCAATATCGGTTCTCAGAAAATATATTCCAATATGTATCATGTGAAACGCACATTGGGTTTTGCAGCTATAGTGTACGGGTAATACCGTGCAGTCAAGCATACCGCAGTCCCTTTGGAATGCGTGGTTAGAAACTTAATGGTTCACCATAGTTACATGGTTGATTCACAACAACGCACACGATGTATTTTAAAGCGAACAGGTTAAAAAAAGGTTCATACCAGCTATTAGCGCGAAGCGGTGGGCGATAATAGCCGACTTCGCTTGTCTGTCATAAAACCCTGACATCTGTGAAAGAAAACATTTATTGCGCGACTAAAATAGTTTCGCAGTTGCAATCAAACAGACGCCTTGCCCATATGGTATTTAAAAAGAGATTTCTTGCAGTATTTTCAGTTCAAAGGCCGAGATTTACAGCTTTTGCGCTATGGGTTTGCTACAGTGATAAAGTCAATCCTGTTTAAACTACTTTAATGACACTGTATAGATCTAGAACTACCAACTAGTGAAAAAACGGAAGACTTAATGACAGACATCCTCGCATGACAGCCTCAGCAACAAAGGTGTGAAACTGTAAAACGTAAGGTGATTGGGTCATTAAACGAAACAAACCAATCGCGATCGGTTTTACGAAGCGCTCCTGTTTTACTCATTATACTCATTTGTAATATTATACTAGTGAAGTTGATCCAATGATTTATCGACCTTGGACCTGTGATATTCACATGTCCAAGGTCGATTAATCATTGGATCTACCTCACTAGAAGTCAATAATTGTTTTATTACATGACAAAAGTACTAAACACATTGACAGTGGCGGATCAAAGGGGGAGGGTTAACCACCACCCCTCCCCCCTTTTCAAAATTCCTGGATCCGCCCATTGAATACACAGTCATGAATCTTCGTGCTGTCGTGTCGTGAGATGTGACGTAACTCTAAACCAACACAGTCACAGGGACGAAGCTTCCTTATCTAGCGAGACGCACGCAGGGTGGAGTTCACAGCTCCCAAACTATTTTTAGCCACGGGAGGCGCTTGGATTGTTATATCATCCTCAAGCGACGTGGCGAGGTTGACAATGACATCGCTTAGCGTCAACGCTGTCATGTGACCAAATGGGCCAATCCGAAGGGGGAAAATGCCATATAATAAATTGCAATATAGTTTATCTAGCAATATATATTTATAAATTAAAGACAATATTAATATTGAATATAAAACATATTTATGTATTTCACGTTCTGATATTGTGTCAGAAACATACGTGTTACTTATAATCGTTATGGGGGACAATGTGTTCACGGACAATTTAATGATTTATCAGAGCGAAACGCTGTATTCAGGATAACTCCGCATGATACCAAACAATAACGACGTTGTTTACCACTTGAGATCAACAGCTAGTCTTCACTGTTGCCGAGAAGTGTGTACACCATGGCCTCACTATGCCCGGGGTTCCGAAAACGACGATCCTTCCGACGGACCATCCGTATTTGTATTTTGATAAGCGTCATTGTCGCTCTGATGCACAGTGTATGGACGAATCACAATGACTTGTCTCGGGAATTGCTAGATCCCTTGTCCAGTCTCCACCATCCCGATGATCCCAATGTGAAACTCGTGTTTGCCCAAATGAATCTGACGAATCCAGGAGTCGGTGGGACAGGTCTATTGTTAGATGTGTCGAAACTTCCCAAAGAAGAAGCCGAGAAGTTCCAGAGGAGTTTGGAGCAGAGGGAGTACTCCAGTTATACCAGTAGTCTCATACCTCTCCAGAGATCTCTGCCTGATATCCGTCTTAAAGGATGTCACTCGCTGTACACAGACCTCAATCTCCCTGAAACTAGTGTGGTCATTATCTTCTACAACGAGCACTGGTCAGTCGTGTTACGGACCATCCACAGCGTCATGGACAACACTCCACCCCATCTCATCAAGGAGATCATCTTAGTTGACGATGCATCTACAGACGAGGTTCTGAAGGAACCGTTAGAAAGGTATGTGTCCCGATTCAGGAAAGTGCAGATAGTGAGAGTTAAGTCAAATGTGGGATTGACAAGAGCGCGGATGATAGGCTTTGAACAGTCTACTGCTCCTGTAGCAGTGTTCATGGACGGACATTGTGAATGTTTTCCTGGTTGGCTGGAACCACTGGTGACAAGGATCGCAGAAAATCAGAGTATAATAACTACCCCTAACCTTCACGCAGTAGATTCTAAAAGCTTCAAGATCAACGAATGGGGGCAGGGCAGGGGTATGGGCATACCCATTCTCGGCTTCCCAAATCTTTTCTTCACCTGGTCCTCCATGTCAGAAGAGGAGTGGAAGAAGAGAACACGGGAGACTGATCCAGTACGGTCTCCAGCCATGGTTGGATGTGTCATTGCCGTCAGCAGGAGTTGGTTCAAGAAACTTGGAATGTTTGATCCTGGTTTGGAAATCTGGGGTGGGCAGGCTACCGAGTTAGCTATCAAGACGTGGCTCTGTGGAGGTGGACTGGAGATTATTCCCTGTTCCAATGTAGCGCATTTGTACCATCCTCATCGACCATCAGAAAAACGTAGGATCGCGTACAACAGAAACATAGCTCGTGTATCCAATGTGTGGTTGGACAAGTACAAACACTTTAGTGACAATTATGACGGTAGCATTGCGGATTTTGGTGACATTTCTGATAGGATAGCTCTCAGAGATTCACTTAAATGTCATCCATTTGAGTTTTACTTGACAAATGTTAATCCATATCAGCTCATCCCAGGGAACGGTATTTACACAGGTCTAATACGTAATGTTGAGCTTGGTACCGACTGTCTCGACTCGGGAGGCACAAAGAATGGGGATAAAATCAATGTTTTGTTGTACTCTTGTCATGGGCAAGGAAATCAACTATGGGATTTCACAGAACGTCGTGAGATTAGAACTGGAGGACAATGTTTAGATTCAGGATATGGAGATAACGTTGTGATGCGGAACTGTCACGGTCTGAGAGGGAACCAGGAGTGGGAGGTGGTCAGTGTGGAAGGTCAAGTGTTGCTCCGGTCTTACGGAAATTGCGTTGGCGTTACCAAAAGTAACCATGCTCTTGTCTTGGAGAAATGCCACAATTCTGCACTACAGCGGTGGACTTGGAAGCAAAACAGGAAACCTAGGATTTCTTGACAATATATTCTGTTACTTCGGACAACGATGTATCTCAGTCCCCAGTACAATAGGACAGATTAACAGAGGAAAGTACGTTTTTTCTATCACGCATAACATTTTTTTTGTTAATGATGACATTTGATTTGGCAGATTGAAAAGACATTTGAAATCATAAGAGAGAAGATATAATTAATCATTATGGTCCAGAGTTTCTGTGTTTGTTTCAACAATAAAATATATTTCGCAATATGGCTTCATATTGTCTTTGTACGCTGAATCCGTGAATTCAACCATGTTAGAATTTATGTCACAATAAATATTTCAAAAGTTGACAACAAAGTAAAGGAGTGTTGTGAGTGAGTATGGTTTTACGCCGCTTTTAGCAATATTCCAGCAGTATGACGGCGGGGGATACCAGAAATGGGCTTCACACATTGTACCCATGTGGGGGAATCGAACCCGGATCTTCAGCGTGACGAGCGAACGCTTTAACCACTAGGCTATCCCACTGCCCCTCATACAAACAAATTAGTGACAAAACACATTCACAAAATCATAAGGACAACATTTTTTATTTCTCATGAAGTTTCTCATCGCCCGACCGACTGTAACTTGGCCGTCCACCCAACTTTAGATCATGGTGACAGATTAAATCCTTATAAATACACGTATGCATTTCTTTTTTGGGGGGTGTATATAATAATTATAATGCTTGAAGTGTACGACAAAACTCGCTAATTTCGTATCAAGTGACTAGTTTTTAATCGTTGTGTGTTCGAACAGACGTATTCACAGGTTTTACAGTAATGACAATTCCAGAATAGGGCACAGTGTTAGCCGCACGTGTTTCCGTTTTAATGTGCCACACTGTGTAACCCTCATCCAAACAAATCCGAATTCAGGGAAAGACACCAACTGTAACTGGATATAAGTGACGCCTTCATCTCCACGCATCCTCTTATGATCGATGATAAAGGAGTACCAGGGCGGTGGGGTAGCCTTATGGTTAAAGCGTCCGCTAGTCACGCCGAAGACCCGGCTTCGAATTCCCACATGGGAAAATTGTGTGAAGCCCATTTCTGGTGTCCCACGCCGTGATATTGCTGGAACATTGCTAAAAGTGGCGTTAAACCATACTCAATCATCCTCACGGTGGTACAGAACTACCAGCCACGCTGCCGTGATCGTTGTAGCAAGTCAAAACATTGATTACACAACAGGCTCGTTTCATGTTGACTGGGTTCCGTCCTATTGCGCAACTTAGTACAATAACCAGTCCAGAATTTTGAGACCAATTCATTTAACTGGCAGTCTAAGTAAACTTAGGCTCAGTATTATTCGTTACACTGCTGTACTAAGTCTAACAAGACCTTGTGGAAGGTCGCGTCAGATAACCTTTTCAATTGACCAATCAGAACACAGCTTACCAAATCGCGAAAGTTGACATTCGCACATACCTTTTGAACTTTTACCTCCAAAATGTTAGTACCGAACGATTTCGAATGCTATTTTCCGTACAGTCGCTGAAAATAGCGTTTTGTCAGTATTCAAGCATGTCAGCTTGCTGAAATATTAGCTAATGATAACCATGTCAACAGAAACCCCAGAGCGTATATACTGCAGGGCAAATATGAGTGTTTTATGCAATTTTCATTTGTTGGGAGATCAGTGTTGGCGATCCGTTAGAACCGTTCGGCCGTCTCGCGTTTGATTGGACGGCTATAGGTCGGTCAAAGGTTACCTGAGCCTAAGTTAACTTAGACTGTTTAACTGGATACATAAATATGAATCAGTATTATTTTATACATCTAAGCACTTGTATATTGCAACAGAGACCATATAATTATATATATATATATTATATGGTCTCTGATTGCAACACTACGCTCCTTCTAATCCTTGTAAACATGTCATGCAGCGTGCTCTGTCGTACAGCGATCTCTGACAAACGGAAACATGGAAATCGTGGAAATATCAAAACGAGTTTAAAATTAAAATTCATTTGTAAATAGCATTTTCTTATGAAACAGGGAATTGGAATTCTGTGTAACCATAGTTGTTTGTGATGTCTATTTTCTCTTTCGGACCGGCTGAAAAGTAGGTCATTGTCTGAATAGTGAGTGAGTGAGTGAGTTCAGTTTTACGCCGTTTTTAACAATATTCCAGCTATATCAGGCGGGGGACACCAGAAATGGGCTTCACATATTGTACCCATGTGGGGAATCGAACCCGGGTCTTCGGCGTGACAAGCGAACGCTTTAACCACTAGGCTATTGTCCCACCGCCCCATTGTCTAGTAGGTCTCATGTTTCGGTTTGTCTCGATCGTCGTCACTGCAACTGGAGGGTCTGTAACTTGAGAACTGATGGTGGCATGGGCTATTCTTTTTATCTAATTGCTCAACAGTAAAACATATGGCAGGGACCTAGCACTCATGAAGAGTGAGTGAATGAGTGAGTTTGGGTTTACACCGCATTCAGTAATATTCCATATATGGCGGCGGTCTGTAAATAAGTCGAATCTTGACCAGACAATCCAGTGGTCAACAGCATGAGCATCTACGCAATTGGGATACAATGACATGTGTCAACCAAGTCAGCAAGTCTGACCACCCGACCCTGTTAGTCGCCTTCTCGTGAAGAACCAAATTCAAAAGGCACAGCATCTCGGAATTAAATCTGTTTACCTTCGTGATGTGACGCATGCAAGGTGAAATCTAGTGAGGATGATCTGGTATCTAGAAATACCCAGAACATCTTCAAGCGTAAGACAGACGCTGGCCTTTTCACTTCCATTGAACAGTTTGTTTAAAAAAGGTGGTTATCTATATCCTCTTCGCATATTATACAAATGGAAACTTTTGAATTTGGAGATAAGTTTGGGCTTGTTTGTTACTATCAAATTATATATATACAAGACGCTTTCCGTCTACATTATAATAGCGATGTGGCTGACACATGTAATCGTATGCTCATGATGTTGATCACTGGATTATCTCATCCAGACTCGATTATTTACAAACCGCAAAATAGCTGGAATATTGATGAATGCGGCGTTAAACAACAAAGAAACAAATCTCCGCCTAAGAAGTGTTTGGTCGGTGAATCTCAAAGGACCGTGGCTTCTTGACTACGGAAACCTATCAAGGCCACGCTACGCTATTATTCAGCATCTTGTGTCCTGAACATTCAAACTAGTATCTTGAAGATTCAACATCCTATCTTGAAAATTCGACTTAGTATCTAGCATGATCAACTTACTATCTTGAAAATTCAACATCCTGTCTTGGAAATCTTAAAATTCAAGCAAATTAGTACTTAAATTAAATGTTCTGCGTTCATTAGACGCATGTCCACAAGTTCTCTGAACACGAACTGTGGCTGATGAATGGAGTAAAGCGCTGACAATATCATCTCTATGTATTTTTCCTTCGGATTATCTAACACCGAGATTAATTCACTCTAATTAACAATGAAAACGGAGGATTGAGTTCACACAAACAAAATCACAAAAAATGATACCTTTAAGATACCCTAAAGTCAGTATTGTGTGTGGCGTCTATGAGCATCGATGAAAGCGTTGCATTGTCTGTACGTGGCATGAATTAGCCGGTTGATGAAGGCACAGCAGCAGTTGTCGGCCTTAGGTGGAGGTCATTCGATCTTCTTTGAATCTCGTCCGAGAGGTGTTCTATTGGACTCAAATCCGGACTGAGTGCTGGCTATTGAAGGGTTTAGATGCCATGTTGTCTTAGGAAGTCCAATGTTACTCTGGCAGTGTTCGCACAAGCGTTGTCTTGCTGGAAAATGTGATTTCTGCAACGTCCAAAATGTGGTACAACGTGGGGTCTTATGACTTGGTCAGTATAGCGAGCAGCTGTCACGTCGTTTCCTCACCCTGGACCAAGATTCTGGAACACCAATGTGCCAACTATCTGGTTCAGACCGATTGCATCCCAAACCATGATTCTTGGACAATCCCACAAGTCTCTTTCAACAATAAACTCATTGGAAAACAGTTCCCCATGCCTTGACCATACTCTCACTCTGCCATCGACTGTCGAAACGCAATATCGGCTTTCATGAGAAAAAGCACTGTTCTCCCTTGTCGATAACGGCAATTTTGATACAGAGTTGCCCATTGCAGTCGGTCTGGGCGGTGATAAGCGGTGAGGACAGGACTACGGTAGGGTCTGTGACAGCCGTGGTATCTTCCGCGCAAACGTCGATGCACTGTATCGGCACTGATGGGTCCGTTGTGAGTCCCAATTTAATGGTCTGGCGGGCTGTTTCCGTCGCTCTGGGAAAGTGATCCTGCAGATGGTGGCGCACAATCTGTCCTTTGTGATGTTGCTGATGTTACTGAAGGTCACCCACTACGTGGACGGTTGCATTTCAGGCTGCATTTACATGTCAAGGAAACACCGAGGAGGGGCCTTAATTCATATGCTGCTTCAGGATGTGAGCAGTTTGTATGTGCGTTGTATACAAAACCAAGTCTGTTCAGCGTTGATGATGTACGCTATAGTTTGTTCTAAAAAGGAAATGCTCCAGCAACACACTTTTGTCCTTTTGACAAAATGAAAGGAACAGACGCTGCTGTCTTTCCTCCTTGAATGTTCAAAAGATCAAGAGAATTATGATATATAAACGTTTATTATGCTTTTGGCACAAGTTTACTTACCAAGAATGTGTTTCTAAGCTTATCAACCTTATTTACAATTATTTATCACTTCAAAGAACAATCAATAAAGAAAGATAACCCCTGGCTGTCGCACGTTAAATATATATTAGACAACACTGGACTTTCGTATGTTTTTGAAAATCCCTCAATTTGTACAACCCAGTGGCTGGTCTCAAAAGGTGAAGATAGTCTTACGGATCAATTTACCCAAAACTGGAACAATGACATTATTTCTAGTCCCAAGGGAACAGACCGATCCACTCCGTCTATCAAAACTGGCGCATGCGTCACTTTTGGCCATCAGAAGGCCGGGTGCACTGTGTGGATTTGTCAGA